CTCATTTTAATTATTTTATTGTCATTTTATGAATAAAAGTAGTACTAATAAAATAATAATTCAATTTATATGCTAAGATCTTACTTAAAACTATGGACGACGATAGTGAAGCACTCGTCTTTGCGATTTTTAATGGTGCACAATACTACAGAGGAGACAACACTAAAAAGTCTCCAAAAACGCGTGATATTCTATAAAATTTTCAAAATTAAAAATTTCTGTAAACGATCACAAAGATAAAAATTCTTTAAACAAACCATAAGTTAGTTAATATATTTTTTATTACTGATATTTTTAAAGTTTGTTAGCGGACGATAAAAGAGAGATCATAATTTAAGTAAACTATGTTTGTATATCTTTACATTTATACTTCTACATTATTCTACATACGAGTATATGTATTTCTACAATAATTATGTCCCTTTAAATTTCTTTATTCATCATATTGTAGACTTCCCTCGCAATTTAGGAAAAAAAGGGACTACATTCCGTAAATAAATTGCGGAAGTATTTGTTAACAAAGTTCAAATATAAAATGAATGATAAAAAAGAAAGAGGAAATAAAAGATTATAAAAAACAAAACAATAAAAAAAATAGGTAAAAAAACATAAGAATAAAATAAAATCAAAACAAAAATACAATCGAATCAGTAAGGGTATTTGGTTACCTTTTTCAGTTTTCTTTTCTTTTTTTTTTTTTTTGTGGAATTCTAAACATTCTTAATTACAGCAAATTTTGAAAATTGAACGTGATTAGAATTATTTTCTCTCCACTAGTCGGATACATAGACGTACATGTGTGTGCATAAAGTACAAAAAAAAAGAGGAACCGGGGAACATTGAAGTTCAGAATTTGTTGATTTTTTTGTTTCTAAAGGATATATTCAGTCTAATCTATATGTGTAAAATTATATATGTATTTAAATTTTATTAATGAATTAATATAAATTTAATTCTATTAAGAATTACTATTTTTTTTAGATGTATGTTAGAAACCCTATATTATTCTCAACAAAAAAACAATACCTACATATAATTAATTTAATTTATTTCAACCCGCTCATTTAAAAATAAAAGTACAAGTATAAAATTTGTAGAAGTGCTTTTATAATATTTAAGGATAAAACTGAAAGCACCTACCCAAGCTCGAAGAAAATTACTGTACCTTGAATTTAAATTAATTTTGCAGTTGATAGTGGCGTCAAACAATTGTATATTTTTAAGAGTTGTGAAATGAAAGTCACATTTTAAGAGTGAGAATTAGCGAGTAAGTAGAGTCCAATACAATGGTATCAAAAAAGTCTAAATAAATAGCCAGCTTTAAAGGATCACAATCAGAGAGTCAATCAATCGAATTCATGGAGTCGAGTTTTTTATCAGTTGCTCCAGTTGTGGTTACAGACAGATTTACAAGTTAAAGAGAACTTGTAGTCGGTAAGGCTGAGGATTGAAAAATTACTGAGATCGATCTGTTGTCCTGATTTCTATTTTTCTTAAAAAACAAAATGTAAAAATTTCAATGTGTTTTTATCATAACGTTAAATTATTATAACAATAAAAATTATTTTCCAATCCCACACAAAACAATATGTGTTCAATTCAAAATAAGAATTCTATTCACAAATTGAAAAATACTCAGGAAAATTAATATTTTAATATCTTGTCACACTATACACTAAAATATTTAATATCTACATATATACAAAGAATAGCAAACTTGTACACAGAATAATGCAGAAATCAATTATATGTGTAAATATATATAATCCTTAAATACTTATTATTCTAATATATACACATACATAATATGTACATATATCATTTTCAATATATAAAATGCATTTCAAAAATAAACTTATAATACTTTCAATACTTTTATTAACCCATTTATTACTTCCTTAATTTTTTTTTACTCGCCTAAAGCTATGCAATAAAAATTACAAGCAAAAAAATTTTATTAAAATGTAAAGGAAGAGTATATGAGCATAGTTTTCGACAAAATTTTACTATACTTGTAAGTATATCAATTGAATTTTTTTTTTTGCTACCGTTTCACAAAAAAAAAAATTGTTTTTTAACTCAATAAATACAATAATATTTACATACAGTATACTTGTACGTATGTATATGTATGTGATCGATAAATTCAAAGAAAATATCTGCAGAATAAAAATTACAAAAGCTTTTAAATATTTTCTTTTTATTTTTTGTCTATCAGTATTTTATTTAAGTACAAGTAGACATACAATGATACATACAAGTATTTTTTAATATAAGTAGACACTCTTTTTATGCAGTTACTACATCAAATTTTGAAGTGGCAATATTGTCATTGTAAAATTCATATATGTAACTTGTTATGTTTTCATGTATGTAGATTGTTCTGAAAATATTACAAGTACATTATGTTATTTTTTTCTTTTAATATTGATAATTAAATTGTATACTATTTGTTGGGTAGTATAGTGTGGTAAAAATTTCTGTAATTTTTCAATTGAATATACAAATTTAAAGTTAAATTTCTTATTACTTGAAATAATTTATACTTTTGAAAATTAAATGTTATTATAAATATAAAGATTTTTAAAATTTAACCAAATTATTGCTAAATAAATTTATGGAAATCTGATTAATTTTTAAGTGAAACTATATGGCAAATTAGCAATAATAATAAATCTTAATATTATCCTGTAATAGTGAACGTCTCTGTTTAATTATAATAAAGGTACTAAACCTTTTGGAAAGGAGTAAATTCTATCCATTTTTGATACCAGTATTTTAATTTAAGACGAGTAGTCTAATAAAACAAAAACAAAAATTATAAAATAACAATCCAAAATTTCAATTCACTTAACTATAATTTGTTTAATTGTTTTATACATATATATTGGACCCCAATGGTTTAATCAAAAAATTACATTTGTAATGAAAATTTTATTAGTGTTGATATTATTTTAGGGTACCTGGCTGTAGGGTTATCTAAAAACTAAAATCGATTTTTTGTAATTCCTTTTAAAATGCACAAATTAAAATCATAATAAAATTTTATTTTTCCAATAACTTAAGCTACCTCAACATTCTTACTATAAAGGTCTATTTCTATAGTCAATTTTTATAAAACAATATTGTCATAAAACGCAAATAATCAAATAATTCATTTATATTCGTAAACAATTTCATTGAACTTTAATACCAGCTATTTTTTTCACAAAAGAATAAAAGAAACTTCAGAAGTTATTTAAAAAAGGACATTTCTTATTAAAAATCTTAGATGAGTAAAAACATTAGTAATTCCTAAAAAATGTTCATTAATTTAAAAAAAAATACACAAAAAGCTGCCGTGACGAGAAAGAGGAGAATACGGGGGTTCCTTAGGTTCGCATTTCTTTTTGCAAACTACAGACCTTGCAAATGTAAATGCCAGGGACATGAACCGATTTATAATGAGCTCGGACTGGTTCACATGAGGTTAGAAATATGGAAATCCAGCGGTATCACCTACTTGTTCTACTTGGCCTAAATGCATCCTCAGATGCACAAACGGACAGCTAAAATTAAACTAAAATTTACTAAAAATTCAACTCTTTTACCAAATAAAAAATTTGATAAAAATTCATGTAGTCAATAATATGAATAATATTTAGTGAAAAAACTCACTTTACTTTTCAAAAAAAAAGTTTAATCAATTTATTTGTGAAAAAAAGGATCTTTAGAAAATTGCTTAACAACAAAAAGTTTTATGGATTTGTTGTAACACGTGCCTCAATAATCAATACCAAAATATTTTTATTTACAATTTTTTTCTTGAATTCTCAATTTTAAGTCCCGTGACTTATGAAAAATGGTCACGATATTGATATTTTGTTGTATTAAACTATAATACACATAAAAAAACATGTATAAATACGCCTATATATTAGTAAACTATTGGAGAATAAATTTATTACTTCTATACTTATATGTGATACATTTTTTGATATATTGGAAAAAGTAAACCAAAAAATATTCTTGCTAAGCTACATTCGAATTAAAATCTTTGCAACATAAAACAAAATCAAGAAATCTTATATATTTAATACCTAAAATACTATCTAATCACAGCAGTTTCTTAACATTTTAGAATATTTAATTGAAATAATTTAAAAATACATAAGTCAGAGGGCAGTCAAATTCATTGACTTTTATTGAGACGCATCAGGACAATATTTATAAGCCTTGAGTTGGGAAATTTTACTGCTAGTTTGCATATCTTCAGTTTAAACATAGGAATACTATGTAAAATTTTATCATTTTGTAAACATTTTGACATTTCACACGAATATTATACAGTAAAAATATTGTTTTTAAAAAAGAACTTCCCTCTTCTTTCACTCATTCTCTTTTAAAATTTCATCTAAAATTTATAAATTCACCTTAATGTATTTAAAAGCTTTCTTTTCATATAAAATTAGTTAATATTCAACAAATTTGTATGTTCAAATTTAACACTTGAGTGTCATATACCGATAGCCCTAATTTCCTAATTACTAGCATACATCATACAATCAAAAGAAAATATCCAAAAAAAAACATCATATAAAGAGCATAATAAACTCACTAGCTATATTAAAATTTAATAATAGACAAAATTATCTAATATCTTCGGACAAAAAAAGCATTATTATCTTAATCATATTAAATGTGAAATGACCATAGTTTTAGCATGGGTACTTCACTTTTCATTCACAGTTTCAAAAAAAAAAAAAATTTTGTTTAGTTTACAAAATTCTGCCAATGACCATGAAAAAATTATAGCAAAAAAAATGTGTGCCTATAGGTATACAAATATTTTTGTTCTATTACAGAAATGCCATACATCTATGTCGTATACTCAAAAACAAAAATATTCAAGAAAAATTAGAAAATATTTTTGTTTTTTTTTTATACTTCAAGGACAATAAAGTTTTAATCAATAACCTTTCATTATTCTTTCTCTTTTTCTCTTTTATTTTTTTTACCAGGTAACGACATTTTACACATTGAAAGTTTATTAAAAACAAATACCAGAACATTTGTATTTGAAAGAGACATCGATTGTTTGTATTTTTTGTAAGTGTCATTGTCAACAAGGAAGAAAACTTTTTTTCAACTTGTCACAAATATTCATCTAATATTATATACCGTTAAATTTTTCACTATACACTTATAATAATCTTAGAATATTTTTTGTATTTAAGGCTAATTCGATATTAAAATAAATTGAAAAATTTAATTAATTAAAAAAGAAAATAAAATCACCTATGTACCTATATATATAAAATGGAATCAATAGTTCAACAGCAACAAAATCACCAATACAACATACCATCAACGACAATTGAAAAAGCCGATATAAATACAACAGAAAATATTACTACATTTAGTGACGCAATAACTAATAACGATAACAATGCTTACATTTCAACCACAAAAGCTATTAGCACTACTACAACCGTTACAAATACCAATATAACTGAATGTATTAACACTACTAATGAAAATTATCAAAATAAAAGCTTTCATTCAAAAAATTCAAATTGCAATACAAATGAAACTAACACAAATTCAAATACAATACTACAAGAGCAACTTAAACCACAAAATGATCACGCTAATTCTTCCAATATCGACGACAGCAATGATGATGTTAATAAATTTGAATATAATAAAATAAATATTAAATATGACGATGATGATGGTAATAACAATGATAATGATGATGATGATGATGATAAAAAAAATTCTATTAAATTAGAAAATAAAAATAATAATACTCATAAATTAATCGCTGATGGTAAAAATATTGATAAAATTTATAAAATAAACGCAACGAATGATGACGAAACAATTGAAAATTTTATGAGAAAAAGCTCCTCTTCATCAACAACGAATCTACGTTTAAATTTCCCTAAAAGTCATACATGCGGTAGTCTTTTTGCAAATTGTAACTGTGATAGTAGTAAAATAAATTTAATAACAAAATCGGCTGCACAAGATTTTTCAACTACAAAAAAATCAATAATTGTTACGAATTCAAATGAAAAAAAATTAAAAAATAATCAAATTAATAATGATGAAATTACAACAAAAAATTCCAATAAATCATTATTACAAAATGATAACATAGAATATAATTTAAATTTAATAGATGCTAATGAAAGCTCAATTTCCTCTCAAAAATTTTTAAATTTAAATCTTTTAAAAGATAATTGTAGCAATAATTTTCAAGCTACAGAAGAAAAAATATTAAAAACAATTACTACTACCCAACAAACTAAACCGCAACAAGATCAAAATAATTGTTGCTTTCTACCAAATTCAAAGAATGAAAACGACAATTTAATTTTAAAAAAAAATCAAAATGATAATAATCCCAGCTATTCTAGTAGTGGATTAAAAACTGTAAAACCGGACGGTTGTATTTTAAGAAAAACTTCGCAACAAAATAAATCTTTAAATAATTGTAAAAGAAAAAATCGAAAAATTTTTCAATCATTTTGTCATCCCGATACAAGTTTTATTTTCACCGATGAAAATTGTAATCCAAATCTTTCAAATTCAAATAATCAAATAAGAACAATAATAACAAAAAGTGGTAATATTTGTGTTAAACATCCGAAACGTTCATCATCACCGAATATTGGAAATTTTACAATATTAGATGTTCATCCGGAAGTTTTAGTTAAAATACATAAATCAGACCCAAATCTAAAAAGAATTGATAAAAAATCATCAATTGAATCACAATCATCAGTATCATCAATTGATTCATCAATAACAACATCATCATCATCTTCAACATCTTTATGTTCAATAAAATCAAATACAAATAATATTGAAAGAAAAATACAATTAAATAGTGAAAATTTATTAAATTCTGAAAAAAATATCGAACAAAGTGAAAATAGTTTTATAACACAAAAATCACATGTTAACGTTAATCGAAAAAATTCAGTTGATCTTAATAATTTTAAAGAAATCAATTATAAAATTTCACCAAAGCTTAGTTTACCAAATTTACCAATTGAACAAATTAATATTAATAATATTGTTAATATAAAAGATAAAAAGTTAGAATTGAATTGTTTACCTAATGGTAAACCACACAGTAATTCAGAATCAGAAAAATTTTCAAATTCAGAATTAAAAAATTCAAAATTAGAATCAGCTCAAAAATATTTTCAAGAATCTGGAATTTTGGGACCAAATATTAAGGCTGAAAAAGTTAATAAATTAATAAGAAAAACATCAAAAATTATACAGGATTCAAATTTTATTGAGCATGTAAGTAATTTTTATTATTTATTTTTTCAAATTTAAATTAATATTAATATTATATAACTAGTTGTAAATAAATAGAGAAACTATAATAGTCAAAATAGAAATATAAAACTAGTCGTAGTTATAATGAAGTTTCTTATAAATCTGCCGAAATTATAATTGCCGAGCTAAAAACTGCATTTAATAATATTTTAAAATTTGTTCATGTTTGTCACTATAAGGTACAAAGTCAGAAATCTATTCTCTGTTATTACTTTAACCAGGGCAGCGATCACGTTAATATTATTTTTACAGATTTTAGTATATCACGTAGGATTTTGTTTAAGTTACATCGTATGTATATTTCATTTTTCGTAACTTCCTGAGAATTTTCAAGTTCTCAATCAAGACCATTGACCAATTAATATTTTGCGTTTGCAGGAAATTGTTTTTTTTTTAATAATTTTTAGACGCCTGGGTTAGCATGATCCATACAAGCTCTCATATGAGATTAGATTACTTCTAACTAACCTACATTTATAGTGGTTATGTTGATTCATCAATTTATTTTTTGAATAATCATTAGAGTCGTTTGGAAATATTTGATAAAGATTTTTCATTTTTATTTCTTTAGTATTCCTCATTGCCTTTTCGTTTTCACTCTCTTTCATAAATTTCACATAACTACTATAGTAGTATCTAAATTAGAAATCTAATAAATACAATAAATTCTTTATATTCTTTAATTATCGATTACTGAATAGTTCAATTTTAGTTCAATGATCGTTTATAAATTGCTGAAGGTGAGAATTTTTCCACTTAATTAATATTGAACATTGTTTTCGCAAAAATAAAAATGCTAAAGCATACCCTTGATTAAACATTTAATTCTAAATATATATGCATAAATATTATGATATATTATATATATATATATATATATATATATCAGCAATATTTCACTTATAATAACAAGTTTAGTGAGACAGTTTAATAATATATTTACATGGTAATTTTTTTCACATTTTTCCACTCATTCAACACATTGAGGAAAAACAAATTATTTTTTCGGTAATTTTACCACCCGTATTCTTATTTAAGTTTACCTATTTTTTAAATGAAATTTTTCTCCAAATATCATAAAAAACGAAAAATGTTTAAATTAAAAAAAATTTTTTTTTGTTTAAATTAAATTTAAATTTTGATAACAAAAAAAAACTAATAATTTATTTTAAAATTTAAATAAAACAAAAATTCACTGCGAAATTAACGATAACGCTATTTTTAGAGCAATCTCCAATGAATCAATTACATACATATATGCGTATTTATAGAAATCTAACTATATTATATTAAAAGAGATATTTATATAGCTATTGTTACCTCTCTCTGTATACAATATATTAACATCGAAAAAAAAATTTTTCTCTAAATATTTTAAAAATTTTGCAAAAAAAAAATTTTATTTTAGTTTTTTTTTTTTGGTACCTACCTTGTTATAATATAAATATTTACTTTTTTTTTACAATGTTCCCTCTGCCACCTATTTCTTGCTCCATCTACCCACAATTATAATACAGAGTAGCTAAAATTAATAGATTTTTCTTTAAAAATTTTAAAAAATTATCACTTTTTAAAAAAAAACATGAAAACTTTCTATGTTTGTAAGTATATCGAATTTAAATATTTACAATATATTATTATTCATAATATTTATATAGATGATACATACGGTATAATTTAGTTTCTTAATCACTGCAAACAAGGTATTGGATTTGGAAATAACTTGAATATAATTTGTTACATATGAATTCATAGAAAATAATGTTTAATTATTTTCAATAGTTTATTTTATAGACTCGGCAATTTTTGAACGGTATGTCCCGTAACGGGATGATTCCAAAGCTTTGTATGTACATATGTATATATGGCATACCTCTAATTTGTTATTTAGAAATTTGAAATATGTATTGAAAAATAAACAATAAAATATTGTTTTTAAGAGGAAACACATAGTTGCGATGCTTCAAAAAATTATTAAATTAAATTTTATAAAATCAAGTTGCGTATTTATTTTTAGAGGTCTAGGTTATTGTGATTCATACAAGTTGATTTGTAGATTTGTACAATCGGAGTAACAGTGCACCGTGAGGGCGAATAAAGAACAATTGTGTGTTCTTTATATTATGTTCTTACACAAGAACAAGCAATTGTTCTTTATTCTGAGTGCTGAGCATGCCCATATTATATCTGAGTGCTGCGCATGCCCATCCAACATCCTCACCTTGTGAGATCCGGAAGAGCGCAACTCCATTGCCGTAAGAGCAAATTCCTTCATTATTTTACTTCTTCCACGAGCGAGACCATCACAATTTCCGAGAAGGTGAAGTGAGGTTCCCTCATCATCCCAACTAAATTGCAAATTTCATCTAACCGCCGAAATGAATTGCATTAATCTATGTTATATATAGCTAGTTACCATTCAAGTCCTAGAATCATTTTTTTGTACGGGCCACGATCGACTCCACACTTCTTCTCATTTTATATGAATATTACAGTTTCAGAAACGTTCTACATCAAATTTTTAAAAATTTCATTCAAATTTAATCCAAATGACTAGCTACATCAAAAAACCAAAAATTTTTTTAATTTTTTTATATGAAATTTTCATGATTTTATCAAAGTTTATATGATATCAATACATATTAAATTCAGTCCATATTAAGTTAAATTACAATAACTCAATTTAATATTTCTAAAATTTCTTAAAAACTTGTGGTTGTAAACGCTTATTTATATAATTTAACGCTAAATTGGAGCGCGTGTTATGGAAAATTTATACAATAATAAAATGCAAAATGATGTAGAACTTATTTTTAGAAAATATAGAAGCTTATTTTAAGTATTTATATTTAAGATAATTAAATTATTCTAATAAAGTCTTCTATAAACGTGACACAAACATATGTATATAACTATATATATACATAGATACATACATACAGTAATACGATATGTATATGTATACGAATACGGTTTTATAATAATTATTTTAATAATTCTTTTTTTTTTTTGTTTTTAATTTTAATTGACACTGAAATTGTTATCACTTTTAAGCTTAAACATCTAAAGCGCTCAAATTATCTCAATGACCGCGTATTATTTCATATTTATTAACAAATATGTTATACAATAGGTTGATGTTGTGTTTAGAATAAACTGTAAATCTATATGTAATTATGAACTAAAATAACATTGCATCTAAATCAAATATTTAAACGTACAACTAACTATAACCTGCTTATTAAAATTTTCCCATCAGTCGGAGAAATTATTGTAGAAAGTTTTGAATTTACACCACTGTGAATGGTTGAATAAGTTTTAAATTTTAGTTTGCACGTATTTTAAATTTATTGCTTTTGCAAATACCGTTTCCGATAACGGACGTCTACTACCAAAACTCAGTTTTGGAGGTGAATGGAATCGTTACTTTTATTACGATTGATTATATTATCTAATTACATATTACGATATAAATATATTTTAAATTTTGTACATACAACATTCCATATGTGGAATTTGGCAACTTTATTATTATTACATATTGTTTGAGTAAAATATATGTATTTATAAAGCTTGAAGTTCATTGAAAGTTTAACCACGAAATATTTAATGAAACGTAAAACTTCACACATAAATACCTAACTATATACTTATATACTATATATATGAACAAGTGCTATAAGTAATTATATACAATATTATATAAAATATAACAATACTGCTAATACTCGTATAACACTTTCTTTTTTTTTCAAATTTTCTTTTCAGGTGCGTAAAAATTCTAAAATAATTTTATGTAATTCACCAACACCAATAAAAAAAACTATTAAAATTATGAATGAAGACGAAAATAATACAATAAAAGGAAATAATTTTTTGGAAAATACCATCAGTGAATTATGTGATAAAGGAGTTAATAATACAACAACAACTAATATGAATTTTAATAAATTTGAAAATAATTCACAATTGAATATTGAAAATCAACAACAACATCAAAATATCTTTGAAAAATTAAATAATGATAGTGAATTAAATTGTTGTAATTGTAATAAACGTATTAAAATCTTAACCGAAGAAATTGATAATTTAAAAGAAATAATTAATAGACGTGATACTGAAATTCATAAATTAAAAAGAGAAATACATAAATTAAAGGTTAGTGATGAAAGAGATGAATAAATAAATATTACAATATATACATACATACATACTTATTTATATGTAATTAATAATGGAAACACTATATAAATTCCTTTCGTTTTTACTATAATTCCTTTCTCACTCCTTCCCACCTTCTATCATTAAATCCTTTGGCTGGCTTTTACTTTGATTTCATTATGTTTTTATAAAATTCATTATGATTTTACAGTAATGATTTTATAATTATTATTATTAATATTATTATTATTATTATTATTTTTATTTTTATTAATAAAACAATAATTTATTCTGCGATGAACATAAATTAATTATTTATTTGTATAATGTTGTATGTACTTAATATTTTTATATTGAATTTCTTTATTATTTTAAATTTTTTATTATATTTTTTTGTACTTTCACATGATCAAATTTATTTGTAAAACATACGAAAAAAAAATATTTTCAACCCAGATAGAGCAAAACAGATGACATTTTAATTAATAAATTCTTCGTCAAATTAATTCGGACTTTGATTTTGTCCGAAATTTAAATTAGAAACTTGTGCAATTGTTCTACATGTGTAAATATTGAATATGTACAAGTTACTTAAAACAAAACCAGAGTTCTTTGCATATCGACCACTTGGGTACTTCAGAACATGTACATACATATAAATATATGGCAAATGTAACTTGTATTATTGTACTTGTTATTATAGAGCATAGTTCTAAAAAGATGTGTATAAATCGTCGTTTTGTAGTTAGTGAATTACTACTATGTAAAATAATTTTAAAAACAAAAAATTAAACAAACAAAATTAGAAATTAGAAATTAGAAAAAAATAAATCACTTTGAACTGAGTAAACTGGTTACTCTGTCACTATTGCTGTTCAGTCATACCACTAAAAATCTTCTTGAGCGCTTACAAAATTATACATAGATCTCATTGGAAATATCTTTATTTAAAACAGAATTCATACCAAGAAAAAAATAATGTTTGCAGTAGTATTTTACACCTGCATGCTATTTTTAAATAAAAAAAAAATTATATTTTTTTTTTAAGAAAATTTGATATTGTATTCTAATTAATTGCTTGATTGGAGCAGATTTACTTTTTTAATGACAAAAAAAAAATTTAATACTAATATGAATAAAATTTAACAATTTTTAAAATTAATTGCGTTACAAAAAAAATTTTCAACAAACTTCTAAAAAAAAATATATAGTTTAAGAATTGTCCCAATTTGATCATTCCGTATGACACGAATCGTCATCTTTCATTACTTGAATTTTCATACTATGTTTCGTTCCTTCCTGCCATATACTACATTTATAGTTTTGTAGTTATGAAATTTCTGTCTTTTTTTTTGAATCTCCAATTTTTTGAGGTGATCGTTTGAATCTACTAACACAAAGAAAAGTTTTTCTGTTTCTGTTTTTTTTCTTTTCATATATTGGATTTTGAACGACTCATATCTAGGTAGAGTACAATACCAAACGAAAAAATAATTTTAAATAATCGCCTAGTTTTCAGATTATCCGTATTTTTTATATCCTTCTCTCTACAAAATTTTATTTCAAATAGTTTTATTTCGTTTAATTTTTATGTCATAAACTAGCATATAAGGAAAATTCCATTAAAAATTATCTTCTATTTTGCGGTACAAGCAAATTTTTGAGGCTCATCAAATTCTAGTTTTATATGACATTTAATATTTGATTATGAAAAACATAGAATAGTACCATAATTGAATCCAATTTTACCAATTTTAATAAACTCGAATAGTATATAATTTTGATTTAAATAATTTTAAATCATTTTACTGAAAAATATTTAAATAATTTCAAAAAAAAAAAGGCAAATGAGAAAACAAAATCTCGGCAAAGCTGAGGTCACTATTAAACAAATATTAACATCGTTATTATCGCTAACATTATTATTATTCTCTCTCTATATCTACCATAAAAATAATATTTATTTAATTTTTTTTAATTCTACATATTATATGCATATATATGTACATATATATAATATATAAATTTCAAAACTACATGACTACAATGAATGCTACATGAACGATATGAAGTTTTTTGTAGTATATAAAATTTTTTTCTTCTTTCATTTTAAAATTAAAATTATAGAAATCAAATATTGAAATATATAAAATGAAATATCTACATGATTTTAGTTTTTAATGACTATATTATACATAATATATAGCAATCTCTCTCAGAATAACCATCTGATAAAAAATTGTAAAGTACTTAAACGGATATTTAATGTGATTGCTTGATTCTTATATCTTATTTTGTTGGTAAAGGAAAACGAATTAAGAAAGATCTTAAAACTATTTCTGCAAAATAGTTTCATACTACATTTAAACAAAATTTACTGTTATACAAATTGCTGTTTACTAATTACTGTAATTCTATACACTAATTATACTTATACTCCCACTATATACTATTATTAGTATAGGTTATAATAGCGAAATGTGAACTGCTTTCGAACTAGTTTTTTATATTAGATTTCAATTTTAATTAGTTTAACATTAAAAACAAAAGAACTCAACTCCGCTGCTTTCATCCTTTATTTCACTTCTTCTACGCTCGTGAGCATCACAATCCTCCAGAAGTTGTACTGCAGAGGTTAAATAACTAAAGTAAACAAGTGAATTAAAATAACTGTAAAATTACACATCCATATAAAATTTCTCAATTCACTATCTATATACTCGCACCTCAATAAACAATGTGTATATAAATATTAACTGTACTTAAATAGAAATTTTCAAATTTTTTAAAGTACATTTTCAGTCTTTATATGTATACGATTTGATAACATATCATGACACTCACCCACATATTATGTATAAGAAAATATATATACTTATTATGTCCATATATATGTATATGTTCATAAGTATATTTATATTAAAAGAATATTTTATTTCACTATAGAATCTTTTCATCTTTTGTTAAAATTAATTAGATTCTTAATACATATATGTATATGTATGTACATATATATATATATTAATAAGTATATACATTATAAGAGTAAATTGTAGAACTAAATAAATCAAATAAAAACCAAAATGCAAATTGAATAAAAAAAAATTATTATAATTTTATTATAATCTTGTTAAGAAACATTGCATTTAACATACTCTTATATACATTTATTATTATTATTATGGATTTTCATCTCTTCCACAGGTCACATAAAATTTTTAATATCTTTTCCATATACACTGGTTCCTAGAGATACGACTTGTTCTAATACGACATTTCGAGCTACAACTCGATTTAATTTTATTCAGTCATTTTTTTTTCCGACTTGCGACATAAAATTCGTGATACGACATTAAAAAATTTTGCAGTATTTTTACTTTTTATTGACTTAGAACATAAATCTATTTGAAATAACTATTCTAGTTAAGGCTACTTTAAATAAAAATTAATATTGAAGAAGTCATTTAATATGTGAAGCAATTTTTAAGAAATATGTTCCTAAATTAACTAAAAATTTTTGTTTTCATTATATTATTTTGCTTGCTTTTGCGACAATTCGACTTACGACTTAAGTTTTTGGTACCAAAATGTCGTATGTCGAGGACCTAGTGTAAATTTATACGAACAGAATTTTACTATGCAAAGATTATTTCATATTTATGCAGATTGTATTTAAGTTAAAATGCTAAAGTATAAAAAGAAACCAAAAATAATATAAATTCTATGAATGAATTGCATTAAAAAAAAAATTCTATATAAAGTTTAAAACAGAATTTTTTTTTGGGGTCAGTAAAGAAGAACACACAGTATGTAAATTATTTACAAATAAAAATGGACATAAAACACTTTATATCTACATATTTAGTTTATAAATGGTTCTCCAGAACAGAAAATAAACTATATGAAATGAAAATAATATAAAATTTACAGAGTTCGTAAAATATTCCAATTTCTGATTTTTTTTTTTTATAAAAATAAATTTCAATAATTTAAGATTGACATTTCAAGAATTTTGTTTTATTTGATGATTTACATTTACATATATGCGAAATACAATGACATCTTGAATATTTTAGAGGGATTTTTTGAAAAACTCTTTCTGAAAAAAAAATAAATAAATAAATTTAAAAAAATATATATACATATGTATATACATTCATAATATACTAATTCTAATAGAGTTATAATAGCGTAATTAGGTCATAAAATGTAAATATTTGCATAAATAAATTTTTCCGTTTGAAAATTCAATAGCAATAAAATATTTTAAAATATGTGATCATTTTTAACAAAAATTATTTGGATTCGTTTTATTTATTCGATTTGTAACTAAAGTGACTTTTATTTTAGCGAAAATTGCATTTTTATTTCACTTTTATTTTTGCCGAGACAAAAACCCAGCACACTCAAAGCAGAAAATTAGGATTTTAAAGTAAAGCTAGCGAAATGTGCGCATCCTTACATGTATGTATACATTGGGGCTCATTCTGAGTACCAAATCATTTTATTATAGGCACGAATCATTTGTATGAAATAGTTTATACTTACACTAATAATATCGAACTTTTTACGATAATTATCACTATTACTTAGTGATTCAATACTCAGAATAAGTTCCATTATACACTTTAACCTATTTTATGATAAAGCTATTTTTAAATCGTTGTGTGAGCGGTGATGCATAAAATTATTGAACTAAATCTACTTGTCGAAATCAAAATTTAATGTTAAATTATTTCGAAAAATTAGCACAGGTAATTTTGTCTCCAATACTATTTCACTTTCATTTGCTTCCTTATAACTCCGATGATAAACTTCGAAAAATTTGATATGTTCAATGCTTTATTTATATAACTTCAATATTAAAAATTAATATTTAATAACAGTTAATATCTAACGTCAGTATTAAAATTAACATAAAAATAAATACCGTATTTGTATGTACAAAATATGTAAAAGAGTTGATAAATGTGATATAAACCATTCAAAATTTTCACTCACACCATTACAAATGTTCAAGGTTGCTCAAATCTGATATCCAGAATTATGTAAGTTATATAATTACCTACATATTGAAAAATAAAACTGACTTTATAAAGCCGTGTAACAAGCTCTACTAAATCCTTCTGAAGGAGTGTACGTTATTGAAATGAGAAAATAAGAAAAACTCCTCCTTGTAGGGATACCACTCACATTCATAAAGACAATAATTATTTATGCTGGTGAATAGCATCGTTAAGAGTAGTATTATCCGCATTATTCGTCATCTACAGCTAAGAGTATGTAGGGCGAAATAGTCCAAAATTGAACGTATAGAATTAATTACAGTTGTTTCGTAAAAAGACCGGTCGGAGACCGTATATTCGGTAATTTTTTGTATTATTCTTGAACAATTTCTAGTTCAATCGAACTTAATTACAACTTAATTATAAAAATAATTAAATAATTAAAAAAAGAAAATATAAATAGACATTTACGAAAAACATTTTAATAAAATTAGAACGAAATTTCGCATAAAATAAAAAAAAAATCTCAATAATTATGGAATATTGCTATTTTTGAAATTTCTATTTTCATACAACTATGACTTTAATTACTTTATTTTTTTTTAAAATATTCCCGAATACTTTTCATTTAATTACAGAACTTAAAGAAGAATGATTTTTAAATGAAATAAAATTATATATTGAATAAACATTGTATAAGAAATTTATCGAATTTCATTTCATTTCATAATTAATATTTTGCGAGCAATAAAACAAATCGAAAACTAATTATGGTAATTATAAAACTTTTAATTATACTTGAAAAAAATCTCTTATTTATATTTTATTGGTTATACTTAAAAGATATTAGAAATTACTATTATTTATGTATAATTAGAATATTTAAGTATATAAACAAGGAAACAACAATATTTTCATATAATTGAAATATACGCAAAAACGTGATATTCATTGCAATAGAAAATATTCAATTGTTTACAAATAGATTATGAATTTATTATAAAATTTATCTGAAATTAGATCATTAATTAGCATAAACTTGAAATTGTGTGCGCCAAACGTATTTATCTATGTTTAGAATACTTAATTTAATTTTTCGATAAAAATAAATTTCAAATTTTAAATTTACATACCTTATTATGTAGGAATAATATTTTCCAATATTTTTATACATATTTTTAACAATATCGAGGAATTTGCTCAATTTTAGAAAGTTTGGAAGATCTTGTTATTTTTTAGATAAAAATTTAGTTGACGGCAAACTTATCTTAAATGCACAAATGAAAAAACAAGTAACGCGCAAGGAAATTGCGACCAAAACTTAATCGGCAAAGAGAGAACTTATAAATACGCTAATAGGGTCTCTCCAATGGAACAATTTATTAATAACCTAATAGTGTCTCTTCAATGGGACAATTTATTAATATCCTAATAGGGTCTCTTCAATAGAACAGTTTATTAATACTTTAATAGGGTCTCTCCAATGCGATTAATGAGATATAGTCTTATTAGCTAACATGACAGAATTTCAAAGATCATCCCGAAAACGATCTGTCTAGAAATTGCGAAGAGGAATGAAGTTACGAAGAGAATATCAAAAGGGTGATGTGACTTCTTCCATGCTCGGGTACGGCGTTGTTGAAATCAAATTGGAGATTTTCTTAGCTTCTCTCTTTTAGAGAATGAATATGTAAATGTCTCTTTTTCACTATTTCTGCGATTGTCCGGTTCTAGACGAAGCCAGATTGAATATGTGGGGGCAAAGCGTGTAATTTTTGAATAAATGCATGTTAATTTTAATGAGAGAGTGAAAAGAAGAAATTTTGCAGTATCACATAGTGCGAGTGCCTGAGTAGTCTAAAATGTACTCTTCGAAAAGCCGCGTCATCTAAATATAACTTAATTCAGAAGTATCCTATTCACCCCATTCATTATTTTAATTTTATAATTTCAATAATATTTTATTTATTATTTTTAATTTAATTGCAAATTTATATTTTGTTTTTCTTTATTTTTTTCATTTTTTGGTTTGCTAATATTTTAACACAAACCTTTTGATGCACTTTGATTTCCTCCTACAAAAAAACAAAAACAAAATATTAGAGCGTTTTACAACAAACAAATGTAAATCAAATACTTTTAAATGAGAAAAATATTTTCCAACAAAAGCATCAAAATAATTATAGACAACAAAATACAGTAGTTGCAGCCGGAACATCATCATCGTCTTCGACAATACAAAATTCTTCAAATCATCATCATCATCATTCACATCATCATCACCAACATCATCAACTTCAACATGGAAAACAAGAAAATTCAATTATTACTGATTATGATTCAACAGATAATAGTAAATTAATCAATGGTGAATACAATTATGTTGGATTAGTTGGAGCTCCATCTATAATTAAAAGTAATTATGATAAAAAATTAATCAAAGCAAAGAGTCATGATCAAGATACCTTGCTTAAAGATAAAAATAATTTAGAAAATACTTGTTCATTATGTATATCAAAGCGTTCTAGTTATCAACCGACAACAGCACCGGTAGTAGTTGTTAAAAAACAAGGTGTATCAGGTGAAAGTTGTGATGCAACAAATAATCGATCACAAAATATTCCAATACCAAAATATGAAAAGGATTTTAGGTAACTGAAAACCGAAAATAAAAATATATTTAAAAAATTAAAAAATTACATCTAAAAATTTAAATTGTGTTTCTGTTTTTTTTTAGATCAAAACAACTTATTAAAGATGCCATTATGGACAATGATTTTCTTAAAAATATTGATTCAACTCAAGTTCGTGAACTTGTTGAATCAATGTATAATTTAGATGTTGCAAATGGTGAATTTGTTATTAGAGAAGGTGACATCGGTTCTCATTTATATGTATCAGCTGAAGGACATTTTGAAGTTATTAAAAATGATATTGTATTGGGTACAATGGGTCCGGGTAAAGCATTTGGTGAATTAGCAATTTTATATAATTGTACAAGAACAGCATCAATAAGGGTTATATCAGATGATGCACGTGTATGGGTATTAGATAGAAGAATATTTCAACAAATTATGATGAGAACTGGTATGCAAAGAATTGAAGAGAATATAAGATTTTTAAAATCAGTACCATTGTTAAAAAATTTATCTAGTGATGTTTTGGCTAAAATTGCTGATGTATTAGAAGTTGTAAGTATAGAAAATTTAATATAATTAAAATAAAATTACTAAAATATTTTCCTATAATATACCGGTCATTTAATTAATTACGAATTATTTTATTTATTCATCAAATTTATATTTGTTTTTATGAAAAAAAAATATTCATAATTTTTATTACCAAATCTCTATATTCAAAAAAGTTAATTTCATTAATATGGTTTTGGTTTTGATATTAAAAGTTTGTTTTTGAATTAAAACTTTTCCAATAATAATATTTTAAGAATTATCAGTTCCTAAATAATAAACTTTTTATATTGTTATTTTTGTCCTTGAAATTTAAATTAATGATTTTTTCACGTTCAAGGTGATATTATACACTGATTCAATATGCAATCAGTAAAAATTTGTGCAAATAAAGTTATTCGCTTATAGCCTTAGTATTTTGGAAGCTGCTAAATGGATGCTTAATAATTTAAAGTAGGTCAAAGTCATATGAATAATTAAGAAATTTAAATATACTTACTAAATTCATGTTCAATATTTTGGAAAAAATATTTCAAGTGTATTTAGTAAATCCCAAACAAAATAAAAAAACATTTTAAAAAAGTAAACAAAATATTGTCAAATTAAAATGAAATAAATTTTATTGCATATATTTAGGCAAAATTTCTTATTTTTCTCTTTACATAAACGTCACAAAGTAAAAAGAGAATTTAATAGGCTAAATATTTTTATTTAATAGTTTGCAAGCTATAAATAAATGATTTTTTTTTTCTAAAATATTGTATAGGGGAAAAAAAACCAATTTATTTACTACATAACTGTTTTATTACTTAAGTATTTTTTATAAAAAATAACTATAAAATATTTTATCTTGTTATTTTTATTATTATTTTCTAAACTTTCATTACTCTTTTTTTTTCTTTCATTATTTTCAATCTAAAAAAAACTTGTTACAAAACAAAAAACCGAAACGTCGCGTCGTCAACATCAACAACATAAAATTATTTTTTTTTTTTATCAACAATTTTACTAACAATGATCCGATTTTATCCTTATATATGCACATACACATACAAACAACAAAACAAAATTCAATAAAAAAAAATGTTTAACAAAAAAAAAACATGGAAAAAATTTCAATAGGAATTTTATCCTGCCGGTACCTATATAATACGTCAAGGTGCCAGCGGGGATACATTCTTTTTAATAAGTCAAGGTACTGTTAAAGTAACACAAAAACTAGGAAATTTACAAGAGGAAAAGGAAATTCGAACTTTACAACGTGGTGATTATTTTGGTGAACAAGCATTAATAAATGTCGATAAAAGAACAGCTAATATAATTGCAATGACACCTGGCGTTGAATGTTTAACACTTGATCGTGATTCATTTAATCATTTAATTGGTGATTTATGTGAATTAAAAGAAAAAAATTATGGTGATGAAAATCGTATATTAGCTATGAAATTTTCTGATGAAAAAGAAATTAAAGTATTTGGTACCAATATTGTACAAGGTATATAAAAAAAAATTTTTATAATAAAAACGAGAATATAATCAAAATATAATTAACATATGAGGGGTTTTTAATGAAAATGGTGTTAAGTGATAATTGTGAAAATCATAAAAAATGAAATTTAATTCTTCTTTGTTTTATTTTATTCGAAATGATAAAAACATAAAATTTTTAAATAAACGTCACTTAGCACCTTCTTTATGTAAATCCTTCAAATTACGTCACCTCTCATATAGCATGTTTGATGTTAACGTTTTAATGTTTTAGAGAGAAAGTTGGAGTGGAGAGTGTTTTATAGATTTTTTTTTTTTTTTGCATATTCATTCTTTTTGCATTAATATTTTAAACTGTTATACAAAATGTTTACAAAACTATTATACAAATGAAAACTGTTATACAAAATAGTATTTAATCAAAAATCTCAAATATAATTTAATTATTATAATATCCTCATTCTGAATATTATAATAATATATCTTAAAAAATATATTATTACATCTAATATTATTTCTAAAGTAGTACTTTTTTAATTGACTTTATTAAATATTATACAATTAAATGTTCTTTTTTTTTTTTTGTATGAAAGATTAAATATTTAGATTAAAAACTTTATATCTTAAAATCAAATGTAGCAATTGTTTAATATTTTTGCAATTTTTTAGTTTTCTGTATCTAACTATTATTTTTTTTTGATTTTTTATAATCCATTAAATATGCAATATGCTTAAATTGTATAAAAATATTGTATAACATTTATTATCATAAAAGAAGTTAAATTTTAGTTAAATTTCATTTCACGTTATCACTTATTATTCTAAATTTAAAAATTCATTTAAAAATATGCAAAATATTTTATACAACACATGTAAAACTTATAATAATAATAAAGAAAATGAAAAATGTTATACTCATTTATTGCAAACAATAATATTATCATTATCATTATCATTATCGCATTCATTATTATCATCATATTAGTTATGTAATATATGTACATACACAAAAATTGATGTGTACATGTATGCAATTGATGCGAAAAAATACAAAAAAAAAAATTAAAAATATTTTGTTCTCTTTCATATTTTTTTTATATTTTTTATTTTCTTTCTTTTAATAAAAAACAAAAAAAAAACAAAATTTAGAATTTCCCGAACTAAAATTAACTGACTTGGAAATTGTTGCAACATTAGGAATTGGTGGTTTTGGTCGTGTTGAATTAATAAAATGCTACCATGAAAATCGTATAGCAACATATGCCCTTAAATGTTTAAAAAAGAAACATATAATTGATACGAGACAAGAAGAACATGTATTTAGTGAAAGAACAATTATGTTGACATGTAAATCACCATTTATATGCCGTTTATATAGAACATTTCGTGATGAAAAATATTTATATATGTTATTGGAAGCCTGTATGGGTGGTGAAGTATGGACAATGCTTAGAGATCGTGGTAATTTTAATGAAGAACAAACACAATTTATAACTGGTTGTGTATTACAAGCATTTGAATATTTACATTCAAGAAATATTATTTATAGAGATTTAAAACCAGAAAATTTAATGTTAAGTGAACAAGGATATGTTAAGTTGGTATGAAAACTATTATTATTATTATTATTTTTGATTTATTAACATACATATACATAATATTTGTATATATTTTTGTGAATTTCGTTTATTTTTTACTAAAATGTAAAGGGTAACTATTACTTTTTATGAATTTTAATAGTTGCGACCCAATTTCTAATTTGTTTAAATTTTAAAAAAATTAATTATTAAAAAAAATTTGAATTATGTATTTTTTATTACAAATAACAAAAGTTTAATTAAGTTTGATTCACTGCAACAACTTACTATACACAGTTTCGCCGGTTATTTGCAGAATATGTAATGCTTTTACAGGAACGGTTTCGAATAAAAATTCAATTTAACTTGATCTTCTTAAAACCTTTTTATTATATTAAAAGAACTTATAATACAAATTACTTATCACTTATTTACTAACCAACTTTAATATTAATTTTTTTTTTAATTTAATTAAGGTTGATTTTGGATTTGCAAAATATATTGGAAATAGTCAAAAAACGTGGACATTTTGTGGTACACCAGAATATGTTGCACCTGAAATTATATTAAACAAAGGACATGATCGAGCTGTTGATTATTGGGCTCTTGGTATATTAATTCATGAACTATTAAATGGAACGTAAGTTAATCTGCTCATTTTTTTTTAAATTAATCAAAATTAGGCATTTAAATGCAACGATCTATATTAAGTTCTGCATTTATTAAAACTTACGTATACAAATATAAAAAGTCCCATCCATATTTGTTTGACTAGTGTAGATGAATTCATTTTAATATTCCTCTTTGTATACATTAAAATAAAAATTTTTTTTTTCAATTTTGCTGAACAATTCAATTGCCAATATTTAAAAAATCTAAGCTAATAAGAAATTTGTGTAAACATGAAAATTTCATAATAATAAATATTTTTTAAATTAATATTTTGGATGTTATTTTGCAAAGAATTTTTTTAAGCCAAAATCGTGAATATTTAACTGAAATCTATAGAAAAGACTTAAAATTCAAACAATAATTTGATATTTCTGTATAAAAATTGGCACTTTATCATAAGAGGCAAAATTGTATAACAGTAAATATTTTTTGAAATTTTTTTTTGCATTAAATACAGATTTAAGCCAATATTGAAATAATTTTTAAAGTAATATCTATATTGAACCAAAATTGAATATAGTTAAAGAAATAAATATTTAATATAACAGTTTTACATAATAACGAATACAATTACTTAAAAATTTTTTCTTAACCACACTTTCTTTAATAATATTTAATTTTAAAATAATTTTAATATTTTTTTTTTTTCAATTTTAGACCACCATTTACGGCCAATGATCCCATGAAAACATATAATATTATCCTTAAAGGAATTGATATGATAGATTTTCCAAAACATATGCCAAAATCTGCAGTAACATTAATAAAAAAATTATGCCGTGATGTACCAGCTGAACGTCTTGGTTATTCAAAAGGCGGAATTGAGGATATTAAAAAACATAAGTAAGTTATAAATATACGTTTGTATGTATATATGTAAATATTACAAACATAAAAATTTCAAATTTTACGTGCCATATGCATATTGAAATATTATTTGTGTCAATTGGCAATCTTCTATAATATTCACAAAAAAAAAACATTTTTTCTACATTCTCGCCATTCGTAAACTGATAAGCCACAATCGAAGGTTTATGGTTTTTAAATTATTAGGGGTCGGTGTTGAGCCCAAAATTTTAATATATAATTTTTTTTTTGTACATTTGTCAGAAAGGGACTAGAGTTCGATTGAAATATTTAAATTACCAATTAATTGAGACGGGATTTTTTTAGCCTCGGAACCAAAATTTTTAGGCTATTGTTGTAATACAAAATTAGCATTCATTTTTATTTCATTCATCAAAGCTATATTTTTCTTTCCATTTCATCTTATTTATTTTTTCTTGTATTTAATATCAAAAATTAAACATTTTGCCGGTAACATTTTTGTACAAGAATTCCTTATGGATAAAAGAAGCATAATATGCAAAATATTTGAAAAATTAAATTGCAATATTTTTCCTTATGCTTATCTTCTTTTATATAAACTCAGAAAAATATTTTTAAATCATGTGCAAATATAATCATCATGAGGGCTGAGTGGTTAAGAAGAGTTTAGTCGTTAATATGTAAATTCTGGATACCAGATGCTCTCCGGTTTACAATAGCAAATTGCCAGCTGAACAGTATTTAAACAGGACAAATTCTGTTTAGATGTAATACAAAATCATTAACTCCCGTGTTAAACTTAACTTGTTAAACATGAACTTAAATGTAATATTAACCAATTTAGATACCATATATCAGACCTACAGTATAAAATTGTTAACTGCAGTCCATTTTAAAATTTATAAAATTATATAAAATTTAAAACTGCCTATGAATAAAATATTTTATTGGTATACTTATTCTATAGTCACTTCAATATTTTATTCATAAAAACTTTAATCAAAATTTTATGTACTCGTATGTATGCAAATATTTTCAATTCGCTAAATTTTTTTATTTTCAAGTAGGCAAAATTAAAAATAAAATTTAACTAAATTTAATTTATTTACCTTTAATTTTCTGAAGTTATTTTCCACTCATTTATGGTAAAGCGAAAAAAAAATATAAAATAAAAGAAAAATAACAAAAATCAAAAGAGTAATGATTTCAAAAATTTAATCTAAATTCCGTGAAGATTTTTCCAACTATATACTATACATACACCTATACAAATGACTACATATACAAATACAATGAAAATACTACTACTACTACTGCTTTTCAAGTGTAATTTAACAACAACATAGCAATAAAACGGTAACAGCAAACTAGAATAGAAAATAATAAGAATAAGAATGAAAATTAAAATTGAAATTCTGAAATAAAAAAATAGAAAAAGTTTTCCGAGTTTTTGTAAATAAAAATCAAATTTTCTTTCCACTTGACCCAAATTTAAGTGATTTGTATATGCACATAAAAAAATCTATTTAAAATGTTTAAATAAAATTTAAAACTGGACTGAATTTTTGGGGGTAGCTCAATTAGATAACTCAATATATAAATACCTCTATATAAGATAAAAAAAGTAGAAAAATTAGGCAATACCTTTACTGGCGTAGAAAAAACAATTACCACTAAAAATTCTTTCAACAAATCAATTGTCAAAATATATTCACAAGTGTATGCATATAATATATAAATAAATTGTTAGCTTAAATTAAAATTTAATAAATAAATCCAATATTCAGTAATCGAGATAATAAATCTTTAATAAAAGTCCTTCAGAATTTTTACGGCTCAAAACTGGTGAAAATTTAAACAAATCTACTCGTATAAGCTTGTCATATGTAAAGGCATCTATAAATGATAGCATCGGAATCAATTTGTGTAATATTACACTGCAATTCTTATGTCAGAAACACGGACACCGTCACCTAATTAATTGTAAAGATTTCAATTAAGAAGAGAAAACCTGATTGGGGATATTAAAATGCTCCATTTGTATTTTCGCCCAGTTGTATGCAATACGCCCGATAAAAAAACAAATAACGTTATTTTTTGGAAAACATTTATTATTATTATTATAGAAATATAGCTATGCTACACAATTAATAATTTCATTGTATTCATTCAATAAATCAAGAAACTAATCAGTTTAGCTGACCTTTTAGTACTTTGCAGGGTAAGTATTTGAATATGCTGTACACCATTCCAAATACACATATATTATAATTAATATTGAATTCTTAAGTACTCATCCAGCGATTTCTAATTCAATATAAAATTTGTTTTTTTGGTTTCTGATTTTCCTATGACATACGAAATATTATGGTCTATTCATACATAATATAGAATTGTAACTTTGATTGAACTTTATTTAAGTCTCTTTTTTTTATACACTACTTATGTATACAAATATTATTTTATTTTTAGATGGTTTCAAGGATTCGATTGGGATAGTCTAGCAAATTTAACATTAATACCACCATTTTTACGGCCAGTAACAAATCCTTTAGATACATCCTATTTTGATAAATTTCCTGCTGATACAGATATACCACCAGACGAAACATCCGGTTGGGATTCAGATTTTTAAAAGGAAGAATCATAAAAAATAATGAATATAGAAGAAAAACAACAAATAAAAATAATAAAAATTGTAATGGAAAATATTTTATCATACTTTTTTTTTGCTATTTTTTTTGGTATTTCTGTTTTCCTGCATATTATGTACGTAATATACGATTGTACATATGTGTATGGTGAATGAAATTACATATCAAGATATGCATATACAAGTGAAAATGTAACCATATAAATAAATTGTTAATTTTAATAAAAAAATTCAAGACTTTTTTGAATTAGAAATGTGCATGTAATTTATATATACATATAAGCGTATACTTATACATAAGTATACTTATATAAACTATATATATACCTACATATTATTTTTTTCTAGTACATAAACGTATGGTTTTTAATTTGTAAATTTGGAATATTTTTGAGTCGAACTTTAAACCAAAAACACAAAACAAAAGAGTAATAAGATTAGATTCATGTTTGTAGGTCTATCTTAGAATAACAGCTGCAGCCCGATTCTATACTTTACTGCACAAAACAATCTGCTCTAGTTTGTAATTCTGCAAAAACTTTTCTGGAAAATTTGCAGCAAAAAACTAATACTATACTTTCCTGCTGTTGTTTGTTAATTTTTGTTTTGACTGTCTTTTGTGTTTTGACATTTATTGGAAACATGAGCTTTTATTTACAAAGCTAGTGCATATTATAAGACCTGAGTTCGCAGAGATTGTACACATCTAAATAACTAAACAAAATAGTACTCTCTATCAAAATTACTTTCTTTTCTGTCAAATTTGAAGTTTCATTTTGTGACATCTACTATCCACTTGTCACTTAATTTGTAATTGAAAAAAAATTTGTATACAATGACATGCCATTACCCACTTGTTACATCTTCTAGTGTTTTTTTTTAAATTCTTGAATACATACGCAAACTTATTATGAAGTGATTTAATTAAAAGTGTCATATTAAATGAATACTAAGTTCGATTTTTTTAAGTACTCAAATTTACTTTTATAATCACTTTAACTTTTTATTTATAAATAAAAAAAATTAAAAATCTACTAATATCATTTAATTTTATAGATTTTTATTAACTTTTTAGCTTTAATTTTCTTCTTATTCCCAATAGAGCTTAAAGTTTTAGTTAAAAAATTAAACAAATTTTGAACAAGGGTATATTTGAAATGGTTTGTATTTGAAATAAATACATCTTAAGTACATATCTATGAAAAAAAAACAAATTATCAATCAATATTTAAAGCCGTAAAGTTATTAAATATCGTAGATTCTAAAATATCTAAAATTATTTGAAAAAAAAGCAACTGAAAAGCACTTCCATTTAGAAAATTGTGTAAAGAAAAAAAAAACTTATGGGCTATTTTTATTCTAAATAATGAAATTTTCATTTAAATATACATACATATTTACACATATATTTTATATTATTATATATTAATTTATTTTTATTATATTGTTTGGAAAAGGTTTGTTTATACTTTATTATTAATATAAACTTTAATAAATAAAATATGTTATGAAAATAAGTAAATAATAACTGTAAGTTTTGCTATTATATTCTGCATAAATTTAAAAAAAAAAAATATTTTTTTACAAAATATGTAAAAAATATATGTATATTCGAAATATATTAAAAATAAAAAATATTGAAAATAATGCTTTTTAATTCATAGTTCATTCAAATGTACATAATGATTCGAATATGATAATTAATAATCTGCTAAACCTAAATTAACTTACGCAAACAATGCAATTGACGTTTGTATTTCTATAAGTTAGAATTAAAATACCAGCTTTGTTGAAAACTGCAAGTACAAGTAAGCCATTTTAGAAATTTCACGCAACCTTTTTCTCTGACTGCGAAAGCTTATCAAACAAGATGGAGAATGACGAACTTTTCCATAAAATTATTTAAACTTTTATATCTCTATTTCTTTTAACATGTTATTCAAATTTATAATTTTTAAGAAATTTTTACTGAAAATTGTTTTTTTTTTAATTTTCATATGTTAGATAAATAGAACAATGACAATATTGTCAATTTATTGCATTTTTTAACGAAAAATCTGCAAAAACTTTTTAGTACTTACTACAGAGCAAACGATAAGTTTTAGCAGTTGTCAATCAATACAAAATCGCATTTTTTTAGTTTTATATCGCAAATGCGTACACATGCTAGGTTTTGAAAGGAACCTGTTGTAATACGTCTCTTAAACACACATGAGTATATAAAATAGAAGACGATTTGCAATAATGTGAAGCAAATGATTGAGTATGTAAAAATATGTAAAAATTAAAATTTAACGTTAAAAAAACTAAATGTACATATGTATATAAGTATAACATCCAGAATTACATAAAATTAAAAGTAGAAATAATAATAAAGAAATTGAACGAGTTGAATAAAAATTGCTAAGAACATTTCAAAGAAGATACCGTTTTTTACTAGAATAAAGCAAAAGTTAATCAGGGAATGTGCAATATTTATATATATATATATAATATAATTATACGAGTATTACCACACTTTGATTATTACGCGTCAATAATATTACTAAGCAACAACATTAAACTTGACAGAATGCATAATTTTACAAAATAACGCAATGAGAATTGTGATCAGATGTGATAACAGGACGTATATTAGTACGATGATAGATCATTTAAATTGGACAACTGTTAGAAATATAATTGAGTATAATACGCTTTTAATAATATTTATGATGGACTTTTGAAAATATTGAAATATATGAAGAACCACATTGACTAAGTAGCAAGGTATTATTTCTTAAGGAATAGAGGAGATTTTACACTGCGGTCATATCATAGGACAAATACTCAAAATTCTTTTACGTATAAATGTGTTCAAATGTTTGATGTATTGCCGATAAACTTTAATAATAAATTTTCAATAAATTATATTTTTTTATATTTTTTTCGTTTAGTTTTATTTTAAAACATTCCTTTCTGCAAAACTATAATAAAAAAAAAAATAAAATTTTATTAAAACTTATTTGGATTTACAAATTCTAAACAGTCTGTTCTCTTGTCAATATAAAAGTTAGAATTTCTTGGGGTTTTATTGTAATTTGGAAAGGATCTTCATTCTCCTTCTGTAAAACATTTGTATTTTTGCTTGGATTTTCTACATCTACAATATTTCTAAGAGGTTTTCCTTTTTCAGTCTCCCGTTTTGATTTCAATATCACTTTTATTAAATCTAAATATGAAATATTTAGAAAATATTAAAATATTAAAAGAGAACATTAAAATTTGAGAATATTAAAATTTTAATATACCTTCTATATTTTGTTTTGAAGATTTTTTCGGTTGATCTTCTTTAAATTTCAAACGACTTTTCTGACTTACTAACATATTTCCATCTAATGTCATTTCTTTAATATCCTTAACATTCAAATATCGAAATACATCTTTTATATTGAATGTAACGGGTTTCGAATATATAGGATCATCGTCCGATTCCATAATATGCTCAAAACGTACTAAAATTTCATTTTCATGCCATGGCTCAAATGTTAAAAGATGTACATTCTTTGGTAATGACAATGTAATTCCAGAATACTGTATTATGCAAAGTAAATAAATAAAAAGATTTTAACATTAAATTATTAATATTAATAATAGTTTCATATCAAGAAAAACTTACCAATAAATAATAATTATTTCTAAATTGATCATAACTTATATTTTCGGCATCATCAAAGAACGTCCAAAATGGTAAATGCTTTCTTATTTGTAAAAATCTTTCTTCAGCTTTTGCTGTTGGTGCACGATTCAAATCTGATCGTCCTACAAGTAAATAATGTTTTCCTCTAGAAATTAATCCATCACCAAAAGCAGTTTCATTTAAAGGTTCTCCAACACCAAATGCATCATCTTTCAATAATCTTCTGTGAACCTAGAAATACAAAAATTTGAAAAAGAATTTAAAATTTTGCAGGCTGCAAAAAAAAAATCCTAACCATGATTTCTAATGTGCCATCATATATACTTCCACCACCTTGTGCTCTATCAACTAAAACAGCCATTCTTGTTTTTTTATCTTCTAAAGCTATATTTGTTAATATCGGATAATAATTCCCGGCAATAGGTTCTGTTACTGTATAATTCCATGTTTCACGATGATCACGTACTCTTTTTATCATTTGACGTCCACTTGAATCAGTATAAAAAATTCCATTTGATTTAATATCGGTACTATTAAATCTTGTTATTATTTCTTTTCCAATACCATCCTCAATTGGTATTGGTCCAACTAACCATTCAAATTCAATATTATTTTCTTCAGCATATAATCGTATCACCTGACTTACATATTTATTAAATTTTTGATGAACTTCTTGTACTAAATGACCTTGAATAAGATTTGTTTCAACTTTGTTTGTTATTTTAATTGCTTCTGTTCCATTTGGTCGGAATATATATGCACCGGATGATCGATTAGTTGGATGTCTATTATCTCCTATAAATCCTTTATAATAAAGAAAATCTTGTTCTAATGAAATATTAACACCATTTCCAATAACACGTGATAAAAGGCCATTATTACCAAATTCTAAGTTTAAATACTAAAAATGAAAGATTAAATGATAAATACATATTCAAAAATAAATGATTTACCTTATTTTTTATATTAAAACTTCCTGCTATAGGTTCTATTTGTGTAGGAGGTCGCCCCTGAGCAGTCCTTGTTATATAATATGATTTATAACCCATTGGAGGAACTTGTTCAGCTAAGAATACCAATTCAAATTGAACATTACTTTTACGATATCTTAATGCTCGAATAGTTTCCGGAATATCAACTATTTGTGAAGGAATATTTATATCTATAAAAAAAAACAAAACATAAATTGTGATTTTTAAAGAATAAAAATTATTGTTTTAAGCTTTACTTCTATAATCTTGAACCGAATAGAATTGAGTTGGTACGGGTACTCTAATATATTCATCATTTGCATGAGCCAATGGATTATAAATTGTTATAATAAATCTCTCCCTATTTTCACTTATATCACATTGACTAATATTTAAAAGTAAACAGTTTTCAAATTCAAATTTAATATCCTCAGGTATTGGATCTTCTTTTTTAGTATCATCATCATCATCATCATCATCTTTTTTAGATATTGAATTAAAATTTTTATTATTTGTAACATTTTCATTATCAATTGCACTATCATTATTTAATAAATTATGAAGACCTCCATAACTTTCATCTGCTGGTTGTAATAAATTTCTTAAAAATTCTTTAATAATAACTGAGCATGCATTCATTCCAATATTTATACGTCTTGCATAATCATCAGCAACTTTTTGCTTTTCTGTACCTGTAACAGCATCATGATGTTGCATAATACCCATTGTTTCACGTAAAAATGATAAATGCATATCAGTTTCCCTTTGATTTTTTGGTTTAATTGGATTTAATACTGTTAATTGTTTACAAACTTGTAAAAAGTGATTTCCAATACGTTCATATCGTTTTAATGTTGGTCTAGATGTAAAATAACCAGTCCAATATGAATGTGGATCCGAACCATATGGAAAGAAATCATCAGATTTTGTTGGCCAAGTTGTACCATTGTCATGAAGTGCTTTCAAATAACATGATGGTGTAGAATAGAATAAATTTATATTTGAATTATTTCTTTCTTGTTTTAAATTTCCATATCTGTAATTTTTATATACATTGTAAAATTTAGATTGTAAAATTTAATATTCTCATTTGGTTTAAAACAAAATACTATAAAATTCAAATTTACTTTTACTAACATTATAATATTATTAGTATTTTTATGTGAGTACATACATTATGTTGTTAATTCAAATACTTATATATGTAGTATGATCAAAATGTTAAAAGGGTAATACTTTTATTTTAATTAGTAATGGCAAAATATATCATTTCTTTCTATTATCTAATTTAAATATAGTTAGGGTAAGTCATTCTTGAAATATTGTTTTAGTTTATTAGAAGCATGCAATACTAATCATTCTTTTATAGATATTAGAATTCTTTTGTAATTTAAACTTACTTAATTAATTTATCAAGATTTTTATACCACATATGGGCATCTTGATAATGAAAATCTTCTCCCATTGTAATTAAAACATTATTCGTTTTATAACTATCTGCCATAACTTCAATATATTGGTTAAACTCTTTTACCTATGAAATTTTTATATTTTAATATTTAAAACTAAAAAAACGATTTCAATAAAATTTTTTAAAAGAGTTATCACAGGTAAAATAAATATTACCCTTCCTATTATTTTTTTTTTAATATTTTATTTGAAAATTTATTTTAGTGGAAGAGATATTTGCGATACAAATCCCGATTAACATACTGTTGGTATCTACGGCAAAAGTTTGAGCTACAAAACAAAATACTCGTATAATCAATGAAAATCAATGGCCATCAATAAAAATAAAAAATTTTCAATAAGAAATTTTTAATTTTTTTATGACTTTTTTGTGTGATTCCGAAAGAAAATATTTTTCCTCTAAATTTTTCATTTTTCATTAACCTTTTAACATTTTCACTGCATTTTATCAAATATTTAAATAATTTAAAGCATAACCTACTTTATTAATTTATCCAAATTTTTGTAATAATAACCAGCTCTCATATAAGTAAAATCGCCGCCCATTGTTAAAATCACATTATTTGTACGAAAATTTTCAGCTTGTTTTCGAACAAAATCGAAATAACTATTTACCTTAAAATTATATTGAATATAATGAAAAATTATTTAAAAATTTTTTAATAAAAATCATATTTTTATAATGATTTATTGTCGTATGTCTACGAGCTTATGTATTGTCGTATGTTCTTAGCCACTCATAAGAACAAAATATATTTGGATCAAGCCATTTACCGGAATAAATGTACGTTACTGTACTCTCAACTACTGCTTTAAATAAGATGGGAATAGTTGAAAGTATTATTTCACTTAAAGTGTTGGGCACACTTTTAGAGTGTTTTACATATCGACTTAAATGAATTGCAAAGAATAATAAAAATAATTATACCCTTCTATCAACGTTAAATTCTTTACTATGTTCATCATCAATAATTGGCTCATCGGCACACAAAATATCAAAACAAAAACCTGGAGGCGGCTGATATTGATTATAAAGTGCACCAGTAAATAAATCAGATGATTCACCTATAATAAAAAAAAAGTTTTTAATATTTTCCGAATTTTGTACATTGTTGTTGTGCACATAAGTCATTATATTTGTATATGTACCTAAATCCTTATTTGCTTTCCAAACCATTTCCATATTTTTTGTTATTAAACGATTTAATTTATCTGCTTCATCTAAACGCCCAAAAAATAATCCATCATATCCCATTTGAGCAAATATTGATGCTTGCTCTCTTGAATGACCAAATGGATCAATTTGCCATGCAATTCGTGGTCTTCCACATTTACCAAATGTATCATCTAAACGTCTAAAAATTTCAAAAAAGAAAAAAATTAATTCAAAAATTAATTTAAAATTTAAAATTATAGTTACTTTAAACCCCATGCAAATTGATCAATAATACTTTGATAATGTGCTGTTGCTTCATCGTTCATACTCCAAGCGCCACCAATAAATTCTAAACGTCCTTGATTAACTAATTCTTTTACTTTTTCTCGATGTTCTTCTGTTTGTTCATGCCACCATTTAAAGAAGAATGCTGATTCAACATATATAAATCTATTGAAAAAAAAATTATAGAAAACAATAACGAAAATTAAATTTTAAGACATTTTAAATTTTTTTATATCAATAATTACTTTTTATTTGGATCACTTAATAGCTCATCTATAACTGAGTCAATAATATATTGAACGCCAGCCTTTTGTATACCCGTTTTACTTCCATAATAATATTGATCAACTGTTTTTAACCAGCCAACATCATCATGTGTATGCGGAACAATATGAACATTTATCATATTTGGTTTGGGAACAGGACAGCTCTGTTAAAATTTAAAATAAAGGTATAGGTATACATTTGAAAAAAAAATTTGAGGCATTCTCAAGAATTCAGTTTTATTTATATAGACTAAAAACTTATATTGTTTGTAAGACATTCAAAAGCGTTTTACGTAAGATAATCTAAAAAAGTACAGAAACGTGCATTCCATAGCTATAAATATCAGTTTCAGACTGTAATTTCTTGATAGAACTACAACATAGAACTTAAAATAGATGTTATATTTTTTATATATATTAATATAAATTACTTGTTTTCGAATAATTTATTACAGCTACTTAACTATTCCTTTAGGGTGGAAATTAATTCTAATTCAATAGTATTCTTATATCTCTGATTTAACTCTTCTCTAAAATTGTTGACTGCCTCCTAATATATATAACATAATATTGTTTTTTTTTCTTATATTATACATTATATTTCAAAATTTTCTGTTAAACAAAGATTTTTTATTTAAATGAAGTTTGTAAAAAATCAACGCCTTTGCTCCAAATATATATTACGGAGATCATCTCTTCTGATGATGAAAGTTATTCAGAATCACTTGGCAAACGGTGCAAGCTATTGCAAGATCGCAATAATAGTTAAAAAATGTAACTCTATATTCCTTTTCAATAAAATAAAATGAATTTAATTTGATAACAAGTTTATTTTAGGCTTTTATATGAATTTCTTTCAGATATTCGAAGTTAATTTATTTAGCAGCCTATTTCAGAATTGAAATAGGCTGCTTTGAAAGACCCCGCCTTTGTCGAAGCAAGTAAATTTATTCTTTTTTAATGTGAAATTTTTATATGCAATTTACTTTAGAACGTATCCATCCATAAATCGAGACCTTATACATAGTATATAAAAATTTATAAAATATAGAAATTTTCATTTGATTTAAAGTCTACGATATTTATACGCCTCCTACTAGATCGGATCCTCCTGATTCGATCTAATCCATGCAGTTAAAATAACGAATAAAAATTTTGAAGTATACCATAAAATTATATTAATTTTGTATATAAAATTAATATAATTATTATATATTTTATTCCCCTAAACTGTTTATAAAATTTTTAGTAATCTACCAAAAAACACAGTTTCAAAGAGTCTGTAGCATAAACATCAACGCCTTTAAAAGAATTAATGAACAATTATTGACATATTATACATACTTAATTTTCTAATTAAATTTAAATTCTAATTAATTTAAATTCACAAAAAAAACTGTTATAAAATTTATAAACTGTTATAAAATACGATTATATTAAAATTATTTAATACTTTATATATATGTATGTACATATGTATATATATTTATATATATATATATATATATATTTTTCTAATTTGTATTTAAAAACACACACTTTTCTTATTTTTTTCATAAAATAAAATACCTAAAAAAAATTTCTTTTAAAATGCAATCATACCTCATAGCCACATTTTTTTTCATTTTCATTGAATATTGAATCTTTTTTCTTTTGACTTGGTAATCCATTCACCACGTATAATACACATATTATTGTGAATGCATATATTATTATCAACTTCATATTTATTATATTATATTTTTTTAAAAATAATATAACAGTTTATTTAAAATTTTATATAATAAACGAGAAAAAAAAATAAAAAACAAATATCAATAAAAAGTCAATGAACGATTCTCCATTAAAATTTTTCACCGACCTTTTCATCTAGAAAATCAATCACAAACTAAAATTTATTTTTTATCAACAATTTTTATTCATTTGAACTTCAGTTTTAAAACATTTAAATATGTAAATGCATGTATGTATGTATATATTAAACGAATAAAAATAATCTTTTTCAATATATACACTTTAACTGCTAACAAATAAGCTGCGTTCAATTATACTATATACAGAACTCAATGCATAGTACAGCATGTTCATACCTACAATCCTACATATTATTATATTTTTTATATGGGTTAGTTATAATGTATAACATACATATGTATGTATTTTCTTTATACTATTCCTATTGTGTATATAATTGCATATGTGTCTGTATAGCATAGTATAACTATATTATTTTTTAAAACTCTTATCAATGTTAATTGAACTAAAGTAGTTATAGCATTAGACTCTAGCAAGTATACCCTAGTATAATTTGAGTGTCTATAATTTATAGAATGCTAAATAAGTACTCGTACATATGTATGTCTAACGCTACAATTTTCATATATGGAAATTAACTACATTGTAATATTTTATTTACATATACATACTATATACATAATAATATTATATCTTCAGTAATTAAGGATAAACCCAATTAATTTAAATAACTTGATTGACAATAAAATAAAATTGCATACACATATACATACATACATATGTACGTTATCAAACACACTAATATCTAGATTGTAGATTGTAGATCCACAATCTAGGTGTAGATAGAAAATGTAAAATTATTTAGATTTCAAGTTAGCATTTAACATTTTCTTGCTCCTTTATTAGTTTTATACAATTTACCATTTAAATTAGAATTTGATGTCTAAATTTTCTCTTTATTTTTAACACTTTTGTGTCAAATGTCAAAATTTGTTTATATATTAAAAATTTTTTTAAAAAAACTTTTAATTAAGTAAGTACATTCTCTTTTCGGATTTCTTAAGAGTTATTAAATGAGTCTGACTGAAAAATATTATATATAAATTTAAATTAAATTTATGAATATTATAAAGAAATTTCAATCGTACCATGGAATACCAAAAAAAATATTTATTGATATTATGGAAGCTATAATAAATATTTGCCAGGCAGATTTTCTTCAATTTAATTATTTAATTTATTTAAACTTAAACTACCTTAAACTACCTTTTGAATGTCTAAATTTTACTCTAAAAAATTTTCCCAGTTCTCCTTAAGAAATTCAAGAAACCACTTTCCGAGAATTTAAAGAACCAGTTTCGAACCCCTGGACAAGAATGAAAATCACTGTTTAAGATGAACTAAGATGAATATTACTATCACAATTAAATGAATTAATATCTTATTTATATATACTAATATATACCTAGATACGTATATAGGTGTACGGTTTGTTATATATATTATTTCAATAGCTTTGATACCATCATTAAAACAATTATAATTTTAAATAAAGTTTGATCAAACCAATGGTTCGTATAGAAGCACTTTTCCCTTGAATAAAGCGAAAATACTGCTTCTAATAACAATCTTTTAAATTATTTAAATTAGTTTTATTCATGTACGAGTATGTACTAAAATACATCAATTCATTGAATACATTTGGAACGAACAAAAAAACAATAAATAAAAAGAGTTTTAATATAACGGTATAATTGGACGATTAAGTGAGTTAGTTTTAATAAATAATTGTATAACTTGAGAGAGTGTAGAGGTGGAATAATATTTTCTTGTAACAAAATAAACTGTTTATTACTGTCTAGAAACCACTAAAATTTCAGAGTCTTAAAGATTTCCATCGAGAAAAAAAACGATATCTAAAATATAAGAAAAAAGCCCTTTTAGGTAACGGTTAATTTTAACGGCCATTTTATGAAGTATTAGAAGAAGCATATCGTTATCTTTATGCGTTTGTGGAATTTATATAAATTTTGCGGTTTGTGGTGTTTTTAGGACTTTTAGGATTATAACGTTTAGTGGGGCAAAATACATAAAATTAATTTTCTTGTAGACAATTAAGTTTCCAATAAAGATTTGTTTATACAGATTTCAGCTTTCCATCTTAAACGGTGTAGAAGTTTTTTAACAGACATTCGGATGGACGTCGGACAAAATGAAGCTTTTTAACAGACGTCGAACAAAGTGAAGCTAATAAGCACTTTTTTAAAAATTTTTTCCGAAAATTGCTAAAAAAAATCGCATATTACCTAAAAATAAATTAAAAAGGGACGTATAATTTTTCCATTTAATCAAAGTATAAATTAATGTCTTGCTAACTGCACAAAAATAATTATATTAAAACAAAATATGTTTTATACGGAAATCGTACCCGATACCAATGCTTCTTTACTTTGCAAAGAATTCATCCGAATATAATAATTAAATGTTAACATTCTTTAAAATTGACATAGTTTGGAATGAAAAATAAATGGAATTTGAATGCAACCAGACTGTGAATTAGTATATAATTACATATTTATAGTATATATACGGATACAAACAAGTACTTAATATATGCAGGGTGATTCAGAAAGATGTACAACAAGAAATACCATTCGTTATAATGTGGAAAATAGGTAAAACTTCCGTTCGGACTAGCTGCTAAATCTAAAATGTTTTTTCGAATTATAACTTCCATTCTGAAATACATAGATAGGAGCTTTAAACAAACAGTTTTTGACAGGTCTAGTAAATGGCTTTCTGTAAATTCTGTAAAAATTTCAAAGTTTCAAAAAATTTCATATGAACTTACCAGGTTAGAAAAAAATAAAAAAGGGAAAAAATTTTATTTTTCCTAAAGTTCGAAGGCTTGATATTGTGAAACTATATAAAATACAAAATTAAGTAACATGTTGATTTAATGTGCTTTACTAGGTCTTAGAAAAACTGTTATAAGCAATAAAGTTTGAATAAGCAGAAATTTCATGAAAATTCGATAAAATTTTTGTAATTCGAAAGCACTTATGATTTTGCACCTAGTCCAGAGCAAAAGTTTTACTCATTTTTTATCTTCAAATTAATAATATATTGTGTTGTATACTTTTCTGAATCAACCTGTATGTATGCGTATATATGCTTTGGTATATATTGCGAAGTAAAAGAATTTCTCCCATAAAAATAAAATTACCAATTCATTCAATAGAATTTGATCGTTTTCATTTGAATTTACTGCACATAATTTGCGTATATACACAAAATACGAGTATATAATTATATGTACGCGCAGCCTATATTGTTAGTGATGATTTTCTATTGCTTCAATAACACATATTCGCAGTGACTGCCGAAGAATATTTTTAGAAAATTTATGTTGAAAATACAAATTAATTTTCTTTTTGTTTTTTGTTTATTTTTTTTTTTTTTTTTTGTAATTTTTAGTTCATTTGGCAATTATATTGATTCAATTAAATGAGAATCAAATGGACGTAACAATTTGCATAAGAATTTATATTATTGGAGTAAAATTATTATTTGGTTACTTTTAACGTAAAGGGAACTTGTTTTAAATATTCTTTTTAATTAAATAAATACAATTTAATAAATAACTGAAAAAATTAATATTTTATATAAATCTCAAATTAAAATAAACATTTCAATCTTCGTTAGTACAAGGATAATAATAAGAAATTAAGATTAAACAGTCCAACGAGAACAGCATAAAAGTGTATACGTCAGATGGAGTTTAATAATTGAAAATTCCGTCAATGAAGAAACATTGACAATGAGTAGGTTTTTTTTTTCTTTTCTCTTTTTTTGCAATTTTTTGAGTTTCTACTTATATAACAAGAGTATACAGTTAACTGAGAACAAATCGAATATATTATATTATGTCAAATAATATACAAGTTCTGAATATTATAACCTATATTTCGTAGCGCATACAGCTAAAATTTCTTAATTTCGAAAAGATTAATATTTTATAGAATATTTTTAGAATTATATAATAACATTCGGTAACTGTATATGAAAACGAGAAAAAAAAAGTAAATAATATTCTAAAAATTAAGTTAATTTTTTTTTAATTTATTATACATTATTAAATTTAATATTATCTTGATTTTAAATTGTAATCTGTAAGTATAACGTATAATATGTATAGATTAATAAAATAATAAATTAACTCAATATATAGTATTGATTTCAATAAAAATTGGGGTATCTTATTGAACTGTTATAATCAGTTATCTGGAGACAAGTATTTCAATGAAAAAATTTAAAAATATTTTATGAAATTTCTTATCGTATCATATAACTATTTTGTTTTTATATAACAATATTTAAACATTTTAAAAGAAAATTTGCTTTACTCATTTAAAGTCCCTATTACAAAATTAACATATATTTAGTCTAAATCAAGTCAAAAAATTTCTTGGGCATTAAAATGATCGGAAAATAGAATTTGAAATAATATTTTTGCAATCTTATAAGACGATCGGATCCAAAAGTTGACTAACATATACACAATAAAATATCATTTTGCTCTCTTATATTTACAAATAAATAATTCAAGATTTCTTTATTTAGACATAATTATGTATATTGTATATTACATAATTGTAATTCTTGTATACGTACGAATGTTGCGATTACGATCAAAAATCATCAAGTCATCAATATTATTATGAAAAAAAAAATCCTTTATTTTTTCTCTTAATACACCCATAATTGTTTATGCTATAAAATGTATAATATTTAATAAATGTAATTCTATATGCATATGTGTATATGACACATATATTAACAATTTATTATCGCATATAATATATACTTTACTAGATTAATTAATATTCAATAACACATAAAATAAAATATATCAAGAAAAAAAAATAATAATTAAATATTCTTCAATTTTTAAGTGGTTTTAAGTACCTTTTAGCAATTTAACATTTTTATGATTTACCCAACATATAACATTAACAATATATAGGTATATATATATGTTTTTAAATCCGTATATACTTAATGGTAAGAGCCACTCTCATAACATTTAAGTGTGTATACTTGTAAATATACATTTTATCAGCAAAAAGAAAAAACAATTCAATTTAATTTTGAAATTTCATAAATACAAGATTATGCATATTTTCTAAATAAAAAAATTTAATCTAATCGTATGTATCTATCACTTATTTTTAATAATTTTTAATAATTTATAACATGTAATTAAATTTTATTGATTACCTATATTTTAATACTAAATAATAACTTAGAAATCTAGATATATATGTACATAAGTATACATACTTATCTTTAATATATTATAAATTGGGTTGACTACAATATTTTAATGTTAAGTAATCAATATGGATTTCTTTTTTCTTATCTTATATACAGTTGAACATTATCTCATATAACATAAAAAAAAAATCTAATGATCATAATATAAAATATTGTTATCAGTTATTATTAAGTAGCCTTTTATTTTTTTATTTACAATTAAAACCACATTAAAATATACATACATCTATATATTCATATATAATATTATGCATATCCTAACAAAAATAAAAACAAAATTAAATATTTTAATATAAATTAATTTTTAAGCAACAGGGATAAAATACGAGTATATCTTATATGAAATGGTCAATGTAAACAAAAAAATAATCTGTTTTTTTCCAATATAAACAAATACATACATACATAAGTATGTAAAAATAGATAAAGTTTTCCAATTATTGTTATTTATGCATTTGAATTTTATGAAGATCAAAAACAGGATTCATAATATTTTGTTGCGAGTTGTGAGTGCAAACCTTAATATAACATAGATATCATATTTCTGTCAGTTGTAGTGTAAGCTATAAAATCTTTTTGTATCTTTTAAAACTTGTAAAGTATAGGAAAACGGGGTTAAATAATTTTTTGTGATCTTTTTATGCCTTTCACTTTCTTATGTCTTAAAAATATTTTGATTTGTATTTGAGATTCTCATTTTTTCCTTTATTATTCAATTGTGATATTTTTTTTGTCCTCTTACGATATTAATACAGATTTGTTTTCTTAAAAATTAAAATTGTATTTTATAATATTTGTTATACTTTTATATTTTTAATGTACATACTTTTTTTTCGAATATGACTATAGAATCATTTATGATTTGCGATACATTAGCTCTATTTTTGGGCCCCTTACGAATCTCAGTATTATACCCGGTGGAAGTAGTTAGCCTAGTGCCTCTTATATTTATTTGAAATTACATACATTTATTTTTTTTTCGATTATTTAAGAAGACATAAATATAAAGAATTTAAAGAAACTAAAAAATAACAGCATAAATATCAAATATAGATGGCGCATAATATAATCTTTTATTTTTTGTTTTTCTCTATATGTTTTTTCAATTTTTATATTTATCTTCTAAAATTATACATATATAATTATAATTTAAAAATAAAATCAATGTATTGCATCCGATATAATTTTTATTTGTACTTATTATCTTTCTATCAATTTACCTATTCAATTTTAATTATAATTTTAATAAGGTTACAGTAGTTATTGTCCATCACGATCATCTAATATAAAGTTTTTAATATCTCAATGTGATTTCATAGAAAAACAAAATAGAATAGCTATTAACTTTAATTTTTAATCCTTATTTATACATGTGGCCCAAATTCAAATTCACACATTATCAGATCAACATAACAAACAGTCTTATTCGGAAAATTTCTTGAAAAAATTATTAGTATGGGAAAAATTCATTAATTTTTAAAAATAAAACTTTTTTAAATTTTGGAAAACAAAAATTTCAGTTTTTTACAAATTAAATTTAAATCTTAAAAAACAGTACGTGTGTATGTATGTATTTTTCTACCATAGTAAAATAATAAAATATGATAATATTTACAGCTTTCAATAATAATTATTATTAAATAATATTAAAAAAAAAGTATATACTAACTACTTTTTCTCCTATCATATTTTCATCATGAATACACACTTACATATATACATAAATAACAATCATTCCGGCATACAAACATACTTATTTACATACGTACACAATTTTCGATCAAATATTTAATACCATTTTGGCTTTGATATTTTATTTTCTACCACATTTCAATCAGTGTTAAAGTGGAAGCCGATAGAAAAACAACAGAAGAATTATTGCTGGTTCAAAATCGGCGAAAAAATTTTATCATATTTTATTAGGTCTTTTTTTTTTGTTTTTTAACTTGTTTTAAAATTTTTATGTGGATATGAAACTTACAATAAATTTTGTAATAGTTTGTATTCTATACTTGCAACTTTTGGAAGCAAGACCGTCTAAAGAAACTTTTAATGGAAAATGTGGATATTCGGTAATTTTTTTTATATAATTTTTTCATATTTCTATTTTGTGCCGAAAAAATTCTAACTCGGCTATTAAAATACATTTCTATTCCGTATTTTAAGAATTTTCATATTTTATCTGACATAATTTCTTAAATATTTTTATTTATAACTAAGGGTTGCCCCGTAACGCCAACTGACACAATTAATATACATTTGGTACCACATACGCATGATGATGTAGGTTGGCTAAAAACCGTTGATCAATATTACTATGGACAATATCCGTTAATACAAAAAGCGGGTGTAGAATTTATTTTAGACTCTGTTATAGCGGAATTATTAAAAGATAAATCTAGAAGGTGAATAATCAAAATACAAATAATATGATTATGTTTTATTTTTACTTGAAAAAATTTTTTAAGGTTTATTTATGTTGAATCTGCATTCTTTTTTAAATGGTGGAACCAACAAGAAAAGAAATTACAAGACAAAGTAAAACAATTAGTGGAAGAAGGTCAACTTGAATTCATTGGTGGGGCATGGAGTATGAATGATGAGGCAACTACTCACTATCAAAGTTTAATAGATCAATTTTCATATGGATTAAAGTAATTTAATTTGCTTGATTTTTTTAAAAATATTTCTTTTTCTATTACCATTTAATTACATTTCTGTTATACTTTTGAAAATATTTCGTATTTAACTTATCTGTGTCGATTTAAGAAAATTGAATGACACATTTGGACTATGTGGAAGACCCAGAGTCGGTTGGCAAATTGATCCATTCGGGCATTCAAAAGAAATGGCTTCAATTTTCGCTGGCATGAAATTCGATGGAATGTTTTTTGCTCGTCTTGATTGGCGTGATAAAATTAATAGATTTAGTAATATGAAAGCTGAAATGGTTTGGCGTGCTAGTGAAAGTTTGGGTCGAAACGCTGATTTGTTTACGGGAATTTTACGAAATCATTATTCCGCCCCTCCTGGATTTTGTTTTGATTATTTATGTCAAGATGAACCAATTATTGATGGTGATGGATATGAAAATAACGTGAAAGATAGAGTAATTTTTTCAACTAAATTTAAAACAAATTCTGACAAATAGTATAATGAAATTAAATTACAGTTAGATGTTTTTTATGATTATGTTAAAAATATGACAAAATATCATAAAACCAAAAATATTATGTTACCAATGGGTGACGATTTCAATTATCAAGATGCTAGTATGTATTATAAAAATATGGATAAGCTAATTAAGTAAGCATAATTCTTTTGTTTTTGTTGACCATGAAACGAAGTTTATTCTGTAATGTATTTGTAAATCGTTTTGATTCATATTCACAGGTATTCAGAAAATCGTAAAGTAGGTGACAAAGATGTCAACATATTTTATTCAACACCATCTTGCTACTTAAAATCACTTAATGATGCAAATGAACTGTGGCCGGTTGAAAATGATGACTTTTTCCCATACGCAACAGATAACTACACGTACTGGGCTGGATATTATTCATCTCGACCAACTTTAAAGCGTTATGAACGTATTGGTAATAACGTATTACAAGTTTGTAAAAAAATATTAGCTGCAAATCTCGAGGATTCGACTCAAAACTTAAATTTCTTACGTGAAGTAATGGGTAAATAAAAAACACATATTGTATTTAATATTAGGACAGTATAAGGACAGTATAAATTTTTTATAAAGTCATTTAAAATCTTTGTTATTACTGCAGAATAGTTGGATGACAATATATGTAGGTTTTAAAATTATATTAGCCTCTTAAGATATTGTAATCAAATACAAAACTACTGATGTATACACGCACATACATATAAAGTGATACACATTAAGCGATAAAAAAGAATAGCTAAAATTATCGCAAGGATTAAATTTTTAAATATTCTACAATTTTCATTATTTTACTTTATAAGCGAAACTTTTTCGCTATTATAGCTGTGTATATAGTATTGTTTTTCATAAAATAAATAATTTATTCTTACGTTTCAGGAATAATGCAACATCATGATGCCATAACAGGAACTGAAAAGCAACACGTTGCGGATGATTATGCTCATTTATTACACGATGCAATTTCTGCTTGCGATAATGATATATCTAATATGTTAACAAAAGTTTTGAAACCTGATCCAATAATTCATGGTGATCTTGAATTTAAGCCTTGCCACAAGTTGAATGAAAGTACTTGTGAAATAACTGAAAACTCGGAAAACTTTATGGTTACTTTATTTAATCCTTTAAGCCGCGAAACTTCTAGCTACATTCGAATTCCCATTAGAGATAATTTTTACGAAATTCTTGATTCAGAAGGTAAAAGTAAAAAAAGGTTATTCAAATACGTACATATTATACCGATTTAATAAAAACTATCGTTAATTTAATTTACATTTACCGTTCATTAGGAAATCCAGTAAAAAGCTACAGAATAAGAATTCCTGAACCAGTAAAATCCATTACTGGAAGAAACAGTTCTGCGCTCTACGATATGGTGTTTAAAGCAAATTTAAAAGATATTACTTCGTATTATGTGAAAAAAAAAGATAAAAATGACTTTGAAAATGAAATACTACTATCGAAAAATGTTGAAAAAAATAATTCACGTGACTTCGATATTGATAACAAGGTAGCGTATTATACAATTTTTGTTTATTTTGTTAGTAAAATAAATTTTTTAATTTTTATTTTTTAATTATTTGGCTGTTTTTATGAAATATTTATGTATGTATATTTTAGAAAATCAAATTATCATTTAAAAATGGTTTTTTGAATAGCATTGAAATCTTAGAAGAACGTAAAACAATTGAATTTCGACAAGAATTCTCATATTTTGAAGCGGCGGCGGGTAATAACGCTCCGCCATTTGTAAACCGGTCGTCAGGTGCATATATTTATAGACCAAAAACTAAAAAAATAATTGCGACTGAAGTCGAAGTGGAAAGATTTAAGTTTGACGAAAATGTTGAAGTTACCCAAATATTTAATGACTGGATAAGTCAAGTCATAAGATTATATGAAAATGAATCTATTATTGAATTTGAATGGCTTATTGGACCTATTCCAGTAAATGATAAAATTGGTAAAGAAGTTGTTAGTCATTTTAAAACAAATATTGACTCTGGTAACATATTTTATACTGATTCAAACGGCCGAGAAATGATAAAACGAAAATATACTGTTGATGAATTAGAAAAAGAGCCAATAGCATCAAACTTTTATCCAATAACAACAAAATTGGCTATTGAAGATACCAAAAGCAGAATGGCCATTTTAACAGATCGAGCGCAAGGAGCTGCCTGTTTAAAATCTGGTGAATGTGAAATTCTTGTCCATCGCAGGCTTTTACATGATGATGCATTCGGTGTCGGGGAAGCCTTAAATGAAACTACAACAGCACGAGGCAAATTTCATGTCTTTTTTGGTCAAAGTGACGAAGCGACAATAGCCAAAGAACGACAAATCCAAGCAAAACAACTTTTAGAACCGTATTCAGTATTTAGCAGTCTGAAAAATATAAAATTCGAGGATTGGCAGAAGCTAAAGCATGAAGATGCTTCAAAAATCATTAATGTTTCTACAATACTTCCAGAGTCAATTATTTTGTTAACATTTGAACCATTCGGCACAAATAAAACCTTATTACGATTAGAAAACATTTACGAGAAGGAAGCTGGTGGTACTGAAATCACAGTTAATTTAAAAGAAATTGCAGACCATTTTAAAGCAAAATCATTTGAGGAAGCAACACTTGACGGCAACCAATGGCTCAGAGTTGCGAAACGTCTCATATGGAATACCGAAAAAGAATATAATGAAATATTTAATGATAAAATTAATGAAGAAGACATGAGTTCTCCCTTCGATGTTGATGTAGCAAATGTAAAAGATGATGAAGAATTCGAAATAACTTTAAAACCTATGCAAATAAGAACTGTAATCATGACTAGAAGCTAAATGCGTACACATGTACACAGCATACATTCATATAGAAATAATGTACGTGAATAAAATTTTTTAAGATTTTTTAAAATGAATTAATGAAATAAAGAAAAAAAATTACAAAAACTTCAAAAATAAATTATTAATTTATTTTTCCAATATATTGTTACATTTATGTATATACGTGTATATAAAACAAGTTAAAAACTTAAACTTCTATAACTATAACTATATTATACGCTATTAAACACCTAACATATTACTCAAATTTATTACATTTAGGAGAAAACAAAAAGAAAACAAATCTTATAATATGTCATTAAAAAAAGTTTCTGGTTTATATCCATATTGCTCCAATATTGGCCCACTAGACAATTTAAACTAAAAATAAATATTTCAGTCAATTAAAATTCAGTAGTTCAAAAATTTTATTTTACTTTTTGGAAAACATTATGCTTTTTATCTTCATCGTTCATTTCATTGATAGAATCAAAAACATCTAAAATATCATATTTAAAATTTGTGCAGTCTTTTATAATATCAACATCCAATTCGTAAGGAGAAACTATGCCATTTAAGTTAGAATTATAATCTTTTGGCAAAACGTATATACATCTGTTAAAATAAAATCAAATATGTATTTAAATTTGATGAACATTAATGTAAAAATAGTAATAAATGATACATACATATGTAAATTTTCATATATGTACATATGTATATGAAAATACAATAAATTAGATTGAATACCCACTTAAAATGCATTGCAATACAACTCAATATAAGACCAATAAACGTTCTATCTGATTGAGCAGAAAACTGCATTTGCATCTCTATTTGAGTCTGCACATCGGTTCGAGAAGGATCTGGGGGAAACAATGGATGAGAATGATACCAACCCAACAACTCGTACCCCTCCTGTTTAAGACTGCGAGATTGTTCTAATTGAGAAACTAAAATTGTAACGCTTATAATAAAAGGCTATAATATCACATTTCTTATTTCATTACTCGGGCACATTTCACACATTGTTCCACTATGTTCAATAGTTTTGCAGGGCTTATACCTTGTTAAGCACATTTTATTCCTACCAATTGATTTGCTACGATGACCGCCTAAAAATCCCATTACTTCAAAATTTGAAGAAAGCGAATGCAATTGAATGCAAAGTAGTGTTGACAATGTAATCGAAACCTTAAACGGAGCCTGATATAAATATAAAAATTAGATAAATATTTTAACTAAAAATAGTATAATATACAATGTTGTATTTTGAGAATTTTAGGCACTTGACTAGGTCCTGCTCCGTTTTTATATGTCTGACATTTCTCAATTTTGATTCCGATGCCATAACTTTTGAAATTTTGGGTATGTAAATACCCTCCTCATGTTCTATTGTATAATTTATGTCACAAATTGAATCAATACCATTTTCTAAAGCAAAATAATTCGTACGTGTTCGGGTTCTGGGCTTTCTCGAATTCGTGAATCCATTAGTTAAAGCTAATAAATTTGAGTTACCATATTGACATTTATTTTGAATAAACATTGCAAAATATTGCTCCAAAGGTCTTACATATTCAAAATATTTGCCTTGATAACCGAAATTGATTGCCCCAATTTGTTCCAAAAGTCTATGAATTCTACTAATACTATTAACGTCACCACCATGCTTTAAGCCACTACGGACTGAAGTTTTACTTACATATCCATTTTTACCCATTACATTCCACATTGTGAGGATGTGATTACGAATACGAAGGTACTGCTCTGGAGTTTTTGAAGATGATTTACCATCAAAAAACTCAGAATTAAAATATTTTTCTAATTCTGTAACTTCACTGGCACTTAAAATTAGTTCTTGGTTCGGAACAGCCATGTTTCTTTGAATTTCAAAAACCAATTTCTCTGGAAGTTTTTCAACTAATTCTATAGCTTGTGAAACATTTATTTTTTCATCAAGTTTTTCGTTTGTTGTAGAATTTAATTCATTTTGCGATTTTACTACCCTGGAACATTCTTTTGTCAAATTTTCAGTGTGAATTGTTACCCCGAATAACGATCTTTTGAGGTCAATAATTTCATCCTCACTTAAATCAGCTTCAATATCGATGACTTCATCACTTTCAACATTTTGTAGTTTAACTAAAGTACTAGAGGAAAAATTGGTTGAATTTTTGGATGTTAATTGTTCATTCCCTAACAATTCTGTTTCGTGGTTTATCGTAATATTTTCACCATAATTTGTATCAGTAAGGTTTTTTCTAGTTTTCACTCTTTTTTTAGGATAAATTGTATCATCCAATTTTTTATCTTTTTCTTTATTTTTTTTTGAGCAGACGATATCAGGAATCTTCGGGCTTGCAGCACTGAGATTTTTATTTTTTTTTATTTTCAATTTTCGTAGTTTAGTATGGTCAATTTTCAAACTTTGTCTAAATTTCGTTTTTTCTTTATTTAAGTCGGTTTCCTTACAAAATTCCTTAGCTTTTCCTACTTTATCGAATAAATTTCTGCTAATTGTTAAAGTTTGTTTAAATTTACTTTGTTGCTTGCCATCAGTTCTTAAATTAAGACGATTAATTTTCAACAAACTTCTTGGATTCGGTGAAAGCAGTAATGGATTTTCAATTTTTACTTTTAATAAACTACGTGAATTTGTGGGCCCAATATATTTGTTGTTCTTAGGTGCGGGATGAGTTTCAAATGCAGCAACACTTTCATCCCATTCCCCATTACAACTATATATATTTTGTAATGTAGTCTCTTTTAGTAACTCATTATGGCATTCTTTATCTTTATCCGTACAATACTCGTCCTCTATTACTTCCTCGGTAGTTGCTGGAATATCTTCTTCAAAAACAACATCATCATTTTGTGACGCAATCTAAAATACAATTACTTTAACTAAGTAAAATTTTTTATAAAAATCTGACCTCTCCCACCCATTCCAAATCTAAAATTTTCTTATTTGAAACCTTCGGCTCCTCAATGACGACTTCTTCTGAATGTAAGACTTCGACATTATTCTCTAAATTATCATGCTTTGGTACACTATAAGTATATATTTTAACAAACGTTAATTTTTTTTTTACTTATTTAATTTACTGAGCTATCAAAAGGTACAATTTTATGCTAATAAATAATATATATATGTATGAAAATATTAAATAGATACAGACCTGTCACTCCAGAAATTTCCACCCTCAGCATTCTCGTTCACCCATTTTGGATGCACTGTATAGTCACAGGACAGCAATTGACCAGAAGTTATTTTTGAACTAAAATATTTAATCATGTTACAAAAATTTATAATTAATAATAAGAAATAATTTAAAGATTTAATATATTATGAGCGGTTTTATAAATTCTTTTCATAGCAAATTACATGTCATCATAATCTCCTATAATATCAATTTCTTCTTCATCTTCCATTGCGCATTATTAAAACAATATTTTTTTTAATTTATATAACTAATGATCATCAAATTCTATTATGAAAAATTAAAATAGTCTGAACACTATTATTTTTTTCTTTGTTGACAAACATCCATTTTCGATTTTCGAAATGTCAAATATTCTATATGTAATGTCAAACCTGTTTACTTTATTTGGACATTGCTTAGACCCTGACATATAAATAACATTTTACCAGACGTGGTTGACATTTGAATGAAATGAAATTTTTTGAATGCAAGCATTAAACGTCTCTTCACGGGCAAAATATTAACTCAGTTATCTTATATATGTAGATAACTGAGATATTTTGACTCAGTTATCTTATTAAAAAAAAAAATAAACACTGTTTTGTAAACGTATTTTTTTTACGAAAAATTATTATTTAAATTTACATTAAGTTGTATTAATTTTAACATATTCCTTGATGTTGTCAAAAGTAACTAAGTTATTTTTTAATTAAGTTATTTTAATACTAAAATAATTGAGTTAACTGACATCTGACTTATTTGTTAATTTTAGTGTTGTCAAGGAACTAAATATATTCATGTTATAAAACAATAGTGCGCAAAATAATAGCAGTATGGTGAAAAATTCTGGAAATTTTCAATTTAATAAAAAACGTGCATGTTGAGTTGTATACATTTTTGTTTTTTTATTAATAATATCATTTCAATATAACAAAAAAAAAGTAAAATACTTTAGTCTTGCAACAAAAATTTTAAATTTTAGCTCGAAAAAATTTTGGGTACTGGTATTAACTTGTGTTTCATTTCATAATATTTAAATTCATACAAATATTTCCATTCCGTTGTTTTTCTTGTTTCCGCCAGGATCGCATTTTACTAAGTTATACCTACAGATATGTACATATATATTTTGTTAATAGCAATAAAAATTGACAGTTGTGCAGATGCAAGAAATTGCAGTCAAAAAAATGAGCTGTCAAAACCTAAAAATCAATAAGGAATTTTATTAATTTTTATCAATTTTAAAAATTTTAAAAAATTGAGTACGCAAGCCAAAAGTAAGTATGTTTTTCAATTAATATGTAAAATATTAAAATATTTATTTTCAGGTACTAATAATTACCCCCTCACCCAATGATTTGGATTATCCCTTTTGTTTAGGGAGTGTTTATTATGTTTTAGAGCTTAAATATATACCAAATAGGTCTTACAAGGCTATTTCAATATTTTATACTGTTATAAAGATGCACACAAAGATTTTTAATATAACTGAAACTGAAATTGTTTATTAATTTGCACAAAGAAAAAAATGTATAAAATTCCTAATAACACCAAAAACGGACAGTGTTTAGTCCGTCCATTAGAAAGAATATTGGAAGAAGCTCATTTAAGTGGGGAGCTTAAATTGAACAACAGGAAATTGAAAGATTTTCCAAAATTGGTAACTGCCAAATATAGTCTATCAGACACAGTCATTGCAGATTTGTCACGAAATAAATTTTGTGAGTGGCCTGAAGAATTAACACATTTTGCTTTTTTGGAAACATTATTATTATATCATAACAGTATTCGTAGTATTCCAGCATCTGTAAGTGGCTTGTTTTCTCTTACATATTTAGACCTACGAAGTAATCAACTAGTAAGTTTACCTCGTGAAATATGTTTCCTACCGTTGCAAGTACTACTGATTTCAAATAATAAATTGACTAATTTACCGGAGGAGTTAGGACGTATGGAAAAATTAACCGATTTAGATGCATCATGTAATCAAATAATGAATTTGCCTTTACGAATTGGTGATTTAAGAAGCCTAAAATCTTTATCCCTAAGAAGCAATAACTTGAGTTATTTTCCTCGAGAAATAACTTTACTAACGCTGGTTTCTTTGGATGTAAGCAATAACAAAATTTCTAGTCTACCTCTTGAAGTTCGCCATATGAATACGTTAGTTGAATTCTACTTGGAAAATAATCCACTAACATTTCCACCTGGTAATTTACCAAACGCAAAAACGAAAAAAAATATTAAATTTCTGTTTCTTTTTATTTAGCTAACTTATGCATTCGCGGCTTAATACATGTGTTCAAATATCTAGATACGCAAGCAAATAAAAACGAAAAAGGAAATAAATCCTCTAACAGCAATAATATACATCATGAATTTGCTACAATGAAAAGAACTGGTCGACAAAATGCCAGTACAAATAATATGATTGATATACAACTTGACGCATTATATTCACCTAAAAATGGATTGCACAACACCATTGAAAAATCTGGCATTTCATATAGACGTAACAATTCTGGAGAATCGTTCAATCAATATTCAACAACACCCCGCAAAACTTCTCTAACTCAAGATAGTTTTCAATTTATTTCTGATTCAAATTCAGTCAGCGATTTAATCGATAAATCTAATCAATTGATAGAAAATCTAAATTTAAATTATTCTACTAAAACAAATAATAGCAGTAATAGTAACAGCAGTAGCACATTGCACGATGATGATTTAAATTTTGATAATTCTAACGAAGATTCCTTAAAACAAAATGATTCAATTCGATCATCCACTCCAAAGATTAGTAATACGAATAACGTTGCTATATTAAATAATGTCACGGCTGCTAATAATGAGAAAAACAAAAAACTTGAAAATATTCAAACGTATAGAGAATACGTTGAAGCGAAAAAACAACAGCGAAATCAAGAAAATTCGAATGTCTATAAAAGCAAATTAAAGAAAAGTAACTCATCGGGAACGCCAAATAATGTTGATGGAAATCAAAAGTTTAATAATTCTGAAATTCCTTCAAATCAATACAATAATATAACATCACATTTACAAAATGGATCTCACAAGAAATTAGAAATTTATAAAAAGCCAACCCAAAAAGTTAGTCCACAAAATGTTCACAACAATGATAACATAAGTATAGATGATAAAACGCAAGAACAAATTCTTAAAGATTACTTAAAACCAAAAAGTCCTATAAAACCAATGGTTGATAATCGTGAAATTGTTGGAAAAAATACATCATTCAATAATAGCAATAATTCTACAATTACATCCAATATATCAAATTCAGCTACATTTTCAACAAAAATGCGACGAAATGTAACATGGAATGAAGCAATTCCAACAGATAAATTGAGTTTTACAATGCGTCGCGAGTTTGATAAGCACAAAGAGGAAACCGAATTATTATCGAAGTTGCGTAATATAATAGAAACTAAATTAAAAATGAGCTTACCAGAAGATATTTCCACGGCTTTAATGGATGGAGTTATATTATGCCATTTAGCAAATATTGTTAGACCAAGATCTGTTGCTAGCATTCATGTTCCATCCCCTGGTGTTCCTCATTTAACAATGGCCAGATGCAGGCGTAATGTTGATAATTTCTTAGAAGCTTGTCGACGAATTGGTGTTGACGAAAATTTAATTTGCTGTGCGGCAGATGTGTTAGAAGGTAAACAACTTGTTCAAGTTGCTATTACTGTTGGAGAATTGTTTCGTTTAAATGGTGGTAATAATATTGAAAAGGGTGATCATTTGAAATCACCAATAAAGGTTTCATCAAATATAAAACTAAATAATTCTACACCTAATACTTGAATATCTTCTGCCGCGAAAAATATCAATAAACTACATAATATATATACATACATATACAATTGTGTAAAGATTCATTTATGCCGTAGCGCATAATATACATATATATTATTTATTTATTCTTATATATGTATAGATTATGTCCATACATAACTAGTTACATATATACATATATAATAATTGCAAAAATTTCCAAAATTTGTAAGTTTTTTTAATATGTACCTATAGTAAGTTTATTAATTTTTAATTCTTTATTTAAAAAAGTTCTTGGATCATATTTTTTTATTTAAATTTTTAATTTTTTTTATAAGAAACTTTTCTTGAAGAGAAGTTTAATTTTATTATAAGTATACATTAATATACATATTGTATTTATTTTAGTTTAATATACAAAATTGAAATACCACCATTTTTTTAAAACTTGAATTTAAAAAACATGACATTTACTATTTCTAAGGAAATAATTTGTATTACTTTGATTGTATTTTCTTCTAAATTTTAGTCAAAAAAATGGACCGAAAAGTTTTTGGAGATTTGTATATTTAAATTTGCATTTTTATAAAAATTTCAAAAATAAAAATTATCATATATACCTATATATATTAAACGTATTGTTTTATTTGTGATAATCCGAACAATATGGTTTTGCGGCAGAGAAAGTTTTGAGATGGCTATGTTCTCCTTATGTTTAATTTTACTATGTATTTAACATTTGTTTTTGAAACGATATTCTCAATACGAACACATTTTTTTTTTTCAACAATTTAAAATCAAATCATTCTAAAAAAAATTATAATGAGTCTTACCATAATTATGATTATAAACCCGAAACATCATAAATTAAAAAATGTTTCTGCAAATAATGCATGGTATAAAGCCGAACAAAATCAACAATTCTTCTTTATTATTCCAAACCAAATACTTTAATGCCAATAAAGGAAAAATAAAATAAACCATTTTTTGTGTTTTATTTTATTAAATAGTTAGGTAAAATTATAATCATACATCCACATTAATATTGTAACTAATTTATATATTAATTCCTACAAAATCTATTTTAAACTAAAATTACATTAGCAAGAATCAAAATGAAATATATCAATAAATTAGAATCAATTACTATAACATTCAGTTAGAATAAAAATTATAATTAACACGATTTTATGAAAACATATTTTACAAAATTTTATGTTTGAAAATACAAATTAGGATTCTTTTTTTCAATCTAAATAAAGAAATATACAAGGCTAATTTTATGTATTTGAAAAGCTTAAGAATGTTTAATTAAAATTGATTGCATTTAAGATTAGATTCTTTAATAATTATAATTTTTGAATTACAAAATATAAGAGTAATATTTATATTAAAATATTTTTTAAAAATACAATGTATACTTTTACATTATCAATTTTAGAGAAAAACATTTATATATAGTTATACATAGTTATATATATCATAAAAAATTTCATATTATGAAGTGAAATTAATATGTTTGGTGAATCAATTCGATTAAACAAAAATTTTAAAGCTTTGATAAAAGCTTAAAATATTTCTAAAAATCGTGCATAATTATTATATGTATTTGATATTATTTCATTTTTAAAAATAACATTATAATTAATAATAATGATTAAATTTAAGACCAAGTTTAAATTATTTAATTAAAAAATAATGTTTTCAATAATCAAAAAGGAAAAATTTTTCTGCAAATATAATATTGCATTAAATAGTGTATAAAAAATATGTAATTTCCTTGCTTTTTTTCTTTAATCAGGCAGCAGTTATCAAATATTTTCGTTTTATACCTAAAGAAACAGAAGGACTATCTCCTTATATTAAAACCACCGCTGTTATCTGGGCCCCGAGGCATTCTCAATACACTCTCAGTAGCGAGATTTCGTACACTAAAATTATTTTCACTTTCATCAGTTTCAGTTGTTACAGACTGATTAAAATTTTTAGAAAATCCCGTAATATTTGTTTCGCGATTTAAAACGGCAGAAGCTGAAGGTTGCCTCTGTCTAAGTGAACGGTCAGGCGAATGATAAGTTAGGGATGATAATAAAAGTTGTTGCTGTGCCAAAGTTGAATTTACTTTTGTACAATTAACTGTATTATTGCCAGTGCTGGTATCCAATGGTGGGGATATTTGAGTAATTTTTGTTGCCAACAATTTATCTAATGCGGCACTAAAATAATTTTTTTTTTAATTATATAAAACCAATGGAAATTTTAAAAGTTTACTCCAATTCGTCTTCCGGATTTTTAGCTGAACCCAAAATTCTCAGTCTTGCTTCTGCATACTCTTGTTCTCTTTGTTGTAAAGTTTTGATAGGTTGTTTCGGTTTGTCACTCGAATTTTTAGAGTCACTCGATTGCGTTGGCCTTCTTAATATTTTAAAGGCTGGTTTACTTGTAGCATAATTACCATCATCTGGTCTCATAGCTAGCATTATAGCTGGAATATTACCGTTTTGTAATGGCATCGTTTCGTCTTCAAATTTTTTTTGCTCCTGTAATTCTGCGGCTTCCTTCTTAATCTTATCAAGCTGATTAGTTAACTACGAATGTTTTATTCATTAAATATAAAAACGTGGAAGAAATTTTTATTGTTTTTATTTTCATAATGTAACAATAACATATTATTATATACATTTTAATTTAGTTCAAATATTTTTAATATATATTTGAAGAATCACTCAATGAATTGAGCAAAAAATATTTAGACAATTATGTAGTGTAGACATTACTATTATACTCACATTATCATCATTATCCCAACTATCAGCTATAACATTTTCACCATTGGACATTTTATACTTTTTGTCCAGACCAAAACTTAATCAACTCTTTTCCATTAAAATTTTCTAAATTCAGCACCAAATTTTAATAGAAGATTATACAAAAGTATCAGCTACTGAAAAGACCTTTGACGAAGAGAGCCACTCATAAAGATTCGTCAACTATGTCATGAATTGTCATTTTGCTTTTTGTCAGAAAAATGTCAAATATTTTGTTTGAAAAGCCATCTATCGGCTGAATATCATATTATCAATGTATGTAAATAAACACGTCGTATTTATATGGATTAAATATAATTCCGTTTTCGATTGTCTATATTTTCGAAGGACGAAAATTTTTCAGTATTTCCATAATTTCGTTTCCAAGATAAAAATTAAAAAATAGCTCAGACAAATTTTAAATCCGGACAAAAAAGAACGGATGACAGACGTATCATGTATTAAAAAATAATAAGCACCAGGACAAGTTGACAACATCAATATATATATTAAAATTATTACAACTTTAAAGAACATTACACAATAACTTTTCGCGAAAAAAAACACGTTAAATTTTATCTCGTGAAAGTATCTCATGAGCAATATTGATATAAAAAAAAATTGATTTCCTCGTGCGATAAAATTTTAATTTGACTAATGAGTTTTTATATACTGTCAAACAATCGAAGGATTGAACTTTGTTGTTTTGTTGCTTGTTTTTGTTTTGTTGTCTAGGAAATTTTTTTTAAAACTCTTTGACGATGAAAACAGTAATTTTTGAAAAAAAAATATTCATTTTATTTTTATATACTGGAAATCGTTACTTACCTTTATTTTTACTTAATTCTCGATTTTATTTGTCTTGTACAGAACAATATTTTGCATTGCCAATTACAATAATCTTGACAGCAAAAGATAGTCTTGTATTTTATCTTAACAATATTAATATTTCAACGCACATAATTTCAAATTTGTAGAATGAAAAAATAACCGGCAACACTGACATCAATTAAGAAAAATAATTACATACCCCTTTGTCAGTCAAGCCAAGCACAATAATTTTAAATTCAATTTTTGATGACCTCCAAATTGTCTGGCAGCGCTGACCTCAATTAAGAAAAATACAAACATTCTTATTTGTCAGTCGAGTTTCAAACCCACAATCAAAATAAATAAAATTTCTTTTTTTTGCAGTATGAAATTTTTATTATATGTATTCTAAAGAATATAAATCAATTTCAAATAACTAACAATCATTAAATTACAAAAAATCAAATAAATAACTAACCTATCTAAATAAAAAAATTTTGAATTGTGATATAACGAACGAAGGAAGCAAATGTACACAAAAACGTAAATAACATTAAGTTTAATAAAAATGTACCAAACTCCCCAAAGAAAGATATTAAATAAGACTTTTCAAGTTCTGATTTTGAAAAGAAACATTTCCAAAATAAAAAGAAATGAACTATATAAAGTAAGACGCAAATTTTGCAAACAGAGTTTTTAAAAGTTTTTTTTTTCAGAAATGTTTTTCCATACTTGGTGTTAATGAGGACTCCGATCAAAATACGGTACGAAAAGCATACATTGATTTAGTGAAAAGAGTTCATCCTGATAGTGGTAAACCGGAAGCATCTGCTGACCGTTTTCATGAAATAGATGAAGCTTTTAAAATCTTACAAGAGAAATTTGCTAAAAATCGTCGTGGTATTTTTGAAAATGAAGAAGAAAAGGTTTTTGATATTCGCCATAAAGCTCCTCAGCACCGACAGGTAAATAAATTTCAAAATTTAAAGCACAATATTTTTTTTAGATTATTTTATTTTTATTCACAATATCTTATTTTAGTATTTAAGTTTTGAGGGAATTGGGGTTGGAACTCCAACACAGCGTCAGAAACAATATCAACAACATAAAGTTACAATTGCTCAAGAGCGTGTTTATAATCATCGAGTAGAGAAAGCACAAGCAGGTGAAAAGGAATTAATGAAAAAAGTATCTGCTGGTATGCAAAGAGATCATCGTATTAAAACAAAATATGGCTTTGATCGTGTTGTAGAAGATTTAATTCTTGAGGCAATGTCAAAAGGAGATTTCGACAATTTGTCATGCGCCGGTAAGCCACTTTCTACAGCTCAATCTCAGAATCCATACTTAGACTTTACAACAGCAAAATTAAATAAAATTTTGATTGACAACGGTTTTACACCAGAATGGATACAATTGCAACGTGACATACGTGAGACGATACAAAAACTAAATAGTGATTTAGCTGAGGAACGATCATACTTTGGAGATTTTCCTTTCAGTGAAAATGAAGATATTAAGTGGAATTTAATTTTAAGGAAATATATAGAAGACGTAGAAAAAATTAATAAATTGATTGATAAATATAATTTGATAGTACCAATAATAGAAAATCAATTCTTTAGAGTTAATTTAGAAAGGATTGCACAAAAAATTGCTAGTGACAATAGTTTGCCAAAGAATCAAAAACGTTACGTTACTGATGAAGAAGCAAAAATTGAACAGAATGAATATAAAAAAAGCGATTTTTTTTCCTTTCTGGGCTCATTATTTTGATTATGAACTTATTAGATTTGTATATAATACTTTTTTTAAATAGTGATATTTGTGTACCTTGCTTATTTAATAAATAACTTATTTTATTGAAATTGAAAAAGGATCTTTTAATATTTCCTTAATTTCGTTACATAAAAGGATCGGCAGAACAAAAGTTTAAAACGTTGGAATATTTGATTAAGAGCATCTTGATGTTATTCAGTTACTGTTTTTAAGACGACGACTGCACATGGTGCGTGATTTAGTTTTGGAAACTTTGTTTAATTTTTTCAGTTCTTACCTTACTACGCAAACTAAGCATAGTGAGAACTTAGCTTAATAATAACATTATTGGTCCAATTTTTTTATGTTTTTATTATTAAACTAAGGAATTGCTGTTTAAAGCCCTTTTCTGGTGACAAAGTATGGAATCTTTCGAGATTGGGAAATAAACCTTTCAAAAAACTCAAAACAATCTATTGTCAAGTATCATCGAACAAGTCTTTCTTATTTCAACGTTTGCTCGGTTTCGAGTTTTTGTTCCGAAACTTTGTTAAAAATTAGTTCGTAGATAACCATTTTAAAAAATTGTAAAAATTTTAAGTTTTTCTTTCTAAATACCGAAAATTTAATATCGAAAATGAGCCCTTAAAAATATCGTAAAAAATTGTGCAAGTGAAGAAATAAAACAATTGCTTTTATCTTTTTTTTTATCTTATTTTTTTGTTACTAATTTCGTGTTTAACAATTCATTAAATTTCACAATTAATAAAATTAAAAAGATTTTTTTAGTATCTTTATTTTTTTTTTAATTTTATTAATCTTATTATAAAAACACTCATTCGATCTACACATTTGTATAAAATTGGGAAACAATTTATGTATGTATGTATGTTAGAGAAAATAATGAGGAAAAATAAAATAAAAAATAATTTTGTAATTTTTTATAAGTCATAATTCAAAAAACAAATCTTATTAATAATTTATGTTTATAATTATTGTTAAATAATTGAAAATAATTGTTTTCCTTTAGAACATTGGATAGAACTTTAAATTGTAATTGAAAATGTAAATTTATAAATATTGAAAATTATTAAATTTTTGAAAAAGCTAAACGGGAATAAAAGATTGTCTTTAAATGTATAAAAATTACATAAAAATTATTTAAATTCTTTATAATTTCAAAATAATATAAACTCCTACAAATAATGCAGATAACTTAATTTTATTTTAATTCTGCAAAATTATTACATATTTAATTAAAATTTAATAAGAAAAATAATTTCTAAATAATCTGCCATATAAATAGCGTTGAATAATGTTTACATAGTTAAAATTATAAAGAAATTAAAAACTACAATAAAAAAATTGGTATTATTTAACTTACATTTTCGAGAAATTACAAAAAAAAAAATTAGATTCTGTAAATGAAATTTAAAAAGAAAGTTTTTTAATACTAATTTTATATTAAAAAATTAGTGAATTAATGTTTTAGCAACAAAAAATTAGTATAAAATGATTCCATTAAAGTTTTTACGTAATAGTTTAACCTAATATCAAAATTTACAAATGTGTTCAAAGCATAAATAAATGATAAATTACTTCATGTTAATTATAAACTGCGCTTTAATAAAATGTCAAAAAAAAAATGTGGAAAAATAAAAACATTGATTACCGAAACATTCTGATTTTACTTTTTATAATATTTTTCCATTTAACATAATTACAACCAATGAAATATTCAAATACAGATTGTAAATATATTATATACAATTAAGAAAACAAAAAAAAAATATTGGAATAAATTTAATCAAATCATAAAAAAAAAATGAAATCATTTAAAATGCATTTAATTTTTGTTTCATTAAGTATAGAAAAATTAATAAAAAGCATCTATGAGTGTATGTGCACAAATTAATTTTTTTTTTCTTACATTCACTTAATTATTATATGTTTAATTAAAAAATCATCCACTCAAGCATAATTTCTTGTGGTTAATTACAAACATTTATTTTATATTTTAAAGTTTTTTTAACCCAAACATACTTCTAAAAACAGGATTTTTTTTTATAAATTATAATTTTTCTCTCTCGCAAATTTCACTGCATGTGTATATTTAATTTTTATATTCTTATATATATAAAAAAGAATAAAAATGTTTTTTTTTCATGAAATATTTTGTTTTTTTTTAATACAAATGTTGATTTTCTACTTCTACAAATTTATCTCGTTTCTCATATTCTCAATAAATCGCTGCTTTATATTTTTCACTTTTTTATTAATTTTGTAATATTTTCCTAATGAAAGATTTTATATAATCATTCATTTATATAGTTTTAGTATTCTGTTTTAGCAAAAAAAATGTTTATATTCAATTTGTGAGAGCGTATTTTTGCATACGATGTAGCATTATTCATCTTGCATGTCTTCAGGCAATTCATGAGGATTTATCATACCAGGTATATTACGTTGCATAAGTCGTTTATTTGTTTGTTCTTCACGTAAGGCAGCTTCTCGTTCTTCAAGATATAGATCTGAATCATCTTCACCAGTAACCTCCTAAAATGTTTTAACATACTTTACTAAATGATATATAATTTTTTTTTTACACAAATAACAAGTAAATTAAATATTTAGTAATAATAGAAATAATAGAAAATAAAAAAAAAATATAAAAATAACATACACGAATTTGAATCAAGAAATCTCTCAAATGCTCTTTAAATGCAGATACATTTTCATCCAAATCAAATAATCCCGTAACAAATACTTTGATTTGGTTATCTGTTAAATGACTAAATGCACTTTTTAATAAAGATGCAACGTATTCTTTTATAAACACTGTGTTATCCTGTATTGGGCCCAAATTTACTGCAATTTTATTATTTTCAATTAGTGAAAACATATATGCTAATATAACAGCATGCATGGCTAAACTAGCTGCGTGTGATGTATCAGTTACAACTGAAAATATTTGCATTAATATATCGGTAAAATACGTTTGATAAAAACTCTGTGCTGCTTGAGGATGTTGTTCCAAATTTTGCAACATCTGAAAACAAGTACAAAATGAATTACATGTTTAACAGTTTTATATTTTATTATATGTAATTTCACCTTATATAAAATTTGCAAACCCATATCTGCAACATTTCTCATCGTGTGCTTGAAGGCCCATACCACCGAATCAAAAACTAATTTAAATTGTGCTGGTGGTATACTTAAGAAAGATTTAAAACAATAAGCATTTACTGCTTGTAATAATTCATAGAAGCTTGTACGGTGTTGTGGATAGTCCTCAAAATTTTTATTTATCATATCCAATGTGCATTCAAAGACAGCATCGAATATTTTTGGTACTTCCGGTGTTATAAAATTTCTTAATTTATTTACAATAACTGCCATCGTACTTAAAACTTTAGGCTCCCGTGCTTGCGGAATTTTACATCTCTGATAATAATAAAAAAAAAACAAGTATTTTTATTATTTATAAAAACGGCAATAGTTTCATTAAAATTATAGACGATAATACATGCAATTTATAGATAATTATAATTACTTGATAGTCCAATAAAACCGCTTCTAGTAAAGGTGGTATAAAATTATCCAATACCATTTGATTGTCACTTGAACGAGATACCCACTCAGATATTAAAGTTAAAGTTTCCTTTTTGACAACATGCATTACTTTTATCAACGGTTGATTATTGACATTCATTCCATTGACTGTTATAGCTTGTATAATATTTTCAGACATAATTTTATAAACATTTAACATATCCAAATAAATTCGACCTAATTGTATTACATAACTGTGACCCAATGCTTTACAAGCAGCTACATTTGTTTTAAGTATGCTACCCAATTGTTTAACTGCAGCCATATTACGTAAGAATTCTACGTTTTTTGAGGCTCTTGATATAATTTCGTCCCAAACCTGGTTGGGCAAATACATATAACGTTCAATCAAAGCATCTTGTTGAACTTGATCAACCTGTGCTGATATCATATATCCAACGGCTTCATAGAATGTATGAACCTTATGAAACAAAAGTCAAGTTAAAATAATGAATCATAAATTTTGTTAAAGTAGATTACTTGTTGTGGCTGTAAGTCACATATTATGGTACTCATTGTGCTTAAAATTTCATCAATAAATGTACAAACTTCATTTGGTTGTATTGTTACAAAATAACGACGACATTTCATAGCAATTTTGATGAATGTGTCACATGCCATATCTTGTACGCCATCATGAGTTTCATGCATAAATTCAAATAATTTATTTACAACGGTTTTCAAAAACTTCCAATGAGCTCGTAAAAATCTTGGGTATTGTCCCACAACATACATTATATTAGAAGCTATAATAGCTTTATTGTCTTTGCCTTTTTTCTGTTCACAAAGGCCTAGTAGATCTTTAATAACAGTTACTAGAAAACGTTTTTCATCCTCTTCACAAAACGCCCCTACAATTAATTTTAAAAACAAATTGTAATGATATACTATTTATATGTACAAAATACATTCATAATGCATAAAAATATTATTTACCTGAAATAGAACCAATTGCCCAACACAAAGTATTTAAATTTTTCCACGAAAACTCTGTTCCATTCACCTGATTCATCAATTTTTCTGTCATAATACGTTCCGTATCAGCATAATCTAAATGTGTTAAAAACACAAGCGTTTCACGCATATTCTTATATAAATTAATAGCATTTGTATCCTTCATAAATTCTCTCACAACTTCACCATTTTCATTTTCTACAATCAAAACTTCTTCTGGTTTTGCCATACGTGATATCATAATATAGCGTACTTTCGATAATATATCAGCGTAAAAACGTCGACGAGATAACACAGTACGTTTCGCAAATTGATTACATTGATTACCAGCGTATGGATCTGAGCTATACAGATCATCCACTAAACTATTCCAATATTCGAGACATATTTTAAATATTTCAACATCTTCAACTTCTGAAATCATTACCAAACATAATAAGGCTCTCTGCAAATGTTCAACATACTGTGCTTCCTCAACAAGTTTACCATGTTCTTTTAAAAATGTACATAGAAACATTGCTAAATTTTGCACAAACTGTTGTTCATGATCGGTACCGTTCATATAATTATGATTCATATCTGTATTTGGATTCAACATTTGATCCAATTGTTCCATAGTTTCTTTGAATAATTGAGCAAAATTATTATTATATTGTGGGACACTTAGAGCAGCAATTTCTGATAAACATTTTAATGTTACATTACGAAACATTGGAACGTTTAAAAGTTTAAATATTAATGTTTCGATTAACTTTGTTTCAAATATATAACCAAGAGGAATCCAATTTAAAAATCTTAAAAGGGTTTCCAAAGTTGCTTCAATCAATGGTGCGTTCATCGAGCCTAAATTTTTTTTACAACATTTTAAATAAAAAATATTAAAACTTGTGCCAAAAATTTAAATATTAATATAATTCATTTTCAATTACCTTCTAAAACAAATGAACATAACTGAAATATTTGTGAGAATTCTGAACACATGGTATCCTTCAAATGTTTGGCTTTTGTTTGTGTTATTTGGCCAGAACAGAAATCAAATACCTCTTCACTTAATAGTTTCAATATAACCATATTATTTTTACATAAACTTTCGTTTGTTTTTGACGCACCAACGATATCACCAATAAATGTTTCCCAATTTTTAGGCCATTCACGCTTTAATATTTGTACCAATATCATATTTAATTTATTTAAGTATACTTTATTTGCGTCCATCGTTTCGGGATCTGATGATGTTTTTATAATTAAACTTACAACATATTTCTTTATACCTTCACATTGATTACGTGGCAATATCTTCCATCTTGTTTTAATAACTTCTTCTAATATTTGCAGTGCGTAAAATTTCGTTTGCTGATTTTGTGAAAATTCTAATATACTATCAACCCGTGTCCACGCATCGGGATGTTCCTTTAATGTTGTTAAAATTTCCTGTGCCAAACGTAATTGTTCACCTTGAGAAGTGTATAAAGATACAACAATGTTGTCCAATAGGCCTATATCAAGTTTCTGACTGAAATCAAGTAGTTTTCTAGCCTCTTCGGCTGATAATGTAGTCATCGCCATCTTTAATGTTTTCAATACTTTCTCTCTATATTTTAAACGATATCCTATGCAAACAAGTGCTTTTTATATGCATATGTTATTGCAATAAGATATGAATTCGTATTTTTGTTATATATATATGGTTGGTATAAGGACCCTTTGATAGATGTTTATTTAATATTTTACTCAAATTTGAATCCAAATTTTGTTACAAATCAACCAAAACCTTTTGAATTGTTCGATTTTATTTTCTTTATCGTAACTTCTTATTTTATCTTAATTTAAACTATTATTTTATTTAAGAAAAAAAAGCAAAAAAAAAATTCAAATAGAATAAAATAAAAACAAATTAAGATAGAACAAAAGTATTTTTAAATAAAAAATGGAATTTAATTTTTATTCATAAAAAAATTTTTATTTTTATATATATATATCTATATATATACAGTACTTGATTGCAGTTGGTTGTTATTTGAAGCGGCTTTAACAGATATTCACGCAAAATTCACCACCCATTCAAAATTGGTTCTTTTCTTAAGATTATTATTATATTTATATATGTTGCTTGTTGGCTCCTTTTCTTGTTTATTGAATATATTTATTTAATAATTTATTAAATAAATTTTGTCAATGTTTTATTTCAAGATTCATTCAATACACATACGCACCACTCACAAAAAAAATCTGCAAATAAACAAAATATTAAAAAGTAATATAAATTATTAAATTTGAAATTTTTGCTTATATGACATACATAGGTATTTTTATATGACATTGTGCCTTAAATATAGACACATTTATTGCATAATTGTAATGAATTTTTAAATTAATAATATAATTTTATTAATTTCAACATTGGAGTACTGTGTTGTCGAAACTGCATTTACTGTTAAATTGTACAGTATTACAATGTTGACGTAAATTTAATGCCAAATTATATTACAAATATGTATTTTATTGACAAACAAAAATTTTATATATGTACATATATTTTATTTATATTAATTTCTATATCAATTCCAATCACACTTATAATCAATAAAAACAAAACTAGCTAACGAGCTATTAACTCTTTTATTTTAGAAGCATGTTTAATTTGTAAATTAATTTTGTTTTTTTTTATAATTAATTTAATAATATCATAAGTTGGTTTGGATTTTTTAAAAAACTATTTTCAACTTATTTTAGAAAAAAATTTGAAACGGATTTGTGAGAGGAATTAGTATCGTTTTAGAATCGACAGATACAGTTGAGTTCCTACAAAATTGATACATCAGTTGAACCATTAATCATTAACACTGATATTACACAGTCGAGGTCTGATAAAATATATATAAGTACATATGTATATTTTCCATAAATTATATATACAATTTATTTCTATATATGTATGTATATATTTAATTAAATGAGAATGAAATATAATGCATTTTTTTTAGCCGCAATATATTCTTTAATAATTGAGTTTGAAACACATTAAAAGTTGGATTTGACAATTATAAAATAAATAACATATTTGATTATAATCATACATACTTATTTGATTATGATAGTACATATTTAATCATATTTCCTATATTGAAAACTATTGCGGGAACGATATTACGCTGCCACGTTCATAAGATACATATAATAATTTGCAAAACAAGTTCCATTCAAAACATTGCACAATATTAAGTTTACATTATTAATGTTTGAATTTTAGTTTTCGCGAGCCGAATTATATAATGTTGTGATCCTACAAAAAATCTGAAGAAAGTAGAAACTTTTGTCTTTTGGGAAAATAATCTTTATCGCAAAACATTTTTATCGTCCTATCGTCACGTATTGATGTGTAAAAGTTTAAATCGATTTTCTACATTTAAAACAAGATGAATAAAAGAAGTTGATGTATGTACTTCTTTACACATATGTAAGTTCAAGATAATATTAGTAATCTAGTCTAGTTGACAAAGTAATCTAAGTATAACTATCTGATATGTACTTTCAAATATGTATAAGGTTGTTTATCTATCTTTAAATAAACTAACTTAATCAATTCTAAATTATTTTTTGTAAGCTTTATTTACTTATTCATTTGCATATGGTATGTAAATTGCTATATTTTTATTATTGCATAGAATCCTTTTGCCTAATATAATTTGATTTTTTACTGAAATTTGATTCAAAGGTTTCTTTAGTGTCTTTACGTGAAATCCTACACTTAAATACCTACTCATATTTAATACCTACCCATATTATATTATATTTAAATATTGTTATATTATATAATAATAATTAGTATCATTAATTATTATAATTTAATTAAAATTATTAATTATTATAATTTTAATTAAATTATAATAATTAATAATATTAATTATGTATATATAAAACTTTTTCAATATGTACATATGTAATTTCGGTTTTCATATTCATAATTCATTTGATAAAGAATTTCGATTAGGTATTATATTTATAATATTTTATAAGTGTTCTGATTTTCACTATATCCATAACTACCAAATTTGAGACTGAAATAATTCGAATTTATTAAAATTTATCTAATAAAAAAGGCGATTACGTTTGTCACAATTACATTTATTTAATTTTAATTTGATGAAATTACAAAAAAAAAAAAAACGAAATAATATTATAGACTAAATAAAATTTCATAAAAATGAATATAAACTCACTTAAGTTTATAATATAAATGGAAAAATTATTTTATTAATCTAGGAGCTTAAATTAATTAAATAAAAAATGCCCAACCTTTATCCTTCAATCAAATTTATAACAAATGGGTATATGTTTTATTTTTTTTTTTCAAATATAGTAATCAAAATTTCAAGGCGTAAATAAATTTTAATTCTGAAATTTTGTTAGTTATTACCTTTACATATACAAATTTAAGACAAAATATTTCATAGTACATTATTTAAAACCCGAATTTATGTATTTTTTTTATTTATACAAAACCTTATTTTTGTCTCTTTGTGTTCTTATTATTTTATCTAACTGATGTTTTGTTTTACTTTTAGTGCGTTAAATTAAAGCATTTTTAAAATATCTAGTTAACATTCGGGAAATCTTGCATTTAATCATTAATTATTTTGAAATTACATTCTTAATTTTTATACTTTAACATTATGAAATTTACATCAGTATCATTATTTTTAACATATGTATGTATGTATACTATTAATTTTGAACTTAAAGATATCTTTTTAGTTGTTTACAAAATGTGTTTTTATCAATCGACATTATGTTTGTAAGAAATTAGAATCCTAAATTAAAAACAAGAAAATGGAAAACTAAAGTGAAATTTTTTTAGTAATTTTCTGATATAATATTTTTATTCCCCTTTTAAACGTTTTGTAAACTCAATTTGTTGTTTCTCCTTCCATTCTTTTTTCGGTTTTGTTCTTTTTAGTTGACCATCCCATACTAAATCGACTAAACCGCCTTGTTTGGCAATTACTCCCTTAACGCGATTTGCAAAATCGATTGCACTCTCGTTTTCTTTTTGATACATTGGTGGTAAATACCAAACATCACAAACTATTGCCCAAGATGTCATCATCATATAAAGGTATTGCATCATTGAATATTTTGAGCTATTCCAGAATGCATCTCCAAATCTGGCATCGTATTTAACAGCAACTGGATAAATAACACCACCAACTTCGAAGCTACCCTTTTTGAATTGCATTACAGAAGTGTTATTAATGCAAGTACCCTCTGGAAATATCAGTATTGGTGGATTTCTTGGATCTGAGACATGTTGTTTTAATCGTTCAGTCACTGCATGTCGATCTTTCGCCTCAGCTCTTTCAAACCAAATATGAGGGGATGCTCTTGCAAGAGCTCTTTGTAAAACACCAAGGAATCCACCATGTCGCTGTCCAATCAATGAATATGTGTTATCACACATTAATATTAAAACATCAATAGGACTAGTATGATTTGCAACACAAATACCCCTTTGAGGACGATTTTCTATATTATGATAATTTATAACTGGAGACAATGCACTTGATAATATGCTAAAGCAATGATTTAATGTGATTGAAACTGCTTTACGTTTAAAATCGCTTTCAGGTAAACCAAAACCAACAACAGCTGTACATATTGTTAACCACAAAACACCAAAAAAACATATAAAAACTCTAATTGGCATTAAAATTGCGTATCTTAAAATAAAACCAATCATCCATATTATAGTCAGTCTCCATGATATAAATTCGTAATGTCTATTAGTTCTCGTAAGTAAATTCCAGTTTTTTAATTCTTCTGAATCAAACCTAGACGTAACTTCATCTTCTATAATAGCTTCTACACCAGTTTTAATATAGGGTAAACAATTTTCTAAACTAAAGTTAATTTCATCTCTCTCAGAATCTTTTTCCAAATTAATTTCATTTTCGTCAAATATTTCTTTTTCATCTACAATTTCAGTCATTTTAGTTCCAACTTTTTTATCACCATCTGGTAAAAGTATTGTATCCCGGCTAATAAGTGCATTATCGTTATCTTTCATGTCGTTTTCTATTACATCATTTTGTTCGGCACTATTACTCTTTAAATCATTGATTCCCGAATTCATATTTTGTTTACTTTCATCGTCTAAACGGGTCTTCTTTTTTGCTTTTTCAATATTTTGCCTTCCATATTCAAAAATTTTTACCATTAGAGCTACATATGCTCTTCTAACACCCATTACTTTATTTATCGCTGCTAAAAATATAACAAATAATATAAAATTACTAAATGCTGACATCATTCCCATGATGATATATCTTTATCCCAAATTAAAGGTATTTTTCTCATGAACAATAATCAATCGATCAAAATTATGTAATATTAGTTAGGAAAGTTTGTTAAGATTCCTCAATTTGTGGTGACAATAATGCATCTGTTGTTGAATGCCCATGCAAAACAGTATCCGTTGAAGCTAGAAAAATAGTACATATTTCCAATTTTTATTTGTTTAATTAATGCACACACTTCTCACTAAAAATCCCTGCAGGCTAAAACATGCTGCATATTTTATTTAAAATGTTTAATCTAAAAATGACATATTTTAAGTCAAAATTCCATAAAATGAGGAACATATTTTGTTCCTCTATAATAACCGACATACATACGTTAAAATATATAATTAAAATTGAATACAAGTTGGTATTAATGAATTAGTTCGAGTCCCAAATAAAAAAAAAAAAATAAATATATTGCCTCCAGGTTGAAACCTGTAGGTTTTTTAGTGAAAATCAGATATTTGTATTTTTATGTATTTAATGATTAAAATTTTGTTAAAATGCTGAACTGATACTTTTTTATTTCTGCTAACTACACCTAATTCAATAAATTTTTGATACGATTTTAATTGTCTTATGTTTTTAATATTTAAAAAAAATCCCTGTTCAAGCTCTAGAAAAAAAAATAGTATTTTTTTAATTCTCTAAATGGCTTTAATATTTCACATAATTAAAAATAAAATTTTTTCAATAAAATTACCTATTTATTTTTTATTATTTAAACAATAAAACGATAATTGCGAATCCTACCTATTCTTACTCTATATTAAATTAAAAGAAAAAAACTATTTTAAAAATATTTTGTATTTAATTTTTAAAATATTAATTGATTTTATAATTTTGTCATTAAAATGATAAGAACATTTATCAAAACAATTTACAAACCAGATTTAGATTAGATATATGTACATATATTGGTAGGTGCTATGTATCGAAATTAACGTTGTACGGTCAGTAACTGAAGCTTTTATATTTAAATAAATAAAAATGAATCTCTTTAATTTTTTTAAAGGAGTTTGTATTTATTTGTAATGCAATTTTTGTTAAACGAATAACGCTCTTAAGCGTATCATATAAATAGTTTAAATGTTCTAATTAAAGAATGGTTAAAAAATATTTGTTTAATTTTCAACCAACGTAATAGCCCGCATATTTTACACTTAGCAATTTTTACTCTTTAAATCATGCACATGAAATTACGAATTATTAATCACTATTAAAAGATGAATCTGCTTTTTTTAATTGTATTTTCCAAATACACTAAGTAGGTACGTAGATACATAGGTACGAAAGGCTTTTAGACCACCCTACTTAACAAAAATTATTCTACCACAATTACAACTATTCAAATTTTTAGTTAAGGTATTGTCCTTAAATAAAAAAAAAAGGAAATATATGCATGTAAATCCCAACATGGATATATCATCTCTCTGAATAAATATTTTTTGAAAGCATACAGCGTTTTTGGTTTTTCATAAATATTATTGTAAACTGTTTAATGAATGTTAGTAAGTGCAAATTTCTTCAAATTTTAGTGGAACAAAATGAAGTTTTGGTAGTCTCCTAAATAGATATGTATTTTGATTTCAACACTTGTATTACGTCATAAATAATAATAAATTTTATACTAATGCTTACCAAAAAGTTTTCAAACAATTTAACTACATACGTACAATTTAACTCTTTATATAAAATAAGCAAAATTTAAGCACAAATTTTTCGACTTTTATTTAAAAAAAAAGTAAAAGGAAAACTAATGATTTTTCGAAAATATAAGCACAATTATAAAGACATTTTCGCATTTTTTCTCATAAAATCTTATAATGATATAAAATTATGATGAATATAAAAATCTTATTTTATTTTAAATTTAACCATTAATTAATAACATATGCTTATTTATATGTCCAATAAATTCAGTTTGAATAAAATGTACCGAAACGCGCGAAAATATTTTTTTTTTATTATTATATACATATATTAAGAGAAAATGAAACACAAATATATTTATTTGATATTTCAATAAAGGTAAGTCAAAAAAAGCCGAAAAGAGACAAGCATATATAATAATAGATTGTCTATTTTTTTTGTTGTGAATTTTGATGTTAAGTTTTAAGGAAATCGTTACAAAGAATTACCAGCCAATTTTGAATATTTTATGAAAACTGTTTATGATTCCTTTTTAACAAAAATAATGTATTCTACTCTATTAAATAATAAGTTAAAAAATTTAACTAAAAAATACAAATTTACATCTAAATTACTTCCATTTTATATTTAAAATATGTAACTTGATTTTCAAATCAATACACTATTTCATTTTAGGACAATCTGGTAACTTTTAAAATAAAATGTACCTTTAAAACCATCCCGTACTTAAAAAAAAAAATCTGCATGTTTCATACATATCCATTCAAGCGATATGAAAAAATTTGTGCGTCATTTGACATTTCACAATTTTTTATTCTACATTTTCACAAGTTTATTAAAGATTTTCCAAAAAAAAAAAAAAATATACATATTAAAAAAAAAAATTTTCAAAAATGATTATAAGTGATGCACAACGCACCCACAAATTCCCTAATATTTATTCAGATTTGATTTTTTTAAGTTTTTTTTTTTTGGACTAAATGCACCATTATGTTTTAATACCCGATTCAATTTCATTTTATCGACATTTTCAACTTTTTTTTTTCCTTTTTATATTCCTCAAAAAAACACTTTCTTATGCTTCCTTTTTATATAAAAAAAAATATACACTATTGATAAAAAAAGCAACCAATTTACCAATTATGGGAAAAAGAAAGTTATATAAAAAAAAGTTAAAGAATTATGTACATATGTATCTAAAATATTTCTAATTGAAAAATTTTCTCATAAATTATGCCCCCATCAACCAAACCAAAATTCACAAGCTTTTTCAAAAATCAAAATTTCAATATATAATATGCACAAATAATTAATATTTAATTATCTTAAGTTAGTAAATGTATTCAAATAATATACCAACTGATTGAAATTATTTTAAAACTTAATTTTAAATTTATTTAAAAATAAAATATAATTTACTTTTAGAATTGCGGCTAGACAGAGAAACGCTCACATTCACACGAACTTTTTATTATTTTCAATAAAATGAAGTTAAATACAAATTTCAAACGCAAATCAGAATATGGCACTCTTCGAAATGACATTCCATAATGACGTCAGAAGGTGCCATTCCAAATTAAAATGAAATTAATTGTGTGTGTATGTACAACGTTGATAAATTTTTTGTATAATTTAATATATCAATACTCTGGTCAACAATATGTCTTGTTTTTTTTGTTCACTTTTTAAAAATTTAAGTGAGTAACACAAAATTGAAATTCTTCATATTACCAATCATTGGCACCAAGTGACGTCATTCATAAATAAAAATGGCGATCATTTTTAAAAATGTTAATTTCTAACTTCGCCACATTATTTTCTAGTACCAAGTTTCTTTTTTCTTCCTTTTTAAGTTTTACCAAGTTTAAAACCCAGCAAACAAATTTTGTATGTTACGCAAAAATGCATTTGCGTTATACAACGTGATGGCACACTTTAGCAACTTTAATATATGCAAAACCAAAAAGCGTTCTTAAATATCTATTTTTATATTGAAAACTGAGTTGACATTTTCGTTAATAATTTGAAAATTATCAAAGAAAACACCTTTAGATTAACGAAATGAACGAGGTTGATTAACAAAAATGTACTCAGCTGTATTTTTTGGATAAAAATCCGTCAAATTATATTTAAAAAAAAAATCAATTTTCTCTTGAAATTTACAACTAAATAAAAATGTTTTACCATGCTCCGTATTTTTTACTTATTTAAATTTGTTGTAATACAAAAATTTAGTGCATTTTGAAACCATCGATATCAAAGTTTCGCAAACCTTGCATAGCTTGCATAGCCTTGTTGTGAAACACATTTCAGCAATTTTAACCATACATATTGATTAATATCTAATTGGATCGCTGGTTTGTATTCCTCATATAATATGCTAACTTTCTGTTTTAGAAACGAGGAATAAAACAGACACAATTTTACAATTTTTTCATGTATAATACAACTCCTTAGACCCTCACCAAAAAATAGTTTCACAAATAAGAAGAGATAAGTGGACAAAGGGGTTAACTAACATTTTGACGAAAATCGGACTTTTCGGATGGAACATCATTAAATTTCAACTGTAATTACTCTTATAACTAGAAACTTAATAGAAGACGAGATTGACAATTCACATAGTAGATAAATAACAAAAAAATTAATAGTTTTACAATTTGTTAATGAAAAAATGTGTTACAATGCAAATGTAAATTAACCCCTTTGTCCTCTTATTCCTTTTTTCTTTTTTTTGCTATATTCTTTGTAAGTTTTTTTACCTTTCGATAAAAAGTTTTTTTAAAATTTAATAAAAATAAATATAAGAAAATTAAATCAGAAATTAATAAAAAACTTTACGTCAAATGCTATTTGTGAATTATTCGACTTATACGTATACGTACGTACTCATTGTGAATCATGCAACACCAACCCTCTGATAAATTAATACCATAAAAAGAAAAAATAAAATTCACTACAAATTAAAAATAGAAGGTCTCATCACTGGTTTAGGTACACAAATAATTCTCCAATATAATAGCTGAGCAGAGTGCAACCTTCAATTTTTGATGAAGGAGGGTTTTATTTTCAGGCGATTATTAATTAAAATTCATTATATTTGCTATCGCTTTATTAATTAAACATATAAATTCTAAGTTTCTGCAACACATTGATTTTCATTGATTAAATTTAAACACATTTCCAAGGTAAGTAAATACAAGTCAATTTTTTTAAAAGTTGTTCTGGTCCCGGTTTCATGGTAAAGTAAATGACATTTGAAAAATCGATTTGTTCAATGTATTTACATACATATGTACCTACACAATATGCGGCATTTACTCTCTAAATACAAAACTTAAAATTTATTGCTTAATTGACTTAGTGTTTTTTTAATCTGAATTTACTATAAAATGTTATAGTCAGATATTTTTATAATAATTTTAATAATTTTTAGCTAGTATGAGCAATAATAATTCTCAGTTAAATGAAGACCAAAAGCCACCCCAACAAAATGTTGGAGGTTACGCTCCCCGCCGTCGAAGTGGCCGACCTAATAAGAACTATAATCAACAAAATTTGCAACAACAGCAACCACAAACACAACCTGCTGCAACGGAAGATCCATTGTCTATTGAAGATGCTCTAAAAAATGTTAGTAAAAATAATTTACGTCCTCTTAATCAGCTTGTCTGTATGCCATCTTTAAATGTGAACCTAAAATTAAATAAAATATTTTGTAGCACGAAATTCCCAGTATAGCAATGAAGACACCGGTATCAATCTTGCAAGAACTGTTGAGTCGTCATGGTATTACACCTAGTTATGAGCTCGTTCAAATCGAGGGCGCAATTCATGAACCAACATTTCGTTATCGTGTATCATTTAATGATAAGGATATACCTTTTACAGCAATGGGCGCTGGTCGCTCAAAAAAAGAAGCTAAACATGCTGCCGCGAAAGCTCTTATTGACAAATTAACAGGAACATCTGTTGGCAGTATGAGTGACAATAATCCCACTCTATCCGCTACCACGAATGGTGACACAACTTCTATTGGAAATTTGCAAGAGTAATTTACTTGGTTTTTAAAATACTGTACATTGATATTTTTTGTATTTTAGAACTAGCTACGAGGAAAAAGTTCAAGGCAATCCTATAGGTTGGTTGCAAGAAATGTGTATGGCGAGACGATGGCCGCCACCAACTTATGAAACTGAAATGGAAGTAGGATTACCACATGAAAGACAGTTTACGATAGCTTGTACAATATTAAAATATCGTGAAGTTGGGCGTGGAAAAAGTAAAAAGGTAGCAAAAAGACTTGCTGCGCATAAAATGTGGACTAGACTACAAGAAAATCCTTTAGACCATGCTCAAATCACTTCTGTTTTAGACGAAGAGGGCAACGAAGAGGTATGTAAACAATATAATTTTTTTGTATTTGAATTATTGTAATAGAATGACAAAAGTAGATTTATATCTGTTGTGTTAAGATTTGCCTTCCAAAATTTTTCTTGTTTTCCAAAATTTTATTATTTTTAAGTGTATTTCTTTTATTAAAAATGCAGATACACACAATTTATAGTGAAGAAAGTTAAGCCATTTTTCTAAGCTTATATCTTCAAGGCTTTTGAAAAAAACCAAAAAAACATTTTTCATAAAAAATATCGTAATATTATTTTAGCCGAGAAAGTAAACGTTCAAACAAATTTACATTTATGTTATTTGCATTTTTAATAAGAATGGATTAAATAGAATTAGTATTAAAAAGAGCCTTCATAAATTGTGTGTTTTTGCAGAATCGTATTTTAAACCGTTATGCTGATCTAAAAGATTGTCATGTTCCGGCTTTAACAAGTCATTACAGTCAAAAAGTATCACAATTTCATCGATCTTTAAAAAATGCTACGGGAACTAAATTAGCAAAGCTACAGGTTAGTGCATATTTTTTTCGAATGTATGACTAGATTCTTTACAAAAGTGGGCATATAATGGTTTGTATGCAGTTTTTGCAATTATAAAATTTTACAATTAATAAAAATAATAAAAGTGTTAATAAAATATGGATATATATATCTAACACTATTTTTTTAAATTTCAGTCCACGTGTCTAAAGAATACGGAAATTAATTACGTACAATTTTTGGAAGAAATCGCACATGAACATGAATTCGAAGTGACATATGTTGATATTGAAGAAAAAACTTATTCTGGGCGATCTCAATGTCTCGTACAGTTATCAACTCTACCTGTGGCTGTTTGTCATGGTTCTGGACTGTCGTCAAAGGAAGCTCAGGCAAATGCTGCTCATAACGCTCTTGAATATTTAAAAATTATGACGAAAAAATAAATTGTTTCAAAGAGCGTTCCTAACATAATAAAACAAATATGTTATATATCTAACAATTTAATACATATGTGAATGTATCTAAATGAGCAGCTGAATTGATTTAAAATCTAATAATTTATAATTAGTTATTCCAAAAAATCCTTTAAGAGATATAAAATTTTTGCAAGAAATTACGTAATTTCAACAATAAATGCAAAAAAAACAATATGAAATCAAAATATAGATGGCTAAATTCCCGTAAATAATATTTCCGTCTTTTTTAAATATTTTTTAATATTAATAGCAGCTAGTTTTATACTATTAGCAAGTCTGATACAAGAAAAACTACACATACATAATTTATTGTAATTCAAAGTTTTTATGTAGGAGTCTTATTCTTTTGATGTGTTTTGCTTCAATCAAAACGAAAAGGTTTTAATTTAAATATACTATTGTATAACATGATTCAGTATGAAACGAAGGATGTACATAAATTACTACTGGTGAAAATTATAAATAGTGGGTAACAAGAACGTAAGTTTAGGATATAATTTTATTATTTAATACTACATATATTAACAATTGAAACTAAAAGATATATAAATAAAAATGAAAAGAACTTTTCGTATTAAATATATGTAGGAGAAAATAAGCCTTATGAGCCAAAAAATTAAGACATTTTAATTTATTCTAATTCAATGCATTTCAAAATATATTTCTTATTCAATATTATACACTAAAAGTTATTTATGCGCCTAGTTTTTCTTGTTACCATTTTTATAAAAATTTTACTAAATGTTCCTTATTTAAGTAAATGGAATTTTTATTATACTTAAAACGTTATGGATTAAAAAATTTTAGGCAATTATTTAAATTGAAAAAAATTCTTATTACTTAAATATTATTTGAATTAGTTAATAATATTCAAGAATATAAAAAATATAAATAAATGAATAATTATTGATAATAATATTAATACATAAGAAATAATGTTAGAACAGCGAATTGAAATTCAAATTCTTTTAAATTAACGTTTATTTTAAGGACTAAAAATAGTTATAAGCCAATATAAAAGTTGATTTAAAAAATTACACCAACTATAATATTTATTATGAAATAATGAATGATTTGTGCCCGATTGGTTTATCAAAAATTGTACATTTAAATTTGGAAACCATTTTTTGGTCAATTTTAATTTTATATGTATTGTATGTTTTTCATAATGAAATTTTTAAAAAGTTATGTACTAATTCAAAAAAGTTATGTTTTAATTCAAAGTTTTAATAAACAAAGGTAAATAAAAACAAAATTAAATGGAAAAAATGTTCATGTACATAGATAAACAAAAGATATGATAAATTGTAAAATATATTCAATTTCTTGAATACGATTGTATACAGACTCTGCTTTGCAATGAATTAATAAAAATCTTTCAATAGTTCAATAAATACAAATAATTAAATTTTATACAAAAACAAATCATAAATAGTAGTAATATACAATCATTAGCCTAAAAGATTTCATATGATTTTTCAAATATAATAAATCCAGTGCATAATGTACATGTAAAACATTTTGTGTAAATTGTTTGAAATTTTTATATTATTTTGATGCAAAGTTTGGAGGTTGTATAACATTAAACTTTAATTTTTTGTATTTTAAATATAGTAGGACATGTTTAATAAAATATAATAAAATGTGTCACTTGTAATATAGAAAAGTATTACTTAAAAACTTTTTCGAAATTAAATGAAAAATTGATTATGTGATCAATTAATAAATTTCACTATAAGAATAATTCATGAATGATGTAATAATATTAAATAATGATATCTGTACTTTCAACACGAGTTTAAAAAAAAAACACTTAATATTTGTATAAAAATCGAGTAGTATAAAAAGAATATAATAAATGAATCAGTTTTTTTTTGGCCGTACAAGTATAATTGCAACATTGTTTAATTTACAAAAATTAAAACAGATTTATTTAAATTATTTTGTTTTACTTAAATTGCTGCTAATTAATTTGTAATATTTCCTAAATTACAATAAAAAGAAAACATAATAAAAATTTTGCATTTTTTATGCAAGGAGGCCATTAGTTTTTAACTAGTAATATTTAATTAAAATGGTTTTGATTTATAAAAGCTATTTTTATAATAAAAAAAAAAGGAAAAATAAAAATAAAAAAAAAAATTAAATTTTACATTTAATTGTAAATATACTTCAGAAAACTTTTAAGTTATGTTCTCAATTTGTCGCAGCGGAAAATCATGTTATTTTAATTTTAATCGTACCTTAAAGATTAAATGCTTGCACGAATTAACATAATTTTAGATAAAAATAACTGAAAAAGTCAACTACTTTAGATAACTTTTTAAATTAAATAAGAAAGAATATTATTTATTTATTTAAAATTTTGTTATTTTTTATATACAATTCTGCAAAAAAAAAAAAAAAAAAAAAAATTTTATTATAATTTTTATTTTAAATTTTGAAAAATAAATTAACATCTCGAAGTTTGAATATTAATAAACAATTACTAATAAAAAAACATACAAATGTGAAATTCTTAACAAAATTTTCAAAATGTTTAATTGTAATTATACATACATACATAATATATAAATTATTTTAAAATAATAAAAATATTCTAATCACAATTGTATAAGTCAAATATTTATATATATTTAATGGTAAAGATTTAATCAATGAAAATGTAAAATTATTCATCAAAATTTAAAATGAAAATCATTTTAAAAATATTATATTATATGTGAGTAAAATAAAGAAAATAAAATCAATTAAAATAAATTTTTAAATTTAATTTGAGAAAATTAGCAACGTAAAACAAAATTGTAATGGCATATACGACTAATTCGTATAATTTAAGTATCATACACCGCACAACAATTACTAATGTTTCGAATGAATTTAAATGTTTGTCGCATATTTTTCAAAATATTTAAATAGACCGTATGTGGACAAGAATATTCATTAACATGCAATATCTAAGGATATAGTATACAGATTATAGAAGTATACTATATGTATGTATATAAACCAAAAATGTGAGAATCGCTATGAAATATGAGGAAAAATGTATAAGGCTTTTTTGAAATCTATTATTAAAATTAATTTTTTATATTTTCTTAGAGATTTCTGGTCCTATGTAAAGAACTCTCTATATCTGTTATAAGAACATGTACACATAAATTCTGCTTTCATCCACTTTTACAACCTTAAAAATGAAACTCTTAATAGCGAATACATTTGTAATGCGAAATTTGCACAAATTTTCGAAAACTTTTTGTAAACCAGCATTGCTATTAAGTAGTAATGCAAGAGGCTAGGTAATAGACATAAATAAACATAAGAAAATACAGGCCTGGACATTAAAAGTTAGTGGTATTTGTAATACGGCAAAGTATATGTAATATGTGAGCTTACGTTTACGCATATATCATTATAACTTAAAAAGCTTTCTTTTAAAAATGGAAATTTTTAATATTTTTCCCATAGAAATTTTTAAAATTCAAAAATCATTGTGGGATTATGTTATCGTAACATTATAAAATTAATTTGAAAAACATACCAAAGAAAGAAAAGAAATACTCATATTAAACTACACGCGACATCAAAAAAAAACTTAATTATATTACGTCTGTATAGTATATTTTTCTTCAGTCTAAGCCTAGATTTTTATTATGTCAGAATTTAGTTTAGAAATCAGGATGACATAGCGATCAGAGTAAAATGTAATTGCATAAATTAAGTTTGTAAATATTATTCTCTTTTAATAGCGTTTGCCTCAGTATTTGTGATATTAATGTATTACATGTGTATTTTGATTTTTGAAATGAGATGAAATGTGACATTTGAAAAGATATAAAGCTCGGCTTTTTTTCTTATCAAACCAGTTATTATTGTCAAATAGAAACAGAAAGATTACATTTTCGGTATAAATTTTCTAAGGTTTTCTATTTTATATTTATATACTTATAAATTTTGAACGCGTGTGAAATATTAAAAAATTTGCTTAAAATTTTTTGAAATATTTAATTGAAATGAGTGCAAAAATTTTGGTTATTGGAAGCGGAGGGCGTGAACATGCTATTTGTTGGAAATTGGCACAAAGTGGTAATGTTGAAGAAATTTACGCTCTACCCGGCAGCTATGGTATTGGACAAATTAACAAAGTTGTAAATTTGACTAATATTGATGTCAACAATTTTCGGGTAATTAGAAAAAAATTTGTAGCTATTAATGTAAATATGTAATTTATATATGTAAACATATATATATATATAAAATAAAAAATCTTAAAAAATATAAAAATATGTACATACATATGTATGTATGTGTGTATGTATATAAATTCAAGAAATGTAATAATATGCCCTTGTAAGAACAACACATAAAATCAGAAAAAAATTATTATCTATGGAATATGTATGTATGTACATACAACTTTGTATATTCCATATGTAACTAATTTTTGAAAATAATATACTTATACAAATGTATGTACGTACATAAGTATACATATATTATTTATTAATATTTAATATGTATGCAAATAACAAAAATTAAATGAGAAATTGAAATTCAAAATTACGAAAATTATAAAAGAAGTAAAAGATTTTTACTAATTGTAATGAAAATTCATGTAAGTATAAACAATTAGTAAAAATACATGTACATATGTACGTACTTATATAATATGTATATATTAGAAAAAATGCTCAGCTTATTAAAGATCAATCAATTTCAGTCAATCTAAAGGTCCTCGAATTTTCAAAATAATTTTACTTTTCACACATGCATACATAATTTTTCTTTTATTTTAGGTCAAACCAAGATAGATTTTTTTTCGAATTCTGTTGTTTATTAACTTTTAGTATCCTCTATATACCTATGTATATTGTAATATGTGTTTTGGTTGCATTTACTGTCACGTAAATATTAAATGTATTTATCGCGATATTCTGTATTATAATGTGTATTGATACATCAGTATAATGTACATATAATATATCAGGATTGTGGATATAGAATTAGAGGTATAGAAGTTGATTAAATAGAAGTAACATTTTTGTATAACGAAAGCATAAACTAATTCAATTTATGGATATTTTTATTTAAACTCAATTAACCTATCATATTCCGATCGTAGAATAAAAACACATAAAATACATGAGATGGCCATGTATATTGTATATTCAATTGAACGTATAGTAATATGTATACATAGTTTGTAACATTAGAAGTTAAATTGACTATGTCATATATCTATTATGTCATATATCTGCATATTTACATAAAAATTTATCAAGGATTCGATTTGATATTAACTTCTCCATACAAAAAAAAAATATAAAAAGCCATTTCTCTTAAGATATCAGTTTTAGTTTTACTTACGGTGGCGCAGTTCTAAATCAATATGTAGCTGGAATTTTATGAGCATCGTATCTTATGCCTTAAAAAGGGACAGTAAATTGTCTGAAATTTATTGGACAAATTAAGAAAAAGAGATTCTTCCATATTACGAGTATATCTACCTACTTAAGATTTTTAGATCAGTATTCAAGTTTTATTGAATGTTATCTCGTTTTCTTGTTTGCACTTACAAAATCGTAAAAAAGTTAATAATAATGCCTTTTATGATTTTATTTAGTAATTTCATTCATTTTCAATCAATGTTTTGCAATATTTTAAGATTATTTCAACAGAATTGATAAGAAATATTATTATTTTTATATTTACAGAATTTAAATTGGTTTTAATAAATGGAAAAACATAAATATTTTGTCAAGGCGATTATTTTGCATTTTTAAAAATGTCTTTTGTTATTGTAATTAGTGATGCTTTATTTGTTTACTGTTTACTCCGTGGGTTATATTTGATAACATTTGATAACATTTTTGTATTCTTTTAGACGTACTTTGCTTATTACATTTATGCATACATATATATACATATACATACATACACTTTATTATTGTACATTTTTGTATTTTTCTTTATGATAATATTGAAATACGATTACAATTTAAGTACCTAAGTCTTTTTTAAATTTCATGTTGAATTTACTAATGCTTTTACCTTTCTTCACTGATAAATAATGATAAACCCAATAGTATAATACATTTAAGATGGTAACAACAAAAGAAAAATTTGTGTTTCTTGAAATCACAATCTCGAGAGTTCAAAACAACATTTAGATTGTTTTAAAATATTCATAATATTTTATAATTACAATCTCAAAACTACAATAAATGGGAAAAATTACCTAAGTATGCTCATAATTTAACTTAAAATGAGTTCATAAAATTTATTCTTATTCATTAAAATTCAAAATATAATTTGAGTATTAAAAAGATGCCTAAAGATATAAACATATTCAGGATTCTGATATGGCTTAAACGCATTAGAGTCATGTAATTATACACATATATGTATGTATGTATGTATGTACTACGTTAAAATATAAATTCATACTTAGTTCAATGTCCGACAAAAAATGTTTTCAAATTTTAGGCAATAGGAGAATGGTGTCAGCAGAAACATATTGATTTAGTTGTAATTGGTCCAGAGGATCCTTTGGCCCATGGAATTTCAGATGTTTTATCAAAATTTAATATCCGGTGTTTTGGTCCAATGAAGGAAGGAGCACAAATAGAATCAGATAAAAAATGGGCTAAAAATTTTATGATGCGACATAATATACCAACAGCACGTTTTGATACATTTACCGAATCAGAAAAAGCAAAACGATTTTTAAGAGAGTAAGTAATAAAACAATTATTTAATCATACACAATTATCATACATTTATCACAATATGCATATTTTACCAACATTCTATGTTTTTAGTCCTCCCTACAATGCCGTGGTTGTAAAAGCAAGTGGTCTGGCAGCAGGAAAAGGAGTTGTTGTTGCACTGAATTCAGAGCACGCTTGTGAAGCTGTTGATGAAATACTTAAAGAAAAAAAATATGGAAAAGCTGGAGATGTAGTTGTTATTGAAGAATTATTAATTGGCGAAGAAATTTCGGTACTTGCATTTGTTGATAAAAACACAGTACGCGTAATGTTGCCATCTCAAGATCATAAAAGATTGCAAGATCATGATCTTGGCCCTAATACTGGTGGAATGGGCGCTTATTGTCCGTGCCCATTAATCAACGAAAATCAATTAGAATATGTTATTGAAAATATTTTACAAAAGACAATTGATGGTTTGAGACAAGAAGGGATTTCTTATTGCGGTGTCTTATACGCAGGTCTTATGTTAACAGACGTTGGACCGAAAGTTTTAGAATTTAACTGTCGTTTTGGAGATCCAGAGACCCAAGTTATACTGCCATTACTGAAATCTGATTTATATGATGTTATGTTAGCTTGTTGTGACAATAAATTAAATCAAATAAATTTAGAATGGGCTGAAAATTTATCGGCTGTTGGTGTAGTTATGGCAAGCGCTGGTTATCCAGAAACTAGCACAAAAGATTGTGTTATTGAAGGTGAATAATTAAATTTTTTACTACCTAGGGTAATTAGTTCATAAATAATCGCTCTTATAATTTTCTTAATATTTTCAAAGGAATTCCGAAAAATACTCCAACGAACCTGATATTTCATAGCGGTGTTGCTTACAAAAATGAAAAACTTGTTACAAATGGAGGTCGAGTTTTGATTGCTGTTAGCTTGAATGAAGATTTGGAAAAAGCTGCGAGCATGGCTACAGAAATTTGTCACAATATTAAATTTTTAGGAAATAAAAAAGCTCAGTATCGTACTGACATAGCTGCAAAGGCTTTTAAATTGTAATTTATTTTAATTACAGGGGTTTTACGCCTGAAAGATTTTATGCAATAAATTTAATGAAATTGAAATGCAAAATATTTGTTTTTTATATTATTTAGATCTCTATCCTACAAGGACAGTGGAGTAGATATAGAAGCAGGGGACGATTTAGTTCAGAGAATAAAACCACTAGCAAGAGGAACCTGCCGACAGGGTGTTGTTGGTGGAATCGGGGGCTTTGGAGGGTTATTTAGTATGAATGAGGTACAATTGTACTTAAGTTATGGTGTTGGAAATTTTTAAAATAAAATTTACATCTTAGCTCCCTTACAAAAACCCAGTACTATGTGAGATTACTGGTGGTGTTGAATCAAAAATTAAATTAGCCTTAGACTTTGAAATGTATGAAGGCATCGGTTACGATTTGGTTGCTGTTTGCGTTAATAAAGTGTTAGAGTCTGGAGCCGAACCTATAGCGTTTTTAGATTATATTGCTTGCGGAAAATTACAAGTATCTGTGGCCGCACAAATAATAAAGGGAATATCTGAAGGATGCCGGGATGCTAATTGCGCTTTATTGGGTAATTTAAGCAACTTGAAATATTTAATTTCCTATTCTCTAATTTATATTTAAAAGGTGGAGAAACAGCAGAAATGCCTACAGTGTATGCTGTTGGAAAATATGATATGGCTGGCTATTGTGTAGGCGTTTTAGAGGAAAACTTTGAAATTCCAAAATACAAAAATTTGGAAACTGGCGATATGATAATAGCCTTGCCAACTTGTGCACTAAATAACTCTTGTTTTGGGTTCGTAATAAATCTTTTACAAAAATTAGGGGTAAATATGCAAAACTTCTCTGAATTCGGCGATAAACAAAAAACATTTGCGAGTAATTTTTTGGAGACATCACCGATTTATGTTAAAGAGGTTTTACCTCTCATTCAAAAAAGATTGGTAAAGTCGTTAGCCTACGTTGATACAGATTTAACGACAGCAATGAATAAATTAATATCCAAAGATTTTTCAGCACAAATTGATTTCAGTAAAATTAGAACTCCAGATATATTTGGTTGGATGGCTGTAAAAGGTGGTCTTTCTGATAACTGTCTTCTAAACAATTTCAATTGCGGCATCGGTATGCTATTAATTGTTTCGGAAAACTGTACTGAGTGGATGTGCATACCAAATGCGAAATGTATTGGAAAATTAATAAAATCTACTAATTCTAAAACAGCTTTAAGTTTCATAAACGTGAATAAATCTTTTAGCGAGTGCTCTAAACAGTTTAGTAAAGAAATTATTGAAAGAAATTATGAGTATCAAGTAGAAAAACTTGACGATGTGAAGCGGGAATTAATGCAATTCGCTAGTTCTACGTTGGGAAATGTTATTCAAACTGATTCTGGCAAAATTTTAACTAAAGTGTCGAAGAAATATCGTAATCCAATATTAATAATCGGCACAGATGGCGTTGGCACTAAAATAAAAATTGCTCAAGATTGTAATTTGCACAATACCGTTGGAATAGATTTGGTTGCAATGTGTGCTAATGATATCTTATGTAACGGTGCTGAGCCTTTAACGTTCTTAAGTTATTATGCTGGTGGTGAAGCTCAAAAACAAACTGTTGTCGACATTATATCGGGAGTGGTAGAAGGCTCAAAACAAAGTGCAACAAATTTGATTGGTAAGATACTTTATTCTTCTATGAAATTTTTTAAATTTTGTATTTTTTTAGATACACAAATAGTTGAACTTCCGTTGATATATAAAAGAAACGTCTATGACTTAGCAGGATTCTCGTTAGGGGTTGCGGAATATGAAAATATGCTTCCAAGAACTAGCATTATAACAGAGGGTGACATCGTTATTGGTTTACCATCTACTGGGGTTCATAGCAATGGATTTAGTTTAGTACATAAAATAATGGATTACGCTGGATATACGTTTGGTGACAAAACTCCGTTCAGCAATAAAACTTTTGGTAATACAAGTTTATTTTAAAAATACATACATAAAATTTTAAAGATCACTTTAATTGAAAGGTGAGGAGTTCTTGACACCAACAAAAATCTATGTAGATGCATTAAAAAATATTTTAGAAAAACGGGTAGTAAAAGCAATTGCTCATATTACAGGCGGTGGTCTGATAGAAAATATTCCAAGAGTTTTTACTTCCGAATTAGGTGTTATATTAGATGCAAATAATTGGAATATTCCACCAGTATTTGCTTGGTTAGCAGAAAAAGGCAATATAACATTCTATGAAATGCAAAGAACATATAATTGTGGTTTGGGTTTAATATTGATTGCCGATCCAAAAAATGAAGAATTTTTAATAAATCAACTAAAATTTTCTCACAATGCCACAAAAATTGGTAATGTTGTGTATCGAAAGTCATTAAATACACCGCAAGTTACAATTCATAATTTTGAAAAATCTTTACAAAAAGTTCAAAGACTTATAAAATTACCAAAGAAAAGGGTTGCTGTGTTAATATCTGGTTCAGGCACAAACTTACAGTCACTAATTAATGCGACAAACGATTCAGCGCAAGGTATTGGAGCTGAAATTGTAATGGTCATTTCAAATAAATCAACAGCATATGGTTTAGAGAGGGCGAAACAAAATGGAATTGATGCTGTATTCATTTCACATAAAGATTTTAGCACTAGAGAAGAATTTGATGAAGCTATGTCAAGAAAACTGAAGGAATATGGAGTTGATATTGTGTGTTTGGCTGGATTTATGAGAATACTTACAGAAAATTTTGTCAAGACATGGAAAGGCAAACTAATTAATATCCATCCATCGCTGTTACCGAAACATCCAGGCTTGCATGTTCAAAAAAAAGCTTTGGATGCTGGAGATAGTGAATCGGGCTGCACGATACACTTTGTTGATGAGGTTTTTACAAAAGCAATATACATTATATAAATAAAATTTAATTAAAAAATTGTATTTTAAGGGTGTTGACACAGGAGCAATAATCATTCAAGAAAAGGTTCCAATTCTTCCTGGCGATACAGAAGATATTTTAAGTGCCCGGATTTTGAAAGCAGAACATTTTGCTTTTCCAAAAGCTTTGAAATTACTAGCAACAGATGCAGTTAAGCTTGTAAACAATAAAGCTGTTTTTTGCTAACATTTTTTTAGGTTAAGTAATTATTAAAATTTTAAAGGTTTTTCCAATTTCATTTTGATTATCAACAAAACCAATAAAAGATAGGTAAAGGAAGTAATAAAACTTACTGCTTTAGAATCAAATAGAATTGTTAATTATAAAATTTGCATATTCATCTATATAGCATTAAACAATGTTTCATAATTTAAGAATTAGGAGTTCTATATTAAAAAATTAGTTTTTTTTTAATTAAAAAACGTGTTAATTATTTCAAACTTAAATGTAGATTTTTTTAATTCATTTAATATAATAACTTAAGTTTTTATGTACAAATTAAAAAACTAAAGGAACATTATTTTTCTGTTAAATTTTTAAAACTGATTAAAATTAATATCTCATTTGATATTTCAATTGAAATTTTATATTGAAAAGTTCTTATTTTTATCAAGTTTTGTATTTCGTACAGTAGTTGTATTATTGTTATTAGATTGAATTAATTCAATATTTAGCAGTTCTGAAACATTCTTATTCATACCTAAAGTACGTTTCAACTCGTCTAAAACTTTTTTGTCAAAACCACCTTGAATTAACTTGTTTTCAGCATATTGAATTACTTCGTATATATTTCTTAACATATTACAACTTTTAGATAATTTTTCCGTTACAAATTGATGACGAAAACGAGTTTTGGCTTTTTTAATTTTTCCATTCAATCGAGAACGTCGGCAAGATTCAGCTTTCTGTAATTGAACCGGATCCTTCATTTCAGATTCCTTTGTATTTCGACGAATGCTTACAACCGGTGGTTGTTCAATTAACATTCTTTCGACATACTGATTTTCTTCTTGTTGGTAATGATTTTGTATGTTTACCATTTCTACATCAATAGCTTGCTCAATCCAAGTTTTACGATCATCTTTAAAATTTAAATGCTGACGTTGATATAATAGGTGTGTATCATGATTATCGATCAATTGTACATCATAGGTATTAGAAAAGTTTTTGTGCAGGTTTTGTAAAATTAATCCAGCTTCTAGTGTATAATTTGGAAAAAAAGTTCTATGAATTTTTCGATTATGTACTGAAAAAAAAAAAAAAGAAATAGTATAAACATCCAAAATAAAATACAAACTCAATGTGTAAGAGATAATTATTAATTGTTTAAATTGAATGCATACATTTATGCACATACATACGTATATATGTACATATGTACGTATAAGGCATGCTTATGCATACCTACTACGAAAGGAATGTTTCCATTTTTTTTTAAATTTAATTAAAAAAAAATTTACTTACCATCACTACACAAACTCATTTTTTATTGGTTATAAAAAATAATGTAAAAATTCAATTTTTATTTCACTATATCAAAATATTTAATTTGAAACAATAATGCACAACCTGATTTGTCAAAAATTATTTAAAAACTGTTAATCTCTCCCAAATTGCATACTGTTTTTATAGCGTGATTTTGAAAAACACAATGCATATGCATCAAAAATTATCAAATTTGAATTTAATTATTATTGAGAAACAATTTGGCAAAAATAAATAATCCCCTCTTAAAAATCTCATTAGACCTATATTTATGTAAGTAAAAATGTTATTTTATTATTGAGTGAAATAATAAAGAATACCTTACTTACCAAAAGACAGCATATAATTATGTAAATTATGTATATATGTATGTATATATACAATTCTTATACACAATATGAATTATTTAGAGTGTATACATTTGAATTAATAGGGCGACCATTCGTATTTTATTTTAGCGAGTACAATCTAATTTTTTGTTTCTTGCTCTGTTAAAATATTGAAATTGGCTTGAAATTTTCACCTTCAAAACCCTACCTGTTGTTTTATATTTTGTTTTTGTTTTATATCATTTCCGTTTTAATTTTTTTTTTATAAAATACCCTATAGGATACTACTTTTTTAGCTAAAAATCACGTAAATGCACTATTAAAGTTCATAAATTCTCATGTGGAAGTGATAAGAACTTAAAGAAATATTTTTTATTAAATTTGTTTTCATTTAAAATTGTCCCTGTAAGCAAAACCAAAGTAAGGTTACCTTAATTTTACTAACTGTAAATAAAATGACTAAAATACAGGCTTTTAAATTAAATTATATTCATGTAAGTTAATTTTTTACTTCATTTTTATCTTATACTCTTCCAGTATCTACCTACAATGAATTATACGGATAATTAATTTATGATAACAAAACCTAATAAAAATAATGCAAAAAAATTTTTAGCTGATAAAATATTCTTTTATAATAAAAAGAGATAAGGAAGTTAACAAAATAAATTTGATTTGAGTTATCTGCAGTTGGATGTTCCCAATAAAAAATACTCATCTTACATACTTTGTATTTTCAATGTATGTATGTGCAATTGATAATTGACTGTAGAAATCGAAACTCTTAATTTGCAATTTATATGTGTATAATTCTTAATCTTATTTTTTAGGAACAAAACTGGCACATAAACTTCTGAGTTGGCTAGTACTGTCTTTTCAGAATCTTGAAATTCCCAAATGTACTGGACTATATGTATCATAATATACGTCTCCATATACACATATGTATGTATGTAAATACTGTAAATTGACAAAAAGTAAATTACGGTAATTATGTGTTATAATTACGTACACATGTACATAGCTTCATATAGCAAATGTATATATGAATGTAACTTTGTCTATATACATACTTATAAAATATACCATAATTTATATTCAAATATTTATATAAATAATAGGTTTTATAAATATGATTATAGCAGCTGAATATTCATGTAAATACTTATTTAATTTATTTCCATATTATTTATTTTAGTCTATGGTTTTAATTCCACTTATAAATTAATATTGGTAGCGATTCTACATAAATCATGAACCATACCTATACATAATGCATAAATGTGTATACACAGTATACATTTATATATACATATGTATATATTACATATTTCAATTTACTAATAATATTTAAATTGTGAATTTTGCATACCTACCAATTTTCCATACATATGTACTCGTATGTACACAGAAATTAAATGATGATTGCAATATGTCGCGTCCTTATTAATTTATGCACATACATATGTACATATATATACTAATTAGGTATAAATATTTATTTTACATTACAAAGCTAACTTATCAGAAAAATTTATTTTTGAAGTTTCAATTGCGCAGGTAATTCAAAACCTAAATTAAATTTTTAAAATTTGACAAAAAAAAAATAAATTACCATAATAATTGCTCAACAATATTATGGATATGAATTGGAATTAGAACCATATTCTTGTCATTGACGGTAAATAACTGGAAATTAATGTTAATAGAAACTAGAGGTTACAATTTCATGCACAATTTTAATTAAAAAATAATTAAATTTTAATTATTTATCGATCATTTTGTAGTTAGAAAAATGTTCTTCTAAATTTTAATTTAATACTTGACTATGCTATTTTTATTTCATATATGTAGGTAAATATTTTTGTTCATGTATTGTATGTAAATCAGTACATAATGTACATAGAGGGCTTATTTTGCGTAAATTAATTTTTAATATTTAAATGAAGAGGTTAATGTCTCCTTTGAACACCGTTCTTTGGCAGCCTTATATACATAAATTAATAATTACACTTTATAACTCAATATACATTCACATACTTACATACTTCTTCATTGCATGTTACTTAAAATGTGATGAATTCTTTGTTTTTTTTAATTCCTACTCTTAATCAAATGTTCAATCAGTCATAATTTTTTTTTATTTATAAAAGTATTTTGTTTAATTTTCAAAATCATCAGCAAAAAATAATTTGTAACAAAATATTAGATCTAGACCAAATATTAGACCAAATCGAGATTGTAGTCAACACATTTACACACATTCATGCAACCTACCCACCACATTGGTTTTCGAAATTGAAGGATGAAATTTATGTTTATTATATGATAAGACTAGCACATTATGTCTATATGATCTTGGTCATAACAGCTTAATAAAAGAAATATAAAATCATGTTTAACACCTATATTGTACATATGTACACATATTATGCACATGCATATAATATTTTTTCCGATTTACTAATATATTCTACAATATATTGTACATATTTATGTATCTTTATAGATCACTATTTATTCAATATGGATCATGTTTTTTTGCTAATTTGTTAATAAATTTTATCTGTATTTAATATACATACATATGTACATAAGAACATAAATAGGATGCATATACATATATATATTTATATGTATATGCATCCTATTTATGTATATATATAAGTTATATATTTATACATATATAAGTTATTTGTATAATACACATATTATATTATTAAGAGTTTTAGAAATATTCCAATAAATGTTTTTTACCTAAAAGGATAATTAGCATTAACATATGGTATTAATTTTAAAGCGCATATTTATAGGTAATCTTATTTGCGTGCACACTATATCTCTGGTACCTATATGTACATACATACATATGTATGTAAATTTGTTTTGATTTTTAAAGAAACTTCATAACCCATCTCTTATAATCTTTACACTATTACCTGATACTAAAAAATATAAAACGTTGCGCATATCTTTTGTTTTTCATTTGTGTTTAAGGACTTGCAGCTTCTAAATCAAGAAAATCAAAAAATTATTTAATAACGCAAAAAATATTTATCAGAAGCTTATTATTAAATTATTGGTAAAATGTCCCAAAATCCTAAAATTACACAGTGGAAAAAAGAAAAAAAAAATAAAGTTAAAATAGAAAATTATTATGAAGAGTATTGCAAAATAGAACTTGGTTAGTATTTACATTTAAAAATTTTATTAATCACTACGTTGTATTCTGAAATTATATAATTAATAATTAATTTTTTTTTTTGTGATTTATTCAACAGATGATAATTTGTATCACAGTAAAGATGAAATGGATGCAGCTGTTGCCCTATTAATGTTGCATTATCAAGATTTTCAAAATGTTGTACCGAAAAACCAATTATTATCACCAATTATTTCGCAAACATTATACAAGAAGCGAAAGTATGATGAACCAAACACGTCAAATAGCACAATAAACAATAAAACGAATCAAAAATTTCATTTACTACAATATCAAAAACATCATCACCAAACAATGCATTCAAAAACATCAGTAATAAAAAATATTAAAAAGAAAACTACAGTTACAAAACGGGAAATTAATAATACGAATAAAAAAGCTACAGCGACACTTTTAACATCTTGCAGAAATATTTTAAAAGAATTTCTAGAACAAAATGGATTTCAGTAAATTTATTAAAACAATAATTTTAATTGTGAAAAGAATTACTTCTTACTTGGGACACTTTGTTCACTTAGTGTACTAGTGTGTCCTACTGTATATTAAATAAAACCATTAAGAATATACAAATTCTGGTTTACACCAGTGAACAAAACATAAATTACTTTTTAAATGGTATAAAATTCATATATTAAAAAAATTTTGTACGTACAAAAAAGATTTTATAAAATGTGCTATTAACAAAAGGACGAATTCAAAAAAAAGGATATATAAAAGGATAAATGTATACATGTTCCATTATTAATTAACCATAAAATGTACCATTATTAAGGATTAACCATAAATGTAGTAATAAATTTTTTTTTCTTACTAAACTCTTTTATCTGAATATCTTTGAGTGCAAACAGAAAACCAACCGTATCAAAAAAATTAAGACTTGTTTGGACTACGGAAAATTTATTAATTTTCAAATGAATTCAAATGAAAAATCAATTAAAATTAATTATAATATAATATTATTTAAAATAAATAAAAAATATAAAATATGTACATAAAAATTAATATTCTTAATCTTTTATTTTATTCTTAATATAATTTTATTAATAAGTACATACAGACTACAATGAAATACAATTTTTTATTTTCATTAATTCCTGGTTTTCACCCTCATGAGCAGGGGTTTTGGCAATTAGCAGCATGAGCAGCAGTATGAAATTAAAATATATATTTTGTTAAAATTAAATAGGTACATAATATTAAATTTTTAATCCTTTGTTTTTAGCAAAATCAAAAAAAAAAAATATTTCAAATTCTTAATAATTTAATTAATTTTATTTTTTGTATTTTTTATTTATTTTGAGTTTTTTATATTTTCTTTTTTTAACATTTTTATCTCTAACAATTTTAAAAGTTCTTCGATGTAATATTGACCCCTAATATTTTCCTTAAAAATTTTCAAATGCTGATCTTTCAGATATATACAATTTTGTTCTACAGCTAAATCTTCAAGTTTCTTTAATCTGCGAGTTTTACGGCATGCCATTGTGTTTTTATCACGACGTTCTTGTTCTTTTTTATTACGTTTTTTACCCGGAAATGTTCTTGCCATTCTGGGACGATATTTACATACTTCAACCAAAACATTTTTCGGTAAATTTATAAGATTTCTAGCATCTGTCTGATTTAAACGAGCTGTATTAAGAGATTCTTCCTTATTTAAATCTTTATTTTCATCAATATTTTTTAAATTTTTATAATCGAAATTATTTTCAAAATTCGAAATAGTATAATCAATATACATATTATTTGAATGATGTTGTGTTGGAGTCAAAAATTTTTTAATAATACGGTTTTCATCATTTTCATTTTTTGAAAATTTTAGACGTTTTGATTTGTTAGTTTTGCTTTCAGCAACTAAAGATTTGTGATCATTATATTGAACACTTATCGAATTATTTACTTCTAAAGACGATGGTGTATTTTTGATAAAATTACTCATTTTGCAAGATGTTATATGAAATTGTTCTTCAACTGCAAGTTCCTCTTCACAATATTCCCTACGTCTTTTGAAGTCAAATTTTTTATGATTGTAATAATTGTTCTTCAATTTAATATTATCCATTTTCAATATTCTTTTAAGGTTTAAACATCTAAGAAGTAAAAAATCGACTGAAAAGTCCTCAAACGCACTAATCTATTTATAACTAGTTTTAAATTGTCATTTCAATATCAAATGTAGTACATAATTAAAATAAAACATAATATCCTTTTAGGTATAACTGACAATAAAAACAGAATAATATAAGTTTTATTTTAAATACAAACAAGTATAAATATAAATGATATAAAATACTTAGCACTTTTCTACCTGTTCCACGCAAAATAGAAAAAACAACATAGTTATCATAAATTAGTTGCACTTTCATTATCAATTCTAGTTAATTACTGTATACATACGACATGAACTGTCGACTTGAAGCAACATGAAAAAATGCAATCATTTGTAATTTAAGATGCTATAAACTACAAATATGCATGTTTGTACAAAGTATCTTACCAAAATTTAATCAATTTAATTTTTTATATTTTATTATGCGTTCTTTTAAAATGACTGTAGATAGTAATGTAATTTACTTTCAGAGTGTTCTTACAAAATTATGTTCAAAATAAAACAAGTCATAAAGATAAAAATTATCCTCTTTACATCAAAAAACAAAAACTTCTAGCTTCAGATAAAAACCAAATAAATGATATCTGTGAAAATCAAACAACAAATTCATACATTCTTTACAAATAATGGAATTTCTTCCTGAATTTTATAAGTTGATTTACAAAAATTTGAATAAGACCTGATATAAGAATAAAAAAACGAATAAGATCTGCTATTATGTTTTAATATTACTCAAATTTTTTATTGTGTTAAATTACCTTGTTTTTACTTCAATTAATATATAGCAGTAAAGAAAGGTTTAAATAGATATACATTAATGTATACAGTAATGCATAAATCATCTCATTTATTCTTGTAATAGAACTGTAGTTTAGTATCTTAATAATGTAAGGCATCAGTTACACGAAAATATTTATTATATTTAAAATACTGTGTGAAAACTTAATTACTATTTATTAAATACAATATATTATTTTAGCATGATATTTATAATTAAAAAAATATAGTTAAAAATTACATAATTTTTCTATCATTTTGTAATAACAATATTTTGAGTCGTAATCCATATCGTACCAAAAATTTACAGCAATACATTTATGACTTTGACGAACATGATGATACCACAAACTTGGTAGATATAAAATATCACCTGCATTTACACGAACTTCAAATATGGAAGCCTTTTTAAAATTTGGATAAGTTTGTAAATCAGGTTTCAAAGGATCGATGCTCACCCAATCTGTTATCATAGGTTTTTTATTGGAGTCTGTAAATATATATAAAAATGTAGGAGTAAAAATATTATTTATCTTGCTTATTGTTTTATAACTAACCATCCAATATTGGTTCTATTGTCATACTTCCATCAGGATTTGATTTAAAAATTCCCGTTGGATATTGTTTTCTTGGAACAAATGCATAATCCACTGGGGGTATCAGTAAGAAATCTTTATATCCTGACACAACGCAATATATATTTTCATATGGATCTTTATGCACTAAAAAAAGTGAACAAATAAGGTTTCTTCCTTCTGAACAAAGTTTTTCAAAAAACTTATAATTTTACGCTTTAGATGAATTTAAAAATACATTATGTATGTGCATAATTGACCTCTTGTATATTCTACGTTATCTTGAATTTTGATAAACAATAAAATTAAAGGTAATTTTAAATATTTTATGCTTATGAAAATTTATCAAAATTATTAAGTAATTATTAATTTTTCGTTAATTTATTATTTACGTTTTCAAATTTATCCTCTTAAAAACAAGTCAAATAAAGAAAGAACTACTTTTTAAGTAGATAGAATAATAGATAAAATATTAATGCATTATAGACCTATAGCAAGAGCAAATAGATTTAAGATATATATATATATATATATATATATATATATATATATACATATATTATTTAAAATAGTCCGACACAATTAATGAATTAAAAGATCAAATTATTACAAAACATAAATATGTACAAATTAAAATAAATGCTTGTTGAACGTTATGCATTTAACTAATTTTGAATAAAGCCGTTAGATATTTAGAATTCCAAAGTTATATTAAAATGATTTAAATAGTTAATTAGTCATTAAATCCATCTAAAATATATTTTTAATATAAGTATTATTTACAAACATTTAATTGCCAGCTTACGATTGAAATAAATCTAATTATTATGATTAGGATATGCTTGCTTAATAAACATACATACATAACTTTCTTTTTCTTACTTGATGTAATAGCTTTTTCGTCACCCATCCAAAAATTAACTGCATCTGGCTTTTTATTAAATGATTCTTCTGCAAATTGTAAAGTTGAAAAATCAATATCCCCTACTAATTCAGGGAAATCGTCAGTTAAATTTGAATTTTGCTTTTGAATGTAATGTACGAGACTAAAAAGATAATAATAATTTTATTTTAGTTATGTAGATGCCTACTTATTTGTAATAAATTAAATTAATTTAATAAATTTTTGGTTTACCCATTAGAATCATTCAATTTACTTAAAAACTCTTCCATTGTCATGGTTTTTTCTTCTGGCATAGCAAAATATTCCGTTTTATCTTTTAAACCTATTCCATCCGCGTAACCTAAATTTTCAAGTTTTTAATGATATTGTTTTGAAATGTTTTTCATTATTTTAACTATTTACCATTTGGTGTTACTGCCACAACAACCTCTTTTTTAGGAAAGTTACTTCTATAAAAAGATGAAACTCATAAAAAATAAAACTATTTAAAAATTTAACAATTTTTTTTACTGAAAATATTTTGAATTCCATTTCAGAACACTAGGCCATTGAAGTGTACATCCACGTATAACAACAGGTAAATTTTTACCAACATAATCTCGTGTGAACTCTAATGATGTAGGCAATTCTGTAAGTTCATATATCTTCTTCCCCAAATATAAATCTAAAAATAAAAAATTTTATCTGTACTTTATTTGCACATTAGTACATCTTATAAAATATGGTACTGTAAATACCTATGTACCTACATCTGCAATTTAATTTTCTTTAAAAATTTGGCAATATTTTTCATATAAATTTTTTTTGATAGCATGTTTTGTGCATGTATGTATGTGGGTTATGCATGTATTTTTATAAAAATTTAATAATAAACTATTGGCTAAAGAATAACGCAAATAACCTTGTAAACAATAATGATAAAAAATCTACTTATTAAACACATTTTAGGTCCACAATCTAAATATAGAATTTAAGGCAATATAAAACATTAGTCAATTGCAGTAAATTTGTTTCGCAAATTAAGATTCTTAGCATATAGCCTTATATGTAGGTACAACAAAAGGTGTATGGTTTTAAGTTTTATAAAGGTAATGTAATGCTTAGTCTTACTACAATACGAAAAACTATATTTTTTTGGAAATCATCAATATTTCAACTAATTTTTTTTGAACAGATATGCATTCGTTTTAAGTGCAAGAATTGATAAGCCTTATGTAACATGTATGTACATATGTATTTAACTCACCTTTTGCTTCTGTGCTTAAAATTTCAAAAGCTTCTAATAATCTATTATCAAGACTAGACATTTTAAATAATTTGAATATCTTTCACTTTCTATTTACAAAATTTTCTGTTAGCAAATGTAATTACAAATAGGTCGAAACCTAAAATACTACTGATACTGCCAATTAAAAATTTTGGCAAACAAATTTAATTTTTTTTTTTTGTGCCATTTGTGAACTAGAATCTGCAAAACGAGCACATGCTATTTGTTTTGGTTTTAACTGCAAACAAGTTATACATATATCTAAGCAAAATGAATGAGTTTATAAAATCGTATAAACAAACAAAAATTCCTTAGCCAAAAATTTTTATTTACATAATTATGTATTTAATTTTGTTACTGTCACAGGATTAATCAAAATATCAAGTACACATTTGTGTAAATAAGTTTTTTTATATTCACAATTAATTATTAATAACTGTCATTTCACATTCACAATAGAAACTAAATTCTGATTTCAAAACTATTTAGCATCCGAATAAGAGTGATGACTTTCTAAATTACATATAACACAATTGAGTTCAATACCAATTTGCAACATTACCAAAAAAGATTTAAATTTACGGTTTGTGTACATTTCCGCAATTTTTATAATACACTTAGTATGCTGAATTTATATAGAATTTGAAGAAATGTATTTGTAAAGTATAACAAAAAAATTCGTCAAGCACGCTTCTTCATACGAGCCGATCGCCGACGCAGTAGTTCGTATTGTATACACGTGTTATGATAAAATTATAAAAGTTTGTTTACAATTTAACTTTGATTTTATAAAAAAGTTAATTAACCATATAAAACACTAAAATGTCTGAAGGTACCAAAAGGAAGCTAGAAGAAAGTAAAGCAACTACATTAGAAAATGAAGAAGAAGAAGAATGGGTTGGACCATTGCCATCTGAAGCTTCAGATACTCCCGTAAAGAAAAAGAAACAATTGCAGCATGAACACTTATTTTTGGAAAATTTACCAAATGCTGAAAGTTATGAGAAAAGCTATATGCATAGGGATATTATAACATATATAGCTGTTACGAAAACAGATTTTTTAATAACAGCAAGTATCGATGGTCACTTGAAATTTTGGAAAAAGATGGAAGAAGGCATAGAATTTGTTAAACATTTTCGTAGTCATATAGCTCCAATATGTAATTTAGCTGTAAATATAAGTGGATCTTTAATGTGTACAGCTTCAACCGACAAATCGATAAAAATATATGATGTAGTAAATTTCGATATGATAAACATGATTAAATTAGATTTTACTCCTCATTGTGTAGAGTTCATACATTCACCTGGTGATGCCATACCAGCATTAGCAGTATCAAACAAAGAATCAAATGAAATAAGTATATTTGATGCACATGGCACAAATGTTGCAATAAAAATTCTGGATACTTTTCATAAGCATCCCCTGTCTGTTATGAAATATAACAATACTTTCGAAACCGTAATATCAATAGACTCTGCCGGAATTTTGGAGTATTGGATGAATCCGAAACATGATTATAAATTTCCATTAAAAATTGTTCATTTCGAATCGAAACTAGATACGAGTTTGTATGAATTCGTTAAAATTAAAACTATTGTGTCAGGTTTAGGTATAACACCAAATGGTAAAAAGTTTGCTACTATGTCAACAGATAGAAAAGTCCGTATTTTCGGTTTTTTGAGTGGGAAACTCCTAAGAGTTTTTGATGAAACTATTGCTCGTCTCACTGAGTTTCAACAAAAAACTCAAACATTACCAAATATGGAGTTTGGAAGAAGAATGGCAGCTGAACGTGATTTAGAAAAGACAGATTTTTTTACAAATATTAACTGTCAGTTTGATGCAACTGGACATTTTCTTATTTATACTACTATGTTTGGAATTAAAATAATTAATGTAGAGACAAATCGTTGTGTACATATTTTAGGAAAAAGTGACAATTTACGACCTTTACAAGTTGCACTTTTTCAAGGAAAAGTGAAACGATCAAAAGCCGCAATAACTTTAGAGCAGGAAGCTTCTGATAATCCAACTCTTCAATCAGTCTCAAGCGATCCAATAATATTTTGTACAGCATACAAAAAGCAGAGATTTTTTATATATTCAAGAAGGCTTCCTTCTGTGAGTGCCTATAATATTTTTAATAAATTTGTTTTCTTTAATGTATACGACCATAAAATTTTAGGATTTGCAGGACGTTGATCGTGACATTTTCAATGAAAAACCATCTAAAGAAGATATAATTGCTGTTCCAGAGAGTCAAGCTATACAAAGGATTTATGAATCAGCTATTTTACATACTACATTTGGAGATATTCATATTAAACTATTTGAAAAAGAATGTCCCAAAGCCGTTGAAAATTTCTGTGTCCATAGTAAAAATGGTTATTATAATGGTCACATATTTCATAGAGTTATTAAGGGTTTTATGATTCAAACCGGAGATCCTACAGGTAAACTTTGAATTAATTGCGAGATTTTTTTGTAAATAAAATTTATATTTAGGGACTGGCACAGGAGGCCAATCTATATGGGGTTCAGATTTCAAAGATGAATTTGTCCCTACTTTGAAACACGATAGACCGTACACTGTAAGCATGGCAAACTGCGGTCCAAATACTAATGGCTCACAATTTTTTATAACTGTTCTGCCAACTCCGTGGTTGGATAACAAGCATACAATATTTGGTAGAGTCGTAAAAGGGATGGAAGTTGTCCAAAATATTTGCGCAGCAAAAACTAATCCTAAAACAGACAAGCCTTATGACGATATTAAAATTATATCAATTTATCTCAGTAATTAAGTTTAAAAAATTAAATATTTAAATCAAAATTTTAAAAAAATTCAGCAACAATAGAAATACAATATATAAATAAAAAAATTGTATTCTAATTTAACTCAAAACTCTAAAATAATCACAATCAAAACATATACAGGTTAAAGGTCTCAAACTTTCTTCAGAATTAGCTGGTTCCACGTAAAAGCTTAACATTTTTTCGCATTGTAATTCATGTGTGTGTATTATATCATGAACTTCACTCACAAAATTCTCCAATGATTTGCGATACGAAAAACTGATTCCACAACTGCATTTAAGCTCGTCTTTACGTAACTCCAACTGGGACTTTTCACATATTGGACAAAAAGCAACAAATTGTTCATTAATTTCCACTAGATATTTTTCTTGATTATTAAGTTGATTTCCTAGCTCTTCAATAAACCAATTTTCAGCTTCTTCTAATATTTCTTTGAAAATTAGATCTTGCATTTCTATGTCTTTTTCTATTTCAGCAACCTCCAATCGCAACAAATCAGTAAGCAGCATCTAATAAGTTAAATATTACACTTTTAAAAATGCATAAGTGTTTAGAATACATACTTATATACATATACCTTATGCTTAGAATTCAACATTCTTGACTGTTCAAACCTTTCCAGGCGAGATTGTTTAATTCGAAGTTTACATTGTTCCCGTATCAAGTTTTTTATTTTTGGTGATCCATTCTTTACATGGTTTAACAAGGCATATGCCGCTTTCTTTGCTTTAATCTTTTGTTCCGCATCAACTTTATGCGGTATAAACTTTGAAGATGAAATATTTAGAGAAGCAGACATTTTCTTAGCATAAAATTAAAACATTTTCAATTTAAAACTTTTCGCGGTATATGATTCAATTTTTACTTGTTTTAAAAAACATATACAGCTGATTTCTGATATCAATATCTGACAGTCTTACGCTTTTATTCCACTGCCAATTGCGATCACTTGTATGTGATTGTAAACTTATTATTTTTATTTAATCGATATTTTTTTATTCAGTAAGAATGTCGAAGTCATTATATTTTTTAAAAAATTTATTAAAATAAAAAATTATTACTATAATAAAGGAAATTTATTATGCCGAAAATTCAACAAAAAATAAACAATTAAATAACTAAAATGTTATTTTAATTGTTTTTGACGTTTCACACAAACGTCAATCATATATCATATCGGTTCACTTAAGTGCGTCGCAGTGACAAGTTCATTTCAAGAATCAAATATCCAGATGGAATATATATATTTTTGGACGTTTTATAATTGCATCGACTGTAGATATTTTAAATAGGTATTCCGTGCAAGATAATTGTTTAAATAATGAAAATTGACCTGTTGGTTGTTGAATGAGGTTTTTTTAGATCTTGACATGACACTTCAACGCTTAAGTGCTGCGGTAAAAATTGTATAGGGTAGGTATTATAAAAGTTTTATATTTCGTTGAATTTTATTAGTGGATTATGCAAATAAAAATTGTGCTTTTTCTCTTTTTAAGGATTATCTAGAAAAATATTTAATTTTAATTTTACTACGAAATGTTTTATTCCGACTTTTACTAAAAAAGATTATAAATGTACCTAAAGTTTTATTTCAGTTTCATATTTCTTCGTCTTTTAAGAAATCTCTTCCAAGTCTCCTTTAATGTTACTAAAATAATCAAATTGTCAAAACAATTTGAGTTCCCAATTTACAAATTATAAAAACTACAGAAAATGGATAGATATGATAGATATGTATGTAGAAAATTCCATTAAAGAAAGCGGAGATTGATTCTATTCTCACAGTCTATTTATTTAGTACTCCTCAGTCAAACATGCATTAATTAAGCGAAGGTAATGCCTCACGTAAAAATGTCGCGCTTAAGTAACTTTTTACTCCGCTTGTTAAAACTGCTAAATTGATAACTATTCTACCTACGTTAATTTCATTAATACAAAAAAATTCATATTTAAGTATATCCTTTATAAATATTTATAACCTGGAATTTGTATTTATAACCTAAATTATTACAAATTCAGTTTTTACATAAATTTTTTGGTGTAACTCTAATAATGTATATACAATGTAAACAAGGCAAACGACACAAAAAAAGTCAGTACCATAAAACTTAATTTCAGTAAAACCAAATCTAGTAAAACCAAACGATTTTTTCTTGGAATTTTCTTGCTAGTGCTTGGAATGTATCGAGATGAAGATGAACACAATGTAATGACAAGTTAAGTTTTTAAGATATTTAAGTTCTTGTTGACAGATTTCGTTTTACTGAATAATAAACGTAATGTAAACAATATATTGTATGTACATACTCTTATAGTTTGTTTTCTTATTATATAACACATATATGAAACAGCTAACGGATATATTTACTTATGTATAAGGGATTAAAGTTTTCATATTAGTTTTGTCGAAATTCGGACGCACATAAATTTTTTAGTATATGTACAATAGAAAACAAATATTCATCGTAATAACATCGTATCCGTCACAAATTTGTTGCTTAAATTTCCTCTCTGTTTTTGTCAATTTTCGCTTCATTTTCTGCTTTTCGCTTTGATAGACTAAAATTAAAAGTTCATTTCAAGGTTTCTTTATTTTTAATGATGTTTCTTAATATCAAAAATAAAATTTAAATAAAATATGACGTACTAATAAGAAATTATATTAAATAAATCAAAGAAAATACATAGCTACTTTTTTGCTAGTGCAAATCCAAGTCCTACTAAGCCACCCAGAGCTAAAACAGCCCCTCCAGCTATAGTTATACCTTTTACTGTCTCATTTTTTAATTGATCTTTAACGTGTTGCTATAATCGGGTGAAGTAAAAAAAAGTATTTGCATTTTTAATCCTAGTCTAAATTTTTAGTATTACCTGAAGAGTTAAAACTTGTTGATTATTAGGTTCGATGTCAAGAAACGATTGACAGTATTTTAAGGCCATATTATACTGCTTAAGTCTAACGTTTCCTATAGCCAGATAATAGATATAATCCCGTGTACCATCTGAATGTCTTGTTGCTAAGTCTTCTAATAACAATATACCCTAAAAATCAGATTTTCCTTATTATTGCAAAATAAACTTATTTCTTTTATACATTCTACCTTCTGGATATCTGTGTTGTAACGACTTCGAACTAAAGCCCAAGCATATTCAAATTGCGTGTTGTGTTGGACATTTTGCTCCTCTGATTCTCTAAAGTATTTTTTTTCAAATTTCTAAATAAAAATTTTATGTATTTTAAAATTTTCTAAAATCTTTGTAAATTTATTGTATGTATTTCTAAATTTTACGAAATAATTAATTGCGTCAGCAAATTGATATAAATATTATGTATGTATGTATATACAATATAAAATATTTTTTTGTTATTCATACCTGTAAATCCTCATCTGAAACATATTCGTGTAAAAGTTCATCCATGGTTTAATTTTTTTTATGGTTTAATTTATAGTATTGCTAAAGCAAAATAAAAAAATGACTTTCAATTTTTCAAAATTCTTTTTGTTTTATTATTATACGACTTAATATGAATTCTGATTTCTGAATATTGAAATTGAATTGTCAGTGTCAAATTATAGATTGAATTGAAGTTTATATTAGCGCAACGCCTCTTCTTGTGATGTTTTAAAGTTCATACTATTCTGTAAGATCTAAGTTGACAGATGTTAAAAAGTAGTATGAACTTTATTATAGTTTTATTTAAATTGAATCTCTGAATCTTTAGATTTAAGTTCAATTTAATTCAGCTTTTTGAGACAGAGAAAAAGAACTGTACTAATAATAAAGAGAATGTCATTTTCGTAGAAAATACGTCAGCCCGTCGCGAAATCGACGAAACAATAAATGCAGCTTTACTGGCTTCTACATGAAAAGGATAATGTTATACTTTTTTAATATACGTTGCTTGAACATCACATTTTGTTGACACACTTATTAAAAAAACGTTAAAAAATATCGTTCTGTTGACGCTTACTTATCTTATTTCTACTTATGCTTCAGTTAAAAATGAAATCAATGCTTTCTATCTTCTATTCAAAATTGGTCTTTCAACATGTTGATCACAGCCACTTAGACGTACATAAATGAGTCATTTAAACTTTATCAAAATCTACATATTACATATGTATGTACATATGTAGTTTTACAAAACATACAAAATTACGTCCACAAAAATTTAAATTTTTAACATTTTTTTTTTAAATTTCAACCTTTAAATGATTTGTCAACTAGTCCTTTAACAATTCAACATGTTGAAGGGCCCAGTTGATAGTTTTATTTAAATTGAATCTCTGAATCTTTAGATTTAAGTTCAATTTAATTCAGCTTTTTGAGACAGAGAAAAAGAACTGTACTAATAATAAAGAGAATGTCATTTTCGTAGAAAATACGTCAGCCCGTCGCGAAATCGACGAAACAATAAATGCAGCTTTACTGGCTTCTACATGAAAAGGATAATGTTATACTTTTTTAATATACGTTGCTTGAACATCACATTTTGTTGACACACTTATTAAAAAAACGTTAAAAAATATCGTTCTGTTGACGCTTACTTATCTTATTTCTACTTATGCTTCAGTTAAAAATGAAATCAATGCTTTCTATCTTCTATTCAAAATTGGTCTTTCAACATGTTGATCACAGCCACTTAGACGTACATAAATGAGTCATTTAAACTTTATCAAAATCTACATATTACATATGTATGTACATATGTAGTTTTACAAAACATACAAAATTACGTCCACAAAAATTTAAATTTTTAACATTTTTTTTTTAAATTTCAACCTTTAAATGATTTGTCAACTAGTCCTTTAACAATTCAACATGTTGAAGGGCCCAGTTGATTAGTAAACAAGTTTTTAAAATCTTTGTTTTTATTTAAATTTTGACTTCTATTAAAGTACAGTTAGAGAATTAAAGCGTTCAATTGAGAACCAAATATGTGAATAAACGAATGAAACGCAAATATTAAAGAATGAAAAATGAGCATACTGTATTTATAACAGTACATAATATTATTTTGTATATTAGTTACCGAGCCACATACTGAAGTATTTTAACTTGCTTATATGAATATTGTTTATTATAAGATTAATTTAATCCTAAAGCTTTCTTATCTCTTATGTACTGTTTCATCTTTATGTTTAAAGAAAATAAAGCTGTTTTATTTCCTTGGCATTTCAAAATTTCTTTCATTAATTAACAATCAGGTAACAACTTTCAATTATGTATGAGAAAACTAATAGCAGTAAAAAAAAAATTTCCATGGTGAGTTTATTAATAGAGTACAGTACACGAAGCAGAACAGAGAAAACGAAATTTTAAAAGAGAATTTAAAAAATATGCGCACAAGCCGGTTAGATTTTGATTGGTTAAAAATATGGCATGATTCATATTTTTTATTAAAAGCTTGTAAAATTACTTTACAAAGCCACCGGCCACGTGAAAAACTATTGCATGTATATATGTATTTTATGTACATATTTGCTCTGAGAGAAAGTTTGTTCATGGGTTTGTGGATCCATATTGCCAAATGACGTTATTTTTATGTATTATCTAACAGCCCGGATGGCCAAGTATATGTAATTATTATACAGACAAATTAAATAATCTGTAAATTTAGTATCTAACTGGTACATAATTCTTGTCATAAACTTTCGACATTTTTTTTTGTTTCTTGGGTGTAAATCTTTTAGAATATAATATTTGTGTGATAAATAACTTTCAAATTTTTAATAAATAGTTTTTTAATTTTTATTTGTCGAGTAGAAACGACAAAAGTCATCCGCCTTTGTATTTTATGACGAAAAAATATTTGGAATTAAAATGATATGGTATCAAATGCAACTATATAAATAAATTTTATAAATCTTGAAATTTTAATACGTGGAAATCTTATTTAAATATTTATTATTCACAAATAAATTATTTTTCGAAGCCATTCAAATTAAAATGGTAGTTATTTGGTCACATGAAGATGGTAGTTATAAATTACCTTTCAGCTGAATATACTCTACTTAAGAGTATTTTTTAAAAGAAAAACTCAAAATATATTAATGACTTTGTTTTATAACTTATGTATTCACTTCTTATATAACTCGCAAAATTTATCGCAAAATTTTAAAAATTTTGTTATAGACACGAATCATTTATGTATATAAATCGATTTGTGTTTACAATAATAATATCGCATTTTTTACGATAAATATCATAATCATTTAATGATCCGATACTAAGAATAAATTCCAGTAATTCGATACTCAAAATATTACTTTATATTTCAAAATAAAAACATTATTTACTTGTGATCTGATTACTTCTATAAATATACATACGTATTTGTAAAATGTAATTTTCGAGTGAGAAGAAATATTCAGTATTGCGTTTTTCGTTTTTTTTTAATCTATACAAAATTTATTCACTTTGTTTTTGAAAATGAGTCGTTCTGTCGATAATTTGAGGAAAAATGTAAAAATTATTAATCTTATTGGAAAAATGAAATATCTATTGGAAATTACTCAGAATTTTGATTTAAAAGTTAATAAAAAGTGATTAAAAAATCGATTAGGCTGTAAATTTCTTTGTATATATGTACTTACATATAATGATATGTCAATTCGCTAAATTGAAAAAACAACTACAATCTAATTTTATAATGCTTTTTTTGGTACATTGGCATCCTTCAACAATTTACAAATTATTAAGTGGTGAATTTAGTAATAAAGCTCTCTTTTAAAAATACAAATACATAATTCTTTCTCACAATGTTGAATTTCTTTTTGTAAACATATACGCTTAACAAATTCTTAGTTGTCCTTTCTTTTCCACAGCTAAATGTGCTTTTTTTTAAATTTCAAATTTAAATAAGTGGAATATTGATATAAATAAAATATATTGGATAAATGTACTACATACGTATATGTGTATAAATATCCTTTTTTGAATTTATCAGTATATAAATTATATGGCGAGTGTGTAAAATTTTAGTCGTACATTTTCTCTGAGAAATACCGGATATTTTCTGAGTTTGTGACTAAAAACAAAAATTAGTTTTTATATTGAATGTACCAAATAATTAAATCAATATAATTTAAATAGCTACATATGTACATACATATGTATATGTTTTATTAAAAATTTTCTTTTTATTGATTTGAGAATCTAAAAAGTGAAATTTCAGCAATAAAATTAAAATAATTTTGTTTAAATAAAACATAAAATTTTAGTGTCTCAAGAATAAAGAAGGTACCTACATAATATGAATAATAATGTAATACTTATATGTATGTATGTTCATATATAAAAAAAATAATGGATACCAACTTGCCTATATTTGTATGTTCATACATACATATCTATTGAAATATTTTTAATTAGATGTTCATACATCCATACATTCATATATATTGTATGTATAATTGAATTTAGCTAAAAATATAGAATCCGACTAACGATTAAAAGGACTTTTTAAGTTTTAACTTGGATTTACAAAAATATACAATGACAACTACGGCCTTTCGTGTAAATGTTCATATGTATGTACAGTTTTACCGTTTTGTATTATATTAATCTTACAACGGTGTAGCTTATCTACATATATACACACATATCTATATAATATATAATATGTTTTTATATTTGTCATATTTTGTAAAAATGTAGTTAAAAGATATACATGTGTGTAAAAAAATTTACAAAAACGACCATACATATGTATATGTATAGATATGTAGGTGCTTACATAAAAAATTAAAAAAAAAAGTTTTTGGAAATCATAGGCATATATTATACACAATTTACATACATACATATATTTTGCAAAAGTTTTTGGAAATACATACTCACATATACATATATGCATATTTTGCATGACAAGTTATTTTGAACGAGAAAATTGTTGAATATACATATGAGATTTAAATGGAATATTTTTTAAATAAATCAGTAAATAAATATGTATGTACGTACACATGTATGCATGCATTATATAAAATACAAATAATTGGTAACCATACCTTACCTTTACGAAGTGTTTCTAGTGCTATTGTTAAATAACATTAGAAACACTTCACAAAATAGGTACCTACATTTATTTTAAATTACCTTAGATTATTTTCCTCATATGAAAGCATTGATATTCACATACTACGTGTGTACTACATGTTTTCTATTTTATTTCATTGTTTCTGCAACTATAGCCAAGAACTTATAACTTTTTAAGTTTTTACAGCTATAGAAAAAAAGTTATAATTTTCTATGTGCATATGTATGTATATGTCCGTAAATAATGATAAACCCTAAAAGCTCGTTATCTCATATACATACTTATATGATTTTTTATTCAAACTTCATTTTCATATTCAAAACAATATTGCATACGTTAAGTATGTATCTATATTACTGGATGATTTTTGACTCACACAATTTAATATTTTCAGTATCAAGTAGTTAATCTACACAATATGTAAATTAAAAAAGCAACCAACGTTATTTATTTATTGTGGGAATGATAGAGCTGCCTACCAAATATCAATTTATTCACTCTTTCATTATAAAGAAAGATAATTATGATGTCTGGGAAGTTTATTGTAGAATCAATCAACAAGTCAGCGAGAGATCGTTTAAGAAATGTTTTAAAAAATCTTTTTAATTGTTTTAAAAAATCTTTTTAATTGTTTTAAAAAATCCTTGAAAATGTTAAAAAAATTTAACAAAAATACCATTTAATTTACCATTTAAATAAAATTTTTCTTTAATAAGAAAATACATATAAGTGCAGATAGGGGTTAAATGTAACTATATCTTGATGGGTTTAACTTCTTATAGGAAAAGAAGAGTGTAGGTCAGGGCTAGGATTACTGTGCTGCTTATAATTAATTTATTGTACTGCTCTTTAAGTTAACAAAAAAGTATCTATACCTACGTAATTATTTAAAATAAAATAACTTATACCTAATATAAGTTAAATTAAATAACTACTTAATACTTATCAAAAATTAAATAAGAATATATGTACTACATACCACTCTATTAACAATTTTAACATCATTTAACACAAGCAGTGCAAGAGAAAATAGGTATATAGATTTAGAATACAAAATATAATTTCCTATTTTTTATTCGACTTAAAAAAAAAATTATTCATTCATATGCATACATGCATACATGTATGTACATAAAAAGCTTGCCGACGTAGGTTAATAATCATGCAATTTTAATTTTTATGTGTTAAGAAGTTTAACAGCACTTACTTACATTGTTTCCTTATTTATTTACTTATCAAATTCAAAACGTCTACGTAATAATATTGCATTTAAAAAAATAAAAAATAAAACTAATGTACATATTCTTCTTACATATGAGTGTATGTATAAATAAATACATAAATTTTATATAAGTACATATAAGTATGTATATATGTACTTACTATGTATATAACATACATATATTGTTACTTTTTTATATAATGTGTTTTCTACGCAGAAATTTCTGTCTAAAAGAACAATTTATTTTTTTTTTCATTTTTTATTCTTGTTTAAGGAATTTCCTACGTTTTTTATATTTATCCATGTCTCTAGGTGTGTTAGTTAACTCGGATTAATCATTATGAATTATTATATTATACTCTGCTTGTAGTAGCTATTCAATTTTAATTTTTTTTTTTAATTTCTAATATTGTTATTTCACATAATACTCGTATGTATTATGTTATTAACCTATAATTGGATTTTTACAATTATTATCCGAATATTACAGACAATAAATTTTTTAATAATAATTGGTAATAATGGTCTCTGTTATCCGTATGTTTAATTAAAAAAATTTTCATTAAATTCAAGTAATTTTGAAAGAAATAATTTTAATTATTTATAAACTAAATAAATTTATAATTATAATTTATAAGTAAAATAAAATTACATTTGTTATACTAAATAAAAAAGATGGATAAATTGTATATTAAACTAAAATATTGCGGGAGTTTTTAATATTAACGCAAGTAATTTTGCATAAATGTGCAATCGAAGCTAAAATTTGGAAATTATTTCGGATTGTTTCTTCGAATTTGAAAATTTAATACTTAAGCATTAAAAAAAAAAAAAAACAAAAATCCTTAAAAAACACACTATCAATTTTTATTTATGTACTTAATCCTTATTTACTTACAATTTTCTTTTCTTTTTATTATTATAAAATAATCGACTGATTTTTAAATAAGTATATGTACCTAGTTATTAAATAATTTAATTTTATATAACAAATTTTTTTTTTCTATTGTAGATTTTGTATAAAACTTAATCTAATCAATTTAAATCTTCATTTTGAAAAAAAAAGGCAGAATTTTTTTTTGCTTGGGAATAGCAAAATTTAAGAAGAAAGAAAGTGATCAGCTCGTGAAAAAGTAAATAATAATAAAAATAAAAAAAGTAATAATAAAAAAAAAAACACTCAAAAAAAAGCAATTTTTTTTTTGCAATAAGCAAGGAAAAGTAATAAATTTTCTAATATATTCTACAGCTAAACTCTGTTTAAAGCTCAGTTGTGTATCGCACTCCGATTTGATCGGGTCTTTTTAAAATAAGCAAAATTTGTAGCTTATAAATTGCTATTAAACAAAAAGAAAAAAAAAATTAATTAATAAAGAACACTTAACAATTATTGTGACTTGAATTGTTTAGAGGAAATTCTCGCATACTTAAATCAAAAAAAAAAAATCATTTAAAAGTAATAAATCTATAAAATTAAATTTGTTTAAAGGAAAAAATTTACTTTTATTAATATTTTAAATAATAAATTTATAACATCGGGGTGTGAAGTACGTCTAATCTTTTTAAAATAATAAATTTGTGAATTAAAATTAATCAATTAATGGACACATAAATAATTTGTTAAAAATATCAAACATATTATTGAATTTGATTAAAAAATCAAAAATAGTAGACAAATTACAAAAAAAAAAACATAAAAATTCCAGCTATTAACAAAAAGAATAAATATTGTGAAAGACATCCTTTTAAAAATAAATTAAGAAAAATACAAAAATTAAAATATTAGTAGTATACGGATTTTAATAAGTTGTTAAATTATTAAAGTATAGTTTGATTAAAAGGTAAGTAAGTTTATTTTACTCGTATTCATAAAGATATGAAATATATGTATATATTTTTATATAAATATAGAATATGTTTTTAAATAATTTTTATTCTTATTTCCAACTAAAATTAAATTCATTAATAAATTTCATTAACAGTAAATTTATTAATTCATTAACAGTATTAAAAATTAATATATGTACATATAAGTAGCACGCATACTTAACTACTTACTAATTATTGAAAAAAATTAAACTGTCAATGCAATATAACATAGAGATAATTTCATTTGGTAAAAATATACTTAAAATATTTTAATTTAATAAAAGGGTTCTTTTATTAATTTTTTGAAACCTGAAAATTAAAAACTATGCAATAAATCGCCCCTCATAAATAAATATTATACCAAAACATAATAAATTTGTGTAATTCCAAGGGTACAAATTCAATGTACACCTTTTTTGATTTAATAAGAAAAGTATGTACCTAAAATCAAATCTATTCTTCAAAGAAACATTAAAATATTTTTCAAATAACAATTAAGCCCAAACTCTTTAAATATATTACATAGTGTTTCAAAAAATGCAAAAGTCGGAAATATATGCTTATAGTACTAGCTTTTGCTAGACAGAGGTTAAGAGGACTTTGATAGTTTGTGCTAGGTTCTTAAAAAGATATGGTATTATGGTCATATCGGCTGATTTTTTTTAAACTTCTAAAACATAGGTTTCTGATTTTTATTTTTTTTACAGTTCTCCTTTAAATATTTCTAATCAATTTAAGTAGTATTAAATTTAAAATTTAGTAGATTATATATTATTATCATTAAATAAGAAGATGAATTAAAAAAATTTTCGATTTATTTAAAATTTCGATTTCAAGATTTTCGATGTTTCAAGATTTCGATTTGTATTTGCAGGGAAGTGCAAGATTTTATGAATTTGTGTGTTTAAAGTTTTAAAAAATTAATTTAAAAAAATTACTTTCTTTATATATTATTTTAGTAAATTCTATGTTTAATAAAAAACAAATTTTTAAAATTGAATAAATACACATATGCCGCATTATAAATACGTTGTATGTACGTATATATATGTTTACGTATATTTTCTCTTTGCTTTTTTTTTATAAATTTCTAAAGTAATGAATTAATAATTTATGAGTGATTAAATATTAGTTAATTATAAAATTTCTAAATTTTTCTCTTATATGTTTATTTTTTATCATTCAATTTTATCAATATGGCACATGCACATATATAAATGTATAACTAATATACATATTTATTTATCTAAATGTATATAAGTGTATACGTACGTATACGTATGTATAAATAGCAACAATTTTTTTTTTTTATTTTAAAGGTTTCACTAAAAATTAACAACAGAGCCACAAAATTGTTTTGTTAAGCAACCAAACCTCTTTTTATAGAACATCAAGTTCACTTTTCAATTATTATATTGGTTTTACAATTATAAATACATTCTAATGTACATGCTCATTATATTCTGTAAATTGTACAATTATATGGATTCATTTATTATAACAAAAAAAAAAACATAAGAGGAATGAAAATGACAAAACATTTTTAACTATTTTTAGCAAATCAAATAATTTCTTAAATTTTTCCTCTATAATTTAATAAATTATAGAGGAAAAATTTAAAAACTTATTATCTTATACTTCGAAATTAAATTCACTTGATTTTCAATCTTTTATAATACAAAAATATATTAAATAAGGCCAATTGCACTATCTGCTAAAATTTAAAATTATTGCATAAGCTGGTGTAATACCTCTATTTAACCTTAGTAAGAAATCATTTTCTAAGAAATTTTAATATTGATTTACTTACATATTTAATTTTTTATTTAAAATTTCACAGAAATTTTTATTCTACAAGTACTTAAAATGACATGCGTAAATTAAATAAAAGTATTTTTTATAAAGTATTTCAAATAAAGTCTTTATTTCTAATTAATTATTTAATAAATATGTACATGTATATATTTATTGTTAAGTAATCAATTCATTCATTGACGATTTTTTTATTCTTTATTAAATATTACTTATAAAATATAGAAAATTCTAGCTATGCAATACAAAATATTTGAAAAAAAAATATTTATTTTGTTTTATGTAATTTACTATTTGTAAAGTGTATAAAATTTAAGTATGTAAGTAAATATATGTATATATTTGTATATATAAAATATTATAAGTAAGTACAATAATATTTATTCATATTTATAATAATGTTTATATATAAGTATTTTTTTTAATATATGTATTTATTAAATGGCAAAGTTTAAATTTTATAATTTATAATTTCAAATAAAGTAAATATTTTTATAATTTGTTAATATGACTGAGAATAAAGCTTTTAGTAAAGTACATATTACGAAATTTATAAGTATTTTTAATTTTACAAAAAAAAAAAATTTACAAAATTTCAAAAAATTTCGTTAAAATTAAATTATTTCTAAAAACATACAAGATATTTTTAATAACAATATTCTTCAGAATGCATTATTTCGTATATTTCACTAAATACGCTCATAAATGTGCATTTCATACTTATATACTCACATATGTATATTATATAAATGTATACTATGTACTATGTACTTTTTACGAAAGCAACTACACAGTTTTTTTGATGGACTATATTAGTAACTATTTATTGCCCAACAAAATGTCAAAAATAAGTTTAATATACATAATATTTATGTACTTTGTAAAATATTTATGTATATTACAAAAAAATTAAGAAACTCTTGACAAATTATTAAGTACATACATATGACTTGTTTTTGATGTATTTGACACAATACTGACATAACTCAAAACTTGCACATTTGAGAAAAGAAAATTTTAAAGTTTTGGGACCAATACATTTTTCTCACTGTAAAATAATTTCTGTAAAATTATGGTACTTATATTATTTCATAGTGTATTGCAAGCGACAATTTTCAAAATAGAGCAAAATGGTGTCATGCCATTGCACAAAAAAGAAATGTTTTAATTGCTTATTTCTGTTACAAATAACTAAGAAATCTCATTTTTTTTTTTGGTTATGTCACAGTTTCAGCAGTCTTTAAAATTTTCTAAAAAATTAAAAACTAAGATATACAATTAAAAACTAAATCAGATTCTAAAAACGAGCAGACTTTAAAATTTTGGGAAAATACAGTAACTAAGTATTCTCTCTTATTTTACTATAATATGAAAAAATCCCAAAATACGTGCTTGTAACCCTGAATTTTTTTTAAATCATTGCAGTGTTTAAGTATAAAAATTTTAAAAAGTATAATTACAAAACGAAAATACAATAAATAAATTGTAATACAACTTCAAAATTAGAAAATAAATCATTTACATAAACGTACATATGTATAAGTAGGTACATACATATGTTATATAATTCAATAAAAAGAGAAAAAAAAACTGCCAAAAACGATAAGAATTTCACTGTTAGTAATTATTTTTATCACGTTGAAAGCGCATGTTACAGAAAATTCATAATTAAAGAAAAAATGCAAATGGTCTAAAATTGCGTGATCTTTTATGAAGCTTTTTTTTATACGATTCTAATGATAACATTTTATAATAAAGGTTAATAATTTTTTGTTTTAATTTATAAATGTACACCTACATATGTATGTACATACATTTCATATTGACCAAACTTTGACAAAGTAATTTTTATAACTAAGTATAATTTTTTACAGATTTATAAAATACCATGCCATTCTAGTCAAAATGTCGTATGTTTTAAAAATTATCAAGCATTAAATATAATTTAATAGGTATAAAAATCAAAATAATTTCATACTTTAATCAATAATTAAATTATACTTACCTTGCTTTTAAAAATTTGTTGCAAAAAAAAAAAAGAAATGATGTTAACAGAGCCGGTAAATAAATAAAAATTTAATTAAACCTTATCATCTTTTTTTATTTATTATTTTTTGTTGTTGTTTTTTTTTTTAAATGCCAATACTTCAATAATTTTAAAATTCTTTGAATAGATCAAGTTCAATGTCACATCATAATAATAATAATATTATATAAAAAACAACAAAAAAAACACATGTTCAATTCACAAAATTTTAATCGTATTCAATTTCTAATCAGTTGCCGTGCCGTGTTCTGCTCGTAAAACATTAGATTTTTGCATCTTTATATTTTTTTGTTTTTATATTATATTATAACATACTTATAATATTTTTCTTTTAGATGTACGTATGTATATGCATATGTATGTCGATAAAGCATTGTATTATATCGCGTGAAAATATCACCCCATCTGAATAAATGTTGAGTAAGGTAAACAATGATGAGCTCATTCTATATATGAGAACTGATAATTCGCCATCATTAATAGAGAATAGATTTTTTATTTTCTGTTTATTTTCCGTGAGATTACGATTAAATAATTTACAAAAAAAAAAGGAAAATTTTTTTTGATAGTATTATAAAATTAAATTTACTTTGATACTCGGATGTGTGCACATAATTACATATAGGTACATATATACTTTTTCTTATCTACAATATTACAATTACCAAATGTTTTGTTTCAATAAACAATCCTAAATTCTCTGTTTATTACAAATTAAATAATTTTAAATTTTACAATATTTTGTTTCATGCCTATCCTATATGATCAAAAAATTTTAATTTATTCGCATTATTTCTCAATTAATTGTGTAAGCCTTTTTTTATATTTTGATCAAAAATTGTAAGATTGATGTAAACACAGGTTAACTCAAAATATATAATGAGTTCTAACATTAAATTTTATTGTATTATTATAAAATTGTGAACAATTGTGACATCTGTGTAAAATAATAGTATGCAAGTACATCTATACCCGATAAGTTGACTTAATTGCTTATTAACTTAAGAAATTTGATTTTTACAAAAAAAAAGAAGAAAAGTGTTTTAATTTACAAAAAAGAAGAAATTCGTTTTCACGGTTATGATGAAAACAGAATAAAAGCGATTTTTGGCG